TGGTAAAATTGCCTGTTGAGCTGACCTGCCTGCTGAGGTGTGGAGCACCACTTATCCTGAGGGTGTGAGTTCCGAACTCAAAGAATAAGTGGGGCGTGGCACGGGTATTGCCGACGACTTGCGCATTGTAAGTAGCGGGCGAACTCTGCAGTGAATCGTACGTGGAAAGGTGATATCCATGTGACTCGAGGCCGAGCCGTGTTGATAGATTTACTGCTGTCCCACGACACTCGGACATGCAGCCTCCGCGCCTCTGTGTGGTTGGTAAGCGCAGTCGCTTGCTGCACGTAGCACCAGAAGCTCGATTCCAGCCCGTTTGGTCCTGTTATGGCCCGTTTTGGGCTGTGTCGTTTGTGGTAGCCTAAGTTGTCATCTTCGATGCGAGACGGCAGGACTTGGAGCTCGTAATCGCAACACAACACGTGTGCTTTTCCATCTTTTCGCCAGATCGATGATCAGATCAGCAAGATCGGCTTCGGTTCTAAGCTGCTGACGTTATCTTCTTCAGGCGTCAAGCAATCGCTCAGCCCTACATGGTCTGTACAAACGTTACCTAACCTGGAACTACTGCGTACGGTATGTAATCAACTCTGTCTCTGGCACCGACCTGTATCCTGTGTCAACCGATGGTCCCAACCGATGCCCGGCTAAGCCGCTTATACACGCGCTTTCCTCTCTTATTATTAGCGCAAAAACAGAAAAAGAGGCAATGGCGGGCATGGCACCCGGAAGCACGGAACGGGAAGGCGCCGCACTGTGCATCTGGCCCCCATTGCAACCTGGCCCGACACGCTCCTGGTACCTGTGGTCAGTTACCTTAGTTCGAAGAGTCACGTTATCTTGGTTACTTGACATTATTGGCCAGAGCGAATATAGATTAGAGACTGGAGGGGAGTCGATCTGGTGTAGGTAAACTCACCATAACCTTCTCCCCAGCTGAACATATTGGGCGATTTGCATCTCTTGCCAAATCGGGAAATCCTGTCAGGTCCAGGTGGAGTACTAGTACTCGGGTCCGCGCTCTGTGATTACACTTGTGGACGCGGACAGCATGAGCTACTTTGCTTCGATAGGAGAGACATTGGGAAGCCACTTCGATAGGAGAGAGGATTACTGTACGAAGTGCAGTTTGCTTTGTTGATGGCTGTCCAGTGCCGTTTGTAGTTGAAAAGTGGTATGTGCGTCTTAGCGGCGCAAGCCCATTCCTATCAACGGAAAGTTTACCGCATACTAGATAAGCGGCTTTGTTCAGCTTGACCGCGGCAGCGAGCAGTAAGCGGCTTGAAAATGCTCAACGGCTGGAAAAAATTGATTCGTATGGAAAGGGCGGTCGCTTGCCTGGCTTAAGCCATCTAGAAGGCAGTTGCAACATGGTTGTAGTGCCGATGAGGTGGGTCAGCCGCTCGCCAGGTTCGCGGCTTCCTAACATCAAAACAGTTCACGATACAAGCCACTTGTGAGAGCTGCGGCAAACTTTTAGTTGAGATTTTCCCCACCCGAATAATACTGGCTTATGGAAATGGGGTGCAACCCCTAAGGTATTTGTGCAAGTACATACATTACAATACGGGTATGGATTTGCGGCGAAAGCGGGGTTTTTAGACAGTTTCGGAGCCAGCTCCGTTCAGATAAGAACTCAGTAAAGCATCGTAGCTGAGCGAGCCGAGGCACCAACGACTTAACGATTGATGTAACTTACAATCCATTACACCTTCCAAGGACAATCATACAGGGAGAGAATCGGCCCTTCTCCGTTTCTTTGTATACTTATTGTCTACCTCTTCTGTGCGACGGTTTTTGGGCCCCAAGAAGCAACTTGAATCCAGTCCGTCCCATCGAACTTCTCTTAGCGTCCGGAACGCCCGCGGAAGGCGAGATGTGGAGTGCAGGAGCGTAATTGCACGTGACGGCCAAGACATGCGTTGATTCGCCAAAATCAAACTTGATTGGTCCACTCCGACGAGTAGCATCCCTTTTCCCGTCGGACACCATTGGCAGTGTGAACTGATGTTTGTGTCATCCAGGACTAAAAGCCCACGGCGCAGCATCCCTCAGTTTAGGAGGGGGGGTGCGAGGTGCATGGGCGCTATTGACCGCCTTTTCGGCGCTCCTGTGAAAATCGGACTCTGATCCGGGATGCTTGTTTGTGCCGCTTGCCTGCGTCTGTGTCTGCACTCTGCAGGTGCTGTTGGCTGGTTCGAGTCCCGCTGCCATGCCGCCTGGGGTTTCCGCGCCGTTGCAATCACCCAACAGAGATGCAATGTCTTGCCCGAGCCGGGCCCCTCTTGTCGCCAGAGTAATTTCAAATAATGTGCTGTGCCTGCAACTCCCATGTTTTCAAACCCTCAACATCCGGAAATCCTTACCTGCTGCAACTGTAACCAGAGGTCGCTGCAGGAACTGAGTTATTCGGCACCACCCAGGGCTCTCCAATAAAGGGGCGGTCGAGAGCTCGCTGATGAGTGTCGGCTGCGCAGGAGCGTCGCTTTGTCAAAGAGGTACGGCTAGGGAGTCCTGGGAATTGACGGTGAAAGATGCCAGGTTGCTACCTTAGCTACCTCACCTCTTTCACCTCAGGTACCTTGTGCTCCATGCCCACTGATAGGAGTGGGCTCGAGGCCATCAATTTCCCACGAATCCGTCACCTGCCGACTACCATGCTACCCTCTTTTAGAACGGTTGCATCCTTTGAGACCATGGGAAATGATTCATCACATTCTGCGGCAATCCAGTTCCAGGTTGTTTGGGGTTGAAGCACTCGCAATGAAATTCCAAGACCCTGGGGCTGTCGCTTTGTCAAGGCAGTTCTTAGCTCCACAAACTCGGGGGGTTATTTGTTGTCTAGTGCAGTTGAGGATCCTGCAGGAGAGGACGTCCCCGCCCAGGGCATGTTCTCAGCGAAACTTGCCGCTAATCCATCTGCTGTTAGCTTTGGACCTGTGCTCCCGTCTTCCTGCCCCTGAACCGAAGACTTTAAGTGCGCATGTACATACAACACAGTACATGGATGTGGCTAGACATTTGAAAATGGTAGAACATAATGGCAGGCAGGGGAGTCTGGGACTTGCCCAAAACCTGATCAGGAAACACGAACGTGAAAAATATTCAACAAATCGAGGCTCACCTCATCAGTATCGTTGACAAGACCAGCCCACAATTCCCAACCGCTCACACCTGAGCGATCCCTGTGGTATAGTACAGGATTCTCAGACTTGGTGGTCCAGGCCGAGATCTGATACTCGGTTGGCTTTTCTCGACGCTTCGCATCGAGTCTCCCGTGATGCCCACGCTAGTGCCGGGCCTGTCACCCACAGGGTAACAACTTGAGGTGGCCAAGAGGTCCCAAGACAAAGGAACGGGTGCGGGACGTTCCTCGGCCCACCGTCGTCTTCATCTTGTCTTCCTGGAGCCATGTGTGCTTAGGTGTAAGGTAAGACACTAACTACTAAGGCTCTACAATAGAGATTGTATAACGCCTACGGTCGAAACAGAGCCTTCTGAGTAACTTGATTCAGGGTTCCGATGTTCACTTCTCCTTTCCTTGGACCTTAGGTAAGCAGCGCTAGGCATGGGACTACATACAGTCAGAAGCTCAACAGGACGCAGAAGCCGGACGTTCTGTCATCACTGAAAAACACAAACCAACGTCAGCGCCCAGGCAGCAGCGATGTGTATGGGTCGATTGTCTGGTGCCATAGATGAGGATCGCTGGCGGGCGATGCAGGGCAACTCAAACGAACAGTATACGGTAGTACCTCCGCTACTAGTAAGGTCCATAAAGAGCCGCAAGCGCACATGATAAAATCTGCAGGTGGCGTTCCGTGCCAATGTGCAAGAAGAGCCAGCTCTTAACTTATTCCCATGACGCCATTGGCATCCGCAGATCGGCGTTCCTCGGAGAGGGCTTTTTCCAATGGTGCCAGAAAGGAGGAAGATCACTGCGCGAGCGGCCCCCCGGAGGTTGGTACAGCACAATACATACTTCGTACGCTCGATACACTAGGAAAGCAACGAGGCCATTGGACACGTGGATAGAGCTAGTGGGAAAGTGGGTTAGACGAGCTGCAGTTGGTGACCGACGGAGCTGTCTCCTGTCAATCAGGAGACGGGTGTCTCCGCCCTTTTTTGCGCAGAGCTGTCAGGTTCGGTATCCACCGACCAGGATTCAGGGTTACTTCTCTCTGATACGAAAACCAACGCTCATTATAACATCACAGTAGCAAGCAAGTATGGATTGTACCGCATACCGAGTCTTTGGAAAGCACTGCTTGCAGGAATACATGGTCGTTAGGTGCTGAATCCTGAGCGCGGCCTGATTTTACAAAAGCCCCCATGCCTGTTTAGGTCAATGTACGGCTTCGGATGCCGGAAAATGCGTGGCAATGGTTCGTGGATGGTTCCAGGTTCGCGGCTGAAGCCCCGCACACCGCCCAACTGTACTGTACCGCCAATGCTGTCGACATTTGCTACCGACATGCTGTTGGGGAAAATCATGAACCGAAACAAACCAACCCTAGCGCACATTTGTTCCCAAGCGAGCGTTCGTAAAAACGTGGTCATTGCGGCACTTTTGCCTCGTCTCGGGCCGATGGCTGGAGAATGTGCAGGGGCAAAGGAGCCAGCTTATATTAGTGTACTGTACGGAGGTACAAAGTACATAGATGGCAGTTGATGACGCCACAACCTCTAGAAGCGTTCTATGAAGAACGAGACGTTGTGACCAAAGTCCAAACAGGTTGCTCGCCGATTCCCACCAGTCCCAGTGACGAAGGGACCAGAGCGGCGGGAGAAGGGAGCTTCAGGGAAGAATGCGATCCTTAAAAAGTGCCAGCCAATGGCTCTGGGAGATGCATGTGCCGCAGTACGCTAGCCATGCGCGTGCAATCGAAAAAGTGCAAGGGTGCAGGAAAGACGAACCAATGGGAGACGGGTCCCGGAAGAAGGACGACGGGATGAGCCTAAAGAGGAGCGGGCGGCACGCGAATCAATGCCGCCCTCACTTTCCCAGCGATCCATCCGATCCTCGTCCCCACCGGCCGAGGGACGATTACGCTACGCCACGGAGGTAGGTAGTAAGGTACACTACACGTACCTACAATACAACCAGGCGGAGTGTGGCTTCCATCTGCGCGCGGGCGGAAAGTCAGGCAAACATGGAACTATACCGCTAACGTAGTATTCGCGCAGACTCATGCGTACAGTGATTTTAAGTACAGTCCCCCCCTTGTTTGTTCGTTAGCGCCTGACTTCAAGACCGGGGGCAGCCCAAAGATGTCAATCTCAACACCAAAACGGCCAATTTTCTACAGAAAAAAAGGCTCTGAAGAGAATAGTCTTCTTGAGTAATACTGGATACCCTTTTTTCTCGCATTGAATCAATTGTTCTAGCTGATGAGAGGCATTTCTCTGATTTCTGGACAACGACCCCTGTCAAGAGTCCCGCGCTAACAAACAAACAAGGGTTGAACTGTACTTACTGAATACGCTACCCAGTCACTTACATCTCCGAGCGTGCTGTTTCTGCTTCTCGCTTTCAGCATATGAAAGATATCACCGCTGGAGACTCTGGTCGATTAGTATCGCAAGGGGTGTGCCAGTAATCTTGTACTGTATATACATACATATGTACTGTACATACATACATACAAATGTACTGTATGTACAATACAAAGCTAAGGTACGTTACTGTCTAGGTAAGTACAGAGCCCATTCCTGAAATTACAGTACGTACGTGTACAATACAGTACATGATTCCTATGTGGTGGCTCGGTCCATGACATGAAGGCGGGAATGCAAAGCACGGGCAGGCCTCGCACACCCGCTCCCTAGCGTGATTCCGCCGAAAGGGCTTTCCCCACCCAGATCATGGATGGCGGCACTGCCCCGTCGAGCCCTGGAGCCCCACTCTCATGTTTGGAACCCAACTCGGCCTGGCTGACGCAACGTTCCTCTGTTTTGCACGGCTGCCCGCGGCATGCCGCTGTTTGCTTGAAGTCCAGCCGATTGCGCCGGGGCTATTGTGGTCTGCACCAAGAGGGTGGGAGACGGCGTTGACGTTGTCAATTGGCGAGTGCTTCCCACCCTTTTCGACAGCAAAATCTGCAGCAGCTCGCTCAACGCTCCTCCTGTTTTGGATTCATCGAATGCGCTGTTCTCAACCGGGGACGCTTCCAGCTCGAATGGAGAGCGACGGATCGGCACGAAAGACCCCTACAGTAATCGGGGTATCCATTTGACTGATAAACAAACAGGACAAGCATGCCATATTTTTTGCCCTTGGCCCGGAGATCTTCAGGGTCGTACACGGTGAAACGTGTATGCATCATATCTGGAGGATAGGTCGGCGAAGAATCAATGAACCGCCGTCTGCTGTAGCACACAACCGCAACCTCGCTCGGTTTCGAGTCGGAGCTTGTGATGACTGCAGCAACGACCCACCGCTCACGAGGACAGTATGAGAGGCTATGAAAAGATGAACTGCGATCGTCAGTTACCAACGGAAAGAAAACCGGGAAATCGGAAATAGTGGCCTTTCCGTGACCCTCACTCGGGCTTTTCATACCAATCTCTTTGGCAATTGGACACCCTTTCGTCGATTTGACCGACTTTCGTTTTAGGGTACTGGTACGTTCGAGGTTGCGTTCGCAGTCCCAGAGCTGTCCCGTTGCCAGCCGGGAGAAGATGTCTTGGCTGTCCGCACGTTACATGCATCATGCATGTGCCAACCTGCGACGGCAATTCGGTCTCGCGCCCCAAGGTATGTCAGGTCCTCCCGTCCATGGCGGTGTAGTGTACGGAGTACATACCTGTCTGTATATTTGCAGTAGAGGCAAGGCGGATATCGGAATTCTAGCCTCCTGGGGCGTCGTTCAGCTTGGAGCCAGGGTTGGTACAGTACAGTACTTGTACATACGTATATATCATACGTACATTGGTCAGGGACGTAAGTGTCCTAATAACCCTTCTCTGCTTTCTTTCTCTTGCCTTGGAAGCGCTGAACAAGGGCTGCAGCTTTTGAATTGGCAAGATCTCGCCCAAATGTGACCTAGAACGTCCCACAGTTCAGGTCTATGTCTAAGGGGGGTGTATGTACGGTATTTGTAGATACGAAGTGATGGCGCCGTAAGTAGGTGCAAGGTTGGGTACCTCAGGGTACCTCGGGTACCTATAGATGTACATACGGTGGCGGGGTTCTTAACTTCGGATTAGCCTGGATGTCAATAGAGACGGGTAGACATGTCGCAGAACGGGAGCCGAGTCTCGATATTGCCGTGTGCTGTTTCATCATTCTTGTATGGACGAGGTTGGTGGTTACCAAGATCGACGGGAGTATGCGAGCTCGGGCTGACATGCGAATTACTATGAGATGTTAGGTAGTCCAGGTAATGTGCATACAGTACAACACTACCTTACATACATGGGCAGTGCTGAGTGCTTTCTGCCCGAGGAGACTGCCACCGGGCGTTCTTCGCCCCACCTCTCGGTCAGGCTTCGAACTGTTCTAACTGCAGAGCAGGCGGCGCAATTCATGGCGAAAGGATGGCGTGCAAATCCGGCCAGTGCCATGAGCTGCCGGCAAATCAAAAGCATGCAGATGCGCCATAAGGTCGAGGTTTAAGCGTCGGTCTGTTTCCATGCTAATTAATGCGCCCCAAACGTGTCGACTTTCATTTCGCGCACAAACTGGAGGTCACTCGAGCGATCTCCGTATCTCACGACCGGTAGGCTTGCCAGGTGGACCGAAAACGATGAGACAAGGACATCTTTCCGTGCTATTCATCTATTCCATCAGCAAGGATGCGCTCCTCAGTATTACCTGGCAATCCTTTATACGGATACGCAACATGGAATGCTTATCGTCCGCCCTCAGGTGCTTTGTATCGTCCGAAAACTGGCCCAAACGACACCGCTTTACAACGCAGCATGAGATTCACCCAACCTAAAGAGCCAGGCTGCCCGACAACTAATATATAAGCCAAGACAAGGCTTATGTAGTGTCACTCATGCTACAGCCGAGGTCTATGTCTGTACATACCGTGACCTCCTATGGTCCATGTCAGACTTGACCTAGCGACCGAAAAGAGACGAAAGTTGTTGCTGACTGATACGTCCCCGGACAGTCGCCCGAAATGTATGTATTTCGCGAACCCAATACATAACGTTAAACATACTTAGCTGCGACATCCCTAACCGATCTCTGATCCCTTGCTGAGAGATCGATCGCTGGGCAACTGATCACTTGTTTCTGCGCCTGTGCCAAGTTCTAAACGCGCCTCGCACTAAGGTACTGTACTGTACCTGGAAGAAGAGGCCCCAACTGATCCGAAATTCAGTTGTCCTATGCTGCCACTATGCTGCCACTAAAATCTCTGGCTTCTGAAGTATAGAAGGCATGCTCGGCATGGCCGGTTCATGTTGCGGCACCGTCATGACCATTCGAGGTTACTACCTACTTACTGCTCGAAGAGATGATAAATAGACACTGGCAACGGCCTGCCGATCAGTCGAAGGAACAGGGGCCAAACGCCGACCGCTCCGACCGTAGACCCACAGGGAGTGCACCGCCCGGGCCGAGTGGCTCAACATGGTTCATGTCGCACAAAGCCTGAAAGACAGGAACAATCTCGGATCGGGCCATCGCCGTTCGACAGTGTCTGCCGACTCGCCGATTTCGACGCTGATACAAACCCGACTGTTCCAAAGCGGCGAACCCTGATCGTTTCGTTCCCAAAAACCAATTCCCCGTTTCGGGTGCCTAGCCCTCTTGATTGTTTTGGCCCCCAAACCGCCGTTAATCAAGGGGCATTGCGAAAGTGCTGTCGGCTGCGGCGCGTAAAATAGGTAATATGACTTCCTTAGGGACAATTGGAGATTTCCGATCCATTAGAACGGCGCAGCGATATGCTGCAAGCTATGCGAGGTCGTCAAGTTCCGCCGAGGTATTCTATTCACACGTAGTTCTCTGAAGGAGAATTGTAAGGCATCCCAGGTATGTAGTGTATTGTACTGTACATACGTACGAAGGTAAGGACTACCCGCATACGGACTACAGCGCTGGAGGAGAGGCTTTTTTTCCTGGCTCTGATCCTGGCTCCTGCGGCCCCAGCTGCGACCCGGGCGGCTGCCGCTTCTGTGGGTTCTCGGTAACGTACTTTCAGGTACTGTGCGCTACAAATACCTGCTCCCGCGTATTGATATACTCGCTCTCCCGCTGGCACGTCTCCCAGAATCAGTATCATGGAAACCACCAGTTTCAAGTCGTGTAGATCATTGCCACGCGCCGATCGCGTAAACGCGTTTCGGCGTGGACACAGCAGCGGTAACAGGTTAATCTCCTGGGGAGTATTGGCTAGTACAGTACAAATAGCAACATAGGTTGTATTTTTGTACAACATTTCATACGCGTACCTTGACTGAATCTCAATCATGGCCTTTGTACGGAGTAGAGCCCACGAAAGACGAAGACACATGTTGGAGGATGTTATCACGGTCGGCAGCACAACATCCCTTGTTTCCAGCGTCGCATAGAGCAGCAGTTTACTGGGAGATCCCGCATCATTTGAAGACATGACACAGGGTGTCTAAGGTCCTGACTGTATGTACTGTACACGTACGATACCTTACATGCACATGTATCGGTACATAGAGAGGTACGTATTTACCCTCTACCCTGGCGTACCTTGAGTTGGCTGGGTTCTCCAGATACCCGGGTGGTTGGCTTAGGGAGTGCGGGCCGCGCCTGCTCCAAGCAGGAATGGAAGCCACACTCATCATGATCCACCATTGCTCCGAGCCATCACGTCTGCCGCTGGGAAAGGTTCATTGATTGCCCTGAAAGTTGCGCTGGGCTTGCACCCCTGGGGCTGGCTGTGCATCCAGGGGAAGTTGGTGCTGGACAAGTAGTGCGCATATGCCGCCGAGCTTGTGACCCAACATGCCGCATGAGCTGATCCATTCAAAAGCCGAATTGGACCTTCTTGAACGCTCCCCTTCTCGCTGGTTGTAGCCAAACTTCTATCGCGAACTTTGACCCTTATTAGTGTAGAAGCTTTTTCGAACGGCGGTATCACGTCGAGACACCGGAGCGGCAACGGCTTGGGCTTCCCCCGTCCATTTACTACTAACCTGCAAGGTACGCTAGTCCAGGGACTTCAGGTAGTATACGGTGTTATCGAAGGTAGCGTCTCACTCGGATCCTGCCAAAGCGCGCACGCCGTCCCGACCGAAACCCTCGATTACCTTGGCCACGGGTTTTTCAGCATCACCACGGTAGCCGCTGCTGGTGAGAGACCATGCGCATGTTGATGTGCCAACAGACCGACGACTGACTCAGCTGTTTAATAGAACTGGGACGCGAAACCAGTTACCACATCCTTCAAACACCGACCGTCGGCAGGCCACACTGTACCCTACGTTTCGAGAAGGCGCGCCCAGACGACAAAGTACAGGACTGATTGTAATACAGTACGTGCACCAATTTCAAAGCGTTGGTCCCGTTTATTAGTGTTCCAAGTTCCAAAAGTTGTTTTGCATCCCAACTATCCACATGGTCTCTCGGACAGGGAACGGACTGCAATTGTTTGGAGGCGGGTGCATCGGCTGGGCTTGGACGGGGAGGCGGTCAGGGAGCGAAGCAAGGCCATCCTTCCTGCCGTGGTCGCAAGTCTTTGGGGCGACAGCGACAGCGACGGCTCATCCTCCTTTTTTCGGTCAAGTCGGTCGAATCCGCTCCCAGCGTCTTGGCCGTGCGCACATGCACCGTCTTTCTCACACCCACCCTGCCCCCTGCCGGACGCTAGTGCACCCACACGCCCATACCCACACCACTCACAGCAGTCCCATGCAGCTTAGCACTTGCACCCGTTTTCCCTCCCGCTTCCCATGTTCCGCCCCCTTGTTGCTTGTCAGGCAGCGCCCTGATGACCAGGTACCCACTGCGGGTGATCGAAACCGCTAAAGGAGACGGGGGCTGATTCGCTGCTGCGCTCAGTTGCCTTGCGTGTGCTTGGCTCCTCCCCGTTGCTGTCCACAAAAATAAAATGTTTTATTATTTTCCACGGCGTACCGTACTGCGTTTTGTATTTCGCTCCCGTCTGCTCATCTCACGCATTAATTATTGCAGTCTTCGATTTCACTTTTCGCATTTTCTATTCCCTTTCGTTTCGAATTATTCTCCCCCCCTTCTTCACCCCTGTCCATCTCAGCTTGGTTATCCACCCGCAGCTTCATCCACACTAACTTCCGAGACCCAGACCGTCAGCAACTAAGGGAACTCCCGCTCCATTGATAAAGGCTCGGCTCCCGTCCCCGTCGCGACATTATATCATTACCCGCCTTTCCTCCCATCCCGTTGGTCTATTGGGGTTCCTCCTTTCCCCTCTTCCCGCTCGCCTCTTTCTTTTACCTCCCTATTTATTCCCACATCCCTCCCGCTCCTCGCCTCGACCCTTGGGTACTTCTGCGCCCGCCGCATTTCATCAGGTCCAGTTTTGGTCGCTCCGGTTTTGCAGGATCGGAAAGGGGAACTACCGCAGCGCTGCAGCTCTTCCAGGTCGGTGGATATCAGCCCGTTCCGTAGCAAGGCTCTCTCCGCCTTGCTGCGGGACCCCACCATTCTTGCGCCCCGCCTCATAGGACTGACAGCCGCTGCAGCTGGATCTTGGGAGTCGGCAAGATAACTGATCTCGGGTAACTGCATGTCCCGTTGAAATTGCCTTGGTTTTTCGTGCCTCCCTTCCGTTGTGGCGGCTCTAGATCCAGGCTCATACGATCGCGCTCTGGACCAGCAACGCCGTAAGAGCAGTACACAGGTTGGCAGGAATTCTGCTCTCCATTTGGTGAGCACCGGCTGTAGGCTGCTGTTGTGTTATGGCGGACGGCTATCGGAGAGCGAGAGGGGAACCCCCACGGGAGCTTGAAGATTCGCGTTATCCAGTGGTCGAGAGTGAAGACCGGAGGCATCTGCCCCCAGTATCTTCGGACGGCATGACGTTGCCCTCGATTCCCTACCCGCCTTCGGCGGGACCATATCAGCCGGACCAGCGATATCCGGACAGGGGATATCCCCAAGATCCGAGATACCCGCCAGAACAGAGAACCTGGCCTGCAAATCCCGCGGTTTCGAACGGCTATCCACCGTCAGATTCACGCTATATGCCCCAATTCCCTGCCTCGGATCCGCGGCAGTATGAAGACCGGAGGCCGTACGATGACCGCAGGCAGCATGATGACAGGAGGCCGGAGGATCGGAGACAGTACGATGATCAGAGATTGTACGATGAGCAGAGGCAGTACGACGAGCAGAGACAGTACAGCGATCGCAAAGCGTATCCAGAGCCGTACTACGATGCTCAGCAGGCGACTCAAGGGAGAGGCGGCGGATACCCAGCCGACTACTACAGGTACCCGCCAACGGCCTATCCATACGCGATGGGCCCGAACCCTCCTCCTCCGTCATCCCAACAACAATCGGCACCGAGGCAGAGGACGTCGATTGCCTGCCGGTACTGCAGGAAACGAAAGGTAACACTGCCGTCTAGACGAGCTCTCCTTTAAACTTGAGGCGGTGGGCTAATCGAGATCTACCCTAGATTCGCTGTAGTGGTTACACGCACGGCAAATGCGCCAACTGTGACAAGCTTCATATCGACTGCATTTTCCAGCCGGTTTCATCTAATTCCTCCACTGCTTTTGTGCCGGTGTCGGCCGTTCCGGGGGGTGTGCCGCCCGGAACTCCTCTCTACGGAGCATATGGCCAGCCTCTACCGCCGTCAAGCGCGTCGGCTCCGCAAGCTCGAGCCTACCCGTATCCGCCGTCCGACTACACTCCTCCCATGCATTCACCCACAGGATACCCCCCGTACGACGATAAAGACACCGGGCGCCGACGGACGCGTCCACCAGAGGAGGAACATAGTTCCAGACCGGGGCCACCAAACTTTCCCGTTGATGACGATCCCCGCAGGCGATCTCCTATCTCGGTTAACAGCAACGGTACCCCTCCAGCGGTTTACCATCAGTATCAGCAGGCTCCTTACGCCCAGGACAGAGCTCCAACTCCCAGCCAAAAAAGTCCCAACGGTGTTGCGCCACCTCGAACGCAGTCGCAGCCGCCACAAGCCCCGCCTCCCCAGATGCAGCAGCCGCAACTCCAACTCCAGCCGCAGCCGCAGCCACAGCCACAGCCCTTGTCTAGCAGCTACCCGAATCCCATGAGTCTGGATAATCTGATAGGGCGGGAGCCTCGCTCGGTAAACGCCATTGACCAGCACATGCTTGGGAGATTGAATCGTCGAACGTAGGTTAAGACGGATTCAACCCCATGACGGGGCCAAGGAAATCAAAATACCGACAAAACGGAACAGAGGAAACGTCATTATGGGGGGGCCCAAAGGTTCCGAGACTGTTCGAGAAGGAGCTGGCAGGGGCATTCCAGCTCCTGGCCGCTGCGGATCTCAAGCATCGTCTAGAGGGGTCACCCGACCAGCTTCCATTGCACGACCATGATCCGTCTGCATCACGGTCCAGCGCTAGCACGCCCACCGTTTTCCACAGCTTCTATTACCCACCCTGCAATCGGCAGCAGCACACATGGTTTTCTATTCTTTTCACTTCGGGAAAGCGTGGAAACAGACAGCATTTCCGGCGGGTCAGAGCTTCTTCGGGGTTTAGGGCGGCGGTCTCTTTCATTGATACCTCTTACCATAGCAATAGCCGTTACGGTCTAATTCATCCTCTGCCGAGTTGGGCATTGGAATGGTGCGCAACCATGTAATTAACTACCTCGGACTCCAAAAAGCCTGTCGAGGGTTCGGTTTCTTGTGTGCGTTACTGCTTGATGTTTTTCTTGATTTGGTTTCCTCTCTCTTCAGCGGAAATATGGCGAGGCAGACTCTTTAGCAAAGACTGAAATAGCCTCACGGCAAAGTTTTTCTATCTTCCGTTATTCCCCCCTGGCCCTCTTGCCGTGTTTTCTCTCCACCCAGCGCATGTGTTCTTCCTTTTATAACATCTTTCTTCACATTCTGCCCCAAAAGCAGCGAGGCGGAAGGGATCAGTGGAATCAGTGTAACATGGGAATTCCTAAGAACCATCGGTTGCCTGTTGGCTTCTGGCGGTGAAGCGAGAGCCAAATAGCGTCTGAACTTTCCACACTCGCTTGCCCCTACTTTCGACCTGACACTTCCACATAAGCTGCTGTTGCCACTACCATACTATGTGCTATCCGTCCGCTTTTTTTCCCGTCCCGCCGGCCCTTGTCCTAGCAGCGCAAGCCATTTGATGGTGATTCGCATACCACTAACGTGGCTGCTAACCTCTCTGGGACTCCACCGCTGAAGCGGCGCTTGGTCGCCCGAAGTTGCTTCCTCCTGAGTGCTGTGGTCAGCTGCAGGTAACAATCATCAGCCCCCTTGGTTGTTGGGCCAGGCAGGGCTGCCAAGGGTCTCCCGGCTAGGCATATACAGCTACGCTCCGGTTTCTCCATCTGCTGCGGTTATGGCCGACACATCCCCAGGTATCACATAGCGCCTGGCCGCCCCCCCCCCAACCCCTCCATCACTGCCCGGGCCTTCTGTCTGGCAGGTGACGCCGGAAAAACAACGGAGGTTGATCCAGACTGATGCCCCTCTAACGGTCTAACCCCTTTCTCCAACTGTGAGCGGAGGGTCTGATAGAGGAACGCTTAGTCCTGGTCAGCACACCTCACACCCACACAGAGGAAGTAAGACTTTGGTGGGCTTGAATTTGAAGTAACCCCTTTTACCGTGACGGTGACACGCCAACTTGGCCCTTGCATGATTGCGTTAATCTTATGACATATGGGGTACCTTGCTTCGGGTTTATTGAATATCCATCATCAATGACTATCGGACTGTGGAGTGGAGAATTCACCACATGGCAAAATGCTCGGGACCGGACATAGAGTTGAGCTTTTGAGGGTATCTAGTCAGTCTTGTCACTCTGTATGGCATCCTTGGCCCCGTAAAGAGTTAACATCCGGCTCTCCGTTCCTGAGATGGTGATACCAGATAGTTATCGTTTCCGAGTCCGAGTGGACTATTACGGAACCGCAAAGACAATACGGATCAGGCAAAGCGGCGCCTCTCCACGCTGAGATGAGTTGTGTACAATCAATGGTGTGTTGCATGACATGTCTGAATACCGCCGCACGCATATATTACCTACGTTACTCCTCAATGCGAGGGGAACAGTCGTACAAGCATGCTTCTTTTTCTTCGGTGTGTAGCATGCTGCTGGTATTGTACCTGCCCCTAGCCATGGATCTGACAAGACTCGTGCTGGATGGTACTTCTAGTCACACAGTCATCCGGTACTTATTTGCGGACCGCGGCCCAACCGCTGCTGTGGTAACGTGGCGTCGAGCAAGAGCAATGGAGACTCCGATCCTTCGGCTTCTTCATCTCACCCCCTCCTGGTTCGGGATTCCCATTCGTACCTCCCAGACGTCCAGCAGCTTCAAGCCACGTAACCTGCCAACCAGCTTATGTATCATGGATCTTGTACCAACAGTGATCCGGCCCCCCTGTTGCGCATGTTGGACCGCACAGTCGACATGGCCATGTCAATGACTCGTACATGAGCACATTACATCCCTACATTAGGCCGTCAGTTACAATCACACCCCTGGGAACCCCTGATTGCTTCTAGCCGTATTTATTACTGTATGTACATACATACAGTACATACAGTACCTGACTCTTGCCCAGGCTCGGGAATTCTACCTCAGTAAGCCGCCGCCTAGCCCGCCGCATCGAGCGGCCGCCAAATGACAGCGGTCTTGGTAATCACTAGGTAGTGTAACTTACCGTATACACCTGGTCTCATCTATGTACTGTCTGCATTCACTAGTGATTATCTTCTGCTCGGGGGCGGGAGTTTCCGCGCGTTGTACCACATGTTGTTGCATCCATATGGGCAGAAGAAGGAGTTTGGATTACACAACACGGCGCGGAGGGTCGAGGTTTGGCGTCGTCGTTCGTTGGCGTCACCACTAACATTGAGGTGAAACATTCCAAAGTGAATTGAATACATGGGACTGAAGTTTATCACTACAGTTGCGTTGGGATCAGATCATCAGAGGTCCTAGAGGGCTTGTGAAGGGGTACCTACCCAGAACTTATCTGAGCGGACTCCTCAATGGAAGTACCTTCCAGTCCTACCTAAGGTACCCATCTCTAACGCTCCGGGTCTTATAATTGTTGGTGAAAGCGGATTTTCGTGATACGAATATTGGTCTCTCAGACTACCTTATCCATGGATGCCTTTTAGCGACTGCGCTGACAATACTTATCGTTAGGTAGTGATCGCCGTGGACTGCAGTTGGTTGCAGTTTCAAACGCCGGTTGCTGTGGTCTTTCCTTCTAGGAGCACCCGTCGTTGCGTCACTTGCAAGCTCCCAGGTCCTGTCAAGTGGCCGTTCTGGTCTTTCTCTAGGCTGACGTCTCATTAGTCTTTACATTGTACTGTACGAGCCCAAGTGTCATGCTCCAGGCAGGTGAGACCGATGGGCCCCCACATGGCCCCAGACGCCCTCGGCTCCTGAGCTAAAGGCTCGAATCCATGGAACCAAACATTGTGCCTGAAACATTGGACTAAGGATGAGTTGATTATCGGGCTGTTTACTACCTGTGCCGGGTCCGTTTGAAGCAGCCTCAAAAAACGAACTTTGGTGGGTAAAATGGAAACGGGGTTCGATACCAACCCAAAGGTGCCTAATACGGCTCGTCATCTCATGGCTGACTTGGGTAAGAACCCTCGGTTTCGGGTTTTGCTTTAGCTTGGGCCTTGCGATGCAGTCAGCTCACTGCCTAACAGGGCCGAACCCGGGTCATATGGGTCGAAGATCATGGTCTGCTATTTGATTTCTAGCACCAGACGGATGGAGTGAAAGGATCGAGGGTGTCTTCAACTTCTCGATCTCGAGTCTAAAAGCCCATTCAGGTACCCAGGTGAACACGACTAAGCAATCGTCAATGAAGCTAAAAGCGAGACAGCGGAGACGCCTACTCCATCATTCGTCGCGTATATTCGTATTCCACATTCGAAAAGCTGCTGCCGATGCAAATACAATTATATACAAGACAGCGTCCGCGTTGCGCCACACTCGGCAGACCTCCCACTCAGCACACGACAACAATACCAAGCATTAATCTGTGCCTTTCAGATGCTGGAAACCCGCTGCACGCGTCCCAACTCGGCCAATATTACCCAGTCGAGAGAGTCGCCCTGCGGCACGACCAAACACCGTTGGGAGATCTTTCTGTCAGCTTACCCAACAACACCGAACTGCCCTGGAGCGTTGTAGCCTTGTCGGACTCTGCGAACCCAAAATGGGCATTGGACGATGGCACCGCCGGGCGTCAGCAGAGGTTTTCACGGACCCCTTCTTTTCCAATGAGAGAGGACTATCTTGCGGGCACCCTCAGGGATTAATGACTCCTTTTTCTTTCATGCTGCTCACTGTGCCCAGCGACAATGGGCTATCCAAGGGGTGTCGGGTGAGCCAAGCGCACCCACAGAGCTCCATCCTAACAGTAAGCATTTGTCCCAAGGTTTACCAGCTCTTTCAGACAAGATTTGACAAGCTTCTCTCGGCAAGATGGTCCTTGAACACCCAGCTACCGCCAAGTGGCCCGTTTCAAGGCCTCAGTCTGGCAAGCGAGATAAAAATATATCATGATGTTGAGTTGCGGGTTAGGGATAGACCCCTAGCGATCTCAGATCTGTTGCTGAGCAGATTGTTGGTTCAGTCTGCCGAGAGAGCCAGCCTGGCCGATTTTGCCAATAACAAGAAGGCAAGAGCCCTACATATTAGCCCGGTTAAGGGTGCTGTTGACTTCAACGAGATTACAGCACAACTTCATACCCCTTTGCCGTTGACCAGGAGTACAGTACATCCTTCCTTCCCTCTCCCAACCACACACAAGTGGCTTCCCGTTGGACGAGCCTCTATTCGGGACCACAAACGAACCCTCCGTTTAACTGCGAGACGAATCCCACTCGAGCCTTGCATGATACGATAGTCCATGGAGCTATCTTGCGCTTGTCGGTGGAGACACTTACAAGGACCAACAAAGGGTTGGAGTGCTGCACGGACTCACGAGAAACAACAAAAGCATCGAGTGGAGTCTGAAGTCTGAAGGATACCTCCAATGGTTTTCAATCGTCGAACCGGGGATTGCACGTATACTTGGAACTGTGCTTTTTGTTTCTTTCCTCTTCGCAAGGATCCTGGCCCCTCGGAAGAGCTTTCGAGCTGCCAGTCTTGCGTCCAAGGATCCGTGTTGAGGTGAACCAGCTCGGCAACATCTCGGCGACCTCTTTCTTGCATTCGAAGGAGCAGAATGATTTGGCAAGCAAAACAGTCTGTTTGATTTTCCATCCAGAGCATTATTTTGCCCTTGCAAATCTACGCTGCTGAAATCACGGCCGAAACCCCTTTCACCCCTCGACCACGGTTTCGCCCCCGTTCAGTCAATATGTGGGCAGTTTTGCACTGATGATGCTCCGGGCTTGCTCTTGCTCAAGCTGGCAATTTTGACATATTTTTGAGCAAAGACGTCGCGTCCCGTTCTCGGGCTGCACTGCATGCAGAGTACTACCACAACCCAAGCTGTGGCGGGGGGGTACATCCCGTGATAGGGTAGCAACATACAGGCGTAGTTACAACGCCGAAGCTTATGATAACGCCCACTCATACTACATCGAGAGCTGATGCTTTCTTGGGTTGGTACCAAACGCCACTTATTAATAGTAGGCCGAGATGCGCAACCACCAAAGTCGTGTCCGGAGGTGCTTATATCGATAGACCGAGTCATATCAAGCGACTCTAGTGTCGGCTTGGGCAAGTCAAGTATACTTCTGGTTCTCGACCCTGGATGAGAGTGTACGAACCACCTAAACGAGGTCCATGGGGATGACCAAGCCAACTGAATGCTATCAAATTAGGGAGGTGGCGGCCTTGGCGGTAAACAAATGCCCGTCTTGACGGAAGCTCTCCCTTTCTTCGCTAGGCACTTATAATCAAGGGTGTGACGAGATAGACAGCCTGTAGTATGTCCACCTACAACTGGTCGACCTCGCCAGGCAGCCAAGTCAGTTGAACATATTTGGTAGGTCGTGGCTCATGCCCCTCATGCCCTTTCTTCTTCAGCTCGCCGTCAGCTGCCAATGCGCTCAGGCGATATAAGGGGCAAGGAGTTGGAGGGGAAGTAGATAGAGAAGTACCTTACTTTAGAGAAGGACCCGGGGAGAACTAGAGTCGATCAAAACCCGTAGCTGCCATTTCGAATACAATAGTGCACGCTTCGTCTCCTTCTAGCCATGTGATACTCAGCAAATATCCTTCCGCTACAGGTAACGGTGCTTGGATGCGAAGGGAGGCAAGAAACGAAAGTAGCAGAAAGAGAAAGCTGATCCTCAAGGGCTTTATGAAACACGAGTTCTGCCTCTCTCAGGAATGAGGGGAACAGGTAAAGGCAGACAGACAAGTAGGGGGACTGACTTAGCGTTGGACATAGGTGCTCTATTTTGAACAGGCTACGTCTGCGAGGTTCTCACTACAATTTCAGAGCAGGGTGGCGGGTATAGCGAGTAGATAGAACGCTATGGGATATTCTGAACAACTGGCAAGTAAGCTGATGAGAAAACAGATAGAGTAGATACATGAGGTACATTTGGATGCACCGCTCTCGCCACGTAGGAAGAAACTACGACATCGAAGAGGAAAACAAGAGGGAAAACAAGCTGGCCGCCGAGGGTAGGGGCTAGCTTCGAGAGGAGGAAAATAATGAGAAGCCCAAGAAGAGGATGGGTAAATTCCTCAGGTCCAACCGCTTCCAAGAAAACCTGATATGACCAACGGGCCATGTAAACAGGCAACCGCAGAACAACCAAGAAACAAAAATACCCCCATGATCCCCTAATACCGATACACATGCCCCTGCCCAGAGCCGCCGTCCGCCCTCTTCGGCGTGGCCGCATACCTATCCGATTCGCCGTCGTCCGAGACGGGCGTTACGGGCTCGGCTCTAGGTTGCGCTGTGGACGACGACGCGCCCGTGAAGCCGGGATGGTACGGCTCGAATGACAGCCGCGGTGGGCCGTCGTCGTCACCACCTGCGCCCCTGGATGATGAAGAGACGTTGGGCGGATCCCTGAAAGGGTCCTGGTTGTCGTCGTCGTCGTCGTCGGTATCGCGGCCCGCCCGGTCGTGGTCGCGATGCGGCGTCGCACTCGCTGAGCGGGATGGGCCCGCAATGGCGGCGGCGGGCCCACTGCTGCTGTGGTACGGGTCGAGGGCGGCTTTGCCTTTCCCGTTGCCGTTGCTGCTGCTAGTCCCTTGGCGAAAGCCAGCCTGCTCGCTGCTCGGGATAGGGGGTACGGGCCGGTTCAGGGAAGGTTGTGTTGGCTGGCGTTGCTGGGAGGTCCTGTGGTTGGAGCTGCTCGACCTGCTGTCGCTCGTCATGCCCAGTTGCTTCCTGGCCTGCAGGACGGCTCTGTGGTGATGGTTCAGGGCCTGCTGGAGCTGCTCGTTGGTGTCGATGAGGCTCTCCATCGTGTCGTTGTCGGGAGAGGGGTTTTCGGCTGTCATGTAGCCTTGGATGCTACGTGACGCGCTCGAACACCTGTCGGAGAATTCCTTGACTAGCTCGTTGGAAAGGACTTCTGAGGGAGGGGTGGACGCCAGGACCTGCTCGAGAAGCTTGGCGGAGGTGCGAGCTTCTTCCAACCGGTTGGCCAGCTCGACCGGGTCGGGGAGGCGTCTGCTGCTCTGAGTAGTCCCTCTAGTCCCTCGGTGAGGAATAGGAGCTTGGAATTGTTGGAATTGGTTAGGATGGAAGGCTGGCGCCGGCCACGTCCCGGCAACTGGTGCCACGGGAACTATTCCCTGTGCTGCGTGTTAGCCTGACTGGACCAAGGTCCCGCCTTGGGGCCCGGCCGAGACTCACCCCATAGGCCTTGTAGGCCTTTTCTTTCTCCTTCTTCCACATTTCTATCATCAACTTGAGCCCTTCGTCTTGGCTCTTTGTGTTCTCGAATGCGTCCAGCGTTTCCATTAGTATTTGGCGCACGCTTGCATCGCGCCCTGACCTAAGCAGCTCCTTGGTGGTGTCGACAAACTTCTTGTCAAGATTCCGCGTAAATCCCGGCCCAGGATTGTCCGTCAGGATGCGGATCAACATGATGGCGTTGTACTGACATTGCGGCTTCGTCCAGTAGTCGCGCGTCATGTACTTGCGGATCAGGCGGGCGCATTCGGCGGCGGCGGCGGGAGACGCGACGGCAGCCTCGACTATCGAAGGCAGGAATATGACATCGTCGCCCTACAATTGCGCACAGATTTGACGCTCAGTTACGTCTTCTTGAGTAAACCGACGTTGGAGTGGACTGCGACACATACCGTCGCGCTTCCCACTGACTGGCAAAATTGCCTCTGGGGAGAAGAAGGGTGTCAGCAAGCAGCTCGCAGCTCGCAACTCGCACTCGCAACTTGTGCAAACTTGCTGGGATCGTAATCGTACCACACAGCGCTCGGCGATGGCTTCCGGGGTGCCGCTCCCGGGATCTGCTGATGTTTCCTCGGAACCTCCTCCCTAAGTGTCAGTTTTGGCATTGTCGTTCGGACTAGGGTCGCCCATTTACCGGCAAAGGTTGGCCGCCTCTTGATGCTACCCAGCACCTTGTTCATGCTGAAGCTCTTCATGGCGGTCCAAGTGTCGCGACTTAGCGCGCGCAAAGACGTTGCCGGCTTCAGCTCGAATTTACCGTAGCGGCGCACAAACGTCGCAGTAGCGTACGGCTACAGGATGACGCAGGCAGGAGTCTGACGCGCGATCGATCAGAGATGCGATTCCCCTTCGACAATGGTTTAGGCGGTCAGGTGAAGTTGGAGTCAGAATTGCCCCGCGAACCCATGACTGTGCCGCGTCGTCCTTCTCCCGTTTGTGCTTTGCCGCCAAGGCAAGGGCCGGGGGGCCGCAAGGCAGTAGGCAGCAAGGGTCCTTGTGTTGCTTGATACAAGCCCCGTTTTCAATACAACCCCCAATCTTTGACGTCGGCCCGTCCGCGTGTCCCGTACCGCCCTTCTTCTCTTGCTGTCTCTACTGTCTGGTCGCTACCTTTATTACCTACATAAAATGGTGCTCAAGCGGAGGTTGTTGAGTCCTTCTGACGTGTTGAAGCACAATTGTTGAGCTCCGCCATCCCCAGTTTGAGCGACTGAGACAGGCTGGGCCGGGGACGCATGTATAAGTGCGACGTAACTTGCATGGTTTTGTAGGTATGTACATATGTACCTTACTTTGTGCCTTCAGTTACATTATCCAGGTAGGTACTTGTCCTACAATCATACAGTCATACAAATGATCCTGAGAGAGAGGGGCATGGATCCAATTGCCCAATTGCCTACATGTAGTCCAGTGCCCACAGCGAAACTCTCCCTCCGCTGCTAGTGACGACGGGCGATCACTGACGGGCGACACGGCTACCCCAGATGTTGCCAAGACTGCACTCAACCTGCACAGCCTCGTTTGTCGCCGTCCGGACGCGCAAGCAGCCATCCCATCCAAAGGGCTCAAACCCAAAGTTTTGGGACGAAGTGATGCTCGGCCGTTGACAGTGACATGCGTGCCCGGTATTGAGCCACAAACGGTCACGGCGATAAGGTATGGAAGTGTCACGATCTCGTCAACCATTTTGTGGGCGTGTCTCGTGCCCCCATCTCATCTGTCTTTCGTGGCCCATTGGTCCCCTCAACTCGTACGGACTGTCACCGACTGGGGCCCTGCAGGTACAATTCCAGACTGTGCTAAGCAGTTCTTGACATGATCCAAGACATCAGCACCCAGCAACACGCTCTATTCATCCTGCGCTTGATCGTCAAGGCTTATGTCCTCAACCACGAGACTGCCGCCCCTCCCCATCTTCTCTGCAATCGTTGTGGTCTCGCTGGGCTCGAACGTCTCACGTGGCATAACCGATGCGATGTGGAATGCGTACTTGTGCTCGTAGTCCGCTGGCTTTCCCACCTTTTCGTCGCTGAGTCCTTCCTGTAATAGATCGTAGCATTCCACAAAGGCATAGAGTTCCTCCAGGGTCGTCTGGCTGTTAAATCTCCGGATTACTCTCCCGCCGCCGGACGAAACGGGCATGGTGATGGCCAAACGAACCGCATCCTTGACGCTTGCATCGGGCTCTGGAGCTACCGTCGTTGCCCGCCACTTTCTCCACTGTTGCCGCAACTTCTGATGCCGAGCTGCTGCCTCGGCTTCCTCCTGTGCACGCTTCTCTGCTGCCGCTGCTGCCGCTGCGGCCTCCCGTTTCTGGCGTGCCCTCTCCCGGTCGAGGGCGAGGGATCTCTCATACGCTGAATCCTGCTGAGATCGCAGATTACGCGCGACTTCTTGAGCAGTCCGCTCTGCGCGGACAGCGTTCAAATCGGGGCCATGTTTGGTGAGTGCGTTCTGGATGCCCGTTATATATGCATCCGGTGTCATGGGCCCCACAAGCCGCTTGACAATCCCCATCCGAGTGCTGCCCTCCTTGGGAGTGAGGCAGACCAAACATGAAAAAGGGTACTTTAGGCAACCATACTCTCTGGCTACCTGATATGCCTCCGAGTCTAGCACATTGCCTCCCCACAAGATGATGTTGTTGGCGGGATCGTTCACGAAGTTCACAACTTGGGGCGACAGGAGGGTGTTCCGGACGAAGGAGTCAGTGTCGTCGTGCTCAGGTGATATTAGCACCATCAGCAGGAATTTGAGGTCCTTCTTCGCCGCATCCAATGCCTGAGCATGCCCCCCTTCATAGAAGGGAAGCCCATGCGCACCGTACTCCTCCTCAAAGTCGCGTTTGAACCTTCGTACTGTCTCCTTCGGTAGCGTCACCCTCCGGCCGCTCGTCTGCCTCAAGCCTTTGCGAATGGATGAGGGCACTACCCGTGGCCAGATCGACCTGGGCAGAAAGGAAAAGAAGTAAAGGAGCGACCTGAAGATGCCGCCAAGAATCTTGTACCCCATTTGAAACGGGGCGAAGAGAATCGCCACCAGGAATGGTGTCCGATATAGCACAGAAGGTTGAGGCACTACCCGCGGCGCAGGCTCCGTCTGGGGCCGCCTTTGCGGGCGATACGGCCGGCTGTCAGCCTCTAGGAAGCTCTCGTGAAGGGTCTCATGCCTGGCAGCCGTGCGAGGGATACTATCGTGCGCAGCCTGAGCTTCGGCAAGCGGGTCAGGGGCTTCCCCATCAAAGAATTTGGCAATCGCAATCTGCACGGCAGTCAGCGCTGTCTATGAGACAGAGGGCGGGAATCGAAACGGACCTGGACGTTCCATTGGGACCTTTCCAGTAACGGTATTGCGTCCTTAACCTCCTGGCTGGTCACATCGGTATATTGCTGCAGAGCCTCCTGCTGGTTTGCAGAAAGCGAGCCAAGATCGAAATCAACCGTCCCGCTCATCGTGCTCCGCCAGGAAGGCAACTGCTATCCTCTCCGAGCAGGCAATGGAAATGCGGAAGCGTCAATCGGCCAACATGTCCCCGGGCGTGGATTCGCGGATAATAGTCAGTATACGAATACAAAATCCTGCCTGCGCAGATTCCTGCTGGTCGAGAACCGTGATAGTCGTGTCCGGGCGTCCGAGTCCCCCGAGCGCAAACGGAAAAGGACACGGTAGTGTGAACGTGACCCGAAGAGAATCAGAGTTGACAGTAAGCGGGGTGGGTATGATTGTTACGGACAACGGGAATTGTGTGTGGGCGATGAGTCGGGACACGCCGTCGAGAGTTTAATAGTGGTTTGCTGTCGCTGCCGCAGAGAGCCTGTTCAGGAGGGCAGATCTGTACTGTGTAGGTCAGTACGGATGTAGGTGGTCTTTTAAAGAAGGTAGATGAGGTCAGCAAACCTTCGTATAACGTTACAGCGAAGGTGGATTGGATAGATATGCTAATAAACCGTTGCATCCGTTTAATCGAGATCAATGCATTGCTTTGTGCATTTTCAAGGCTGAAGATCCGAAGCACCAACAGGGAGCGAGGGGGTCAAGCCCCACCCATTAACGACCTGCCTGCCACTATGTAACTACCCACCCACTGCCACTTCCACACCCCGTACATACACTCCCAAGCGCACTGCGGGAACCCCCCAGCGCTTTTTGGGTTCTCCAACGTTTTTAGTCTGTGGTCGGCCCGTCGCCGACGACGTGGGCTAAGACATTGACCTGCCTGTCGAGCGCCGGTTCCGCGATCCAAAGCCGCGATCACCCCCTCACTCTCGCTGCCGCCGACTCCGCTTTGTCCAGCTCTGATCGCCATTGTCCTCGCCGTCGCCGTCGCCGCCCAGGTTTCGTGTTTATCCATATGCGCTCCTATGGGTGCCTTATCGTCTCTTCAGTCGCTCGAAACATGGGAGAATTCCGCCATCAGCAAGTGAGATGCGCCATCTTTTACCCTTCTCCCTGGGCATCCTATCCCCTTCTCCGATCCGAATGCCTTACTGACACGCCGTTCCCCCAGATATCATAGAACCGGTCAAAGGGCTGTCTCGTGTCCTTGATTCCGTCGCCTGCCCACCATGGCTGCGACGCGATACTCCTCGACTGACCTCAGGCGTCAGGTCGGTTCTCCAAGATCCAAGGGCCGAGGTGGGTTGCGGCTGCTTTCCATTGCTGCCATGCTGCCGCTGACCCGCACGTGCCAGAGAACAAGGATACGCTCTGTCGCAACATTCTTATATACGGCCATTGCCGCTACGAGGACCAAGGGTGCTCCTTCAATCATGACCAGAACAAGAATCCTTCTTCGCAAACAGACTTGTAAGTTTGGCCTCTCCCCTGGCATGGTCAAAGCCTGTTGTGTCTTACCAGCTTGCAGCGGTTCCAAGAAGACATTCAATGTCGACTCGCCGTCCTTTACCCCGTCGAGCCAGCAGTCCGCACCGCAAAAGAAATCCACCCTCTCTTCGCAGGCTGCGAGTGCCGCTCCATTTACTCCTCGAGGAGTAGGCAGTGAGTGCTGAATTCAAGCACGGGACGAACTGCGCTGTGTCTGACATGCTGCTGTAGCTCCGAACTTACAACAAACTACCGAGACTTCCATGTTTAATCCGGCAGTCATCAGGGAATTCACTCCGCAAAACTATGACATCGGGAACACGGTGCGTATGGTCCATCGTGTTATGAGAGGCGCATGTTTCGCTTACCCAGGGTTTCTAGAACTCAGGAAATGGCATTGTCCAAGAAAACGGGCTGTATGCCGACCCTTTCACTACCATGAGCACCATGGGCACAGCACTGCCGTCCGCCGGCCAGTTTAACCTGTACGCAGGTGACAATACTACCCTCGCCGGGTCGGGACCCCAATTCTATCCCCAACACGCGGCGTTTCCTACAGGACCCCTCCAACCACCAAACTACCATCTCTACCAACCGTTTGATTCTTATCGGCAAGAGCTCCAGCCATGGCAGCGGGCAACATATGACTTCTTCATGCCCGCCAAGATGCGGGAAGACCTGCAGAAGAAGATGTTTGCCATTCAACAAGTGATGCCGAGTGGGTTCCAACGCCGACTTGAACCACTTGCGAGGTGCTAACACTACTAGATTCTGGTCTCCCTCAGCTCGAGCACTGGCATTCACTGTTTCCGCTGGACACTAACAACAGGAAGAACACGTCGTCTTTTGGCTACCCTAGTTGGGTATACAAGGCACAGAATAGCCGAAACGGAAGGCATTACGCCCTGAGGAGGCTTGAAGGTACGAAGAATCACCTATAGGGCTTTGCGGTTGATATTAACCCAGTCACACCAGGCTACCGATTGACCAACGAGAAGGCCATTCTCACTGTTATGAAGGAATGGAAGAAGATCAAGAATGCCAATGTCGTGACTGTCCATGAAGCTTTCACGACCAGGGAATTTGGCGACAGTTCGCTGATATTCGCCTTCGATTACCATCCCCTGTCAAAAACTTTGCACGAACAGCACCTCCAACCTCTCCACGGCAATCGATACAGGGCGCCCAGTGCCGTAGCGGAGAATGTTTTATGGGGATACATTTGCCAGATTACGAATGCTCTGAAGGCCATCCATTCCAACAAGCTTGCCGCTCGGTGCATCGAACCCAGCAAGATCATCGTCTCGGAGCAGAACCGCATTCGGCTCGCGGCGTGCTCCATTTTGGATGTGGTGCAGTTCGAGGCCAATACGCGACCCGTACAGGAGCTCCAGCAGGAGGATCTTGTCAAGTTTGGCAGGGTCATACTTTCTCTGGCGACGGGAGCGCCACCGGCTCACCTCAACAACATACCGGCCGCTCTGGAGTCATTAGGCTCCAAGTATTCGGCCAACCTGAAGGAAGCCGTGCAATGGCTCATCGCGCCGCCGAGCCCGGGCGAATCAAAGAGCATTGACAACTTCATCGGTGGTATTGCCACACAGATGACGACCTTCTTCGACCTTGCTCTGCAGGACAACGACGAGAAGCAGTTTCATCTCGCCAGAGAACTGGAAAATGGTCGCATTGCCCGCAACGTAATGAAGCTGGCTACGATAGTTGAGCGCGGCGATCTCGGCGGTGTGCAAGGCTGGTCCGAAACCGGCGATCGGTACCAGCTTAAACTCTTCCGCGACTATGTCTTCCACCGTGTCGACGCTGACGGAAAGCCTAATCTTGGCATCGGGCACATGCTCAGCTGCATGAGCAAGCTCGACGCGGGCATCGACGAAATGGTCGTCTTGACTAGCCGTGATAACGAGACCGTCTTTGTGCTGACGTACCGGGAGCTCCGCCAGATGCTTGATCGCGCGTTCAACGAACTCGTGAAGCTCAGCAAGACCGGCGCCCCTGGGGCGAATTAGGCGCTGCCCACGCCGGAGCAGTTTTCGTTCAAGACCCGCCCGAGCACACCGGGGCTGGTGGCGATGGCACGGAAGCATATGGGGAGCGTATCACGAGCAATTTGTGCAGTGCCGCCGATACAAGTGCGGCACCGAAGGAGCGAGTCTCCAGGCGTTTTGAGCGAAAGGTCGATGCTGGCGGTGTGTTGGAGGACTGTCCCCGAATTCCTGAAACCGGCGGCAACACACTGTCGGTACCGAACAATGTGATGGACCTGGGCAGGCGATTGGTGTGCCCGAAGTGGAGTCCACAACCAAGCGCAGGTGTCACGGGATCACTGTGGGAGCCAGATCCCAGGATGCGGTGGGATGCCATGCATATATATATATGGTATAGGAGTGGAAATATCAGCGAGTATGTTGTTAGCTAGCGCGCGTCGTTTGAGACCGAGAAAATAAAATCCAACGCAATATATATTCTACACTTGCTGATATGGGCTTGTGATGTAGCTTGTTGGCCGATTGCATAATGCGTGGCCAAGAGTACGTTGAGAGAACTCGGCTCTATTCCTGTTGGTACCTAGACCAGCCGCTTGTCCTTTGGCCAGCGTAATACTGGCTCTGGCCATGTCGGCCGTAGGAAGAGCAGACCTGGGGGCATGATCTCAACCCCTACCGCCGTCTGCCGTCTGCTGTCTGCGGTCTGCTAGTTCCCACACAGCGATCGCCAGGCCGAAGCAAAGCCGTTTCCGGCGCGACGGCGCGTCGCCGAATGCCCCGGCTTTCCTTGGTGATTCTCTCCAGCTAGTGCATGCAACCCTTCGTAACATACTCCTCGACGGGTCATCCTTCTCTTGGCTCCAATTCCCCCATTCAATCTTGATCGTCTTGCAGAAACGGGTTCGCTATCACCTCACTTCCGTCCACCGGGCTCACCACCACTAGTAGGGTTCCGCGCACAACCACTAGGCCCAGCGGTCTGGTCATCTCGTTTCCTTCGTCGTCTGCGAGGAGAGAGAGCAGGCAAGGCGAGGTTCAAGTCAGTAACCAATACTCAGGGGTCTCCTTCGCAAATAACCAATTGACTCGGGATGCCGGATTTTCTCCAGAGATTGAACTCACCCCTGAGCAATTCCTCCACCTCATCCAAGACCAAATTCATCAGCGCGTCGTACCCCTTCAAAACACCACTCGCTGAACCCCGCCGCCAGTTGTCAGCCATTTTCCATTTCTTCTTCCATTTCTCGTCATGGGTAGATATACCCTAGCGGTAGCGATCAGAGGAGGGAAGGAGGAGGGAAAGGAAAATGGGAGTAGCGGGAGAAGGGAGAAGAAAGGGGGTCAAGAACGCGCAACACAAACCTTCCCGTCCGCCGTTGAACTTGACCGTGATCCGCTTGTCCATGTACTTTTTCAGGTCCAGGATGTTTTCCTTCTTGGGCCTTTCCTGTCCTGCTGCTCCTCCTGCCCCACCGGGGGCTGCTGCTGCTGCTCCGGCGCCGCCTCCCCGGCCGGGCCCGCCTCCGCCGCGACCACCACCTCCTCCCCTCGACCCGCCGCGGCCGCGGTGGGGTCGGTCGGCCATGATCTCTTCGTTTGTTGTTTCCTTCTTTTAGGTTTGAGTTTTTTTGGTTTGGTGGGAGATCTCGGTGCCTTAGCTAGGGGTGAAGTAAATTGTAAATACGGAACCCGGTAACTGTTGTAGCTAAAGGTAGCGTTGAGTGGGAGGAAGGTCTCGGAAGGTGTGTGGTTGTAAGGCAGGCTCGGGAGGTTCCGTTGTGGTGGCTCGTTGGTGGGGTGCGACCGTCAGGAAGCTAAAATTTCTTGGGCGACAAGGGGAAGCCCCACAACAAGGCACGAAATGTGGGGCCGCTTGAGGCTTGCGTGCATGGAGGAGGTGGTCAAAGCTTCCCGAACCTCTGGGCGCCAAGACATGAAAGGTTTGGGACCTGACTTGTACGGAAGTCTCGGGGCGGGCCGAGTCTGTAACGACCTCTCGCCAACATTTCCAACTTCGCAGACCAACCCCCATTAGATTCATAGCGAGGCGGGATATTTAGGCAATCCGTATAGGTTATTCCACGCTATATATGTGGGTTCATCCCCCGATTACAGGCGAGATTGCATTGTACACACCCAACCAGACGCACGATACAGGGAGAAGAAAGAGCTACAAGGCGATGCTGCTGGCATCGTCAAGTTTCAGCTGTCGACCGGAGGGGCCATCGCCCAACCTTGGACCAGGTAACAGCACAACGTCTGCTGGTTCTGGGCTCATTTATGCCAGATTATGTACCCACACAGAATCCTAGTCAAGGGGCGGATGGGAAGTCATCGATATCCACGGGGTTTACCTACTTAGACTTACTCCCAGCTTTACAGGTTGTCTCCTGCCTGCCTCTCAACTTATTTGGCCATATACACGGCATCATAAAATTACGAGAATTAGATCGAACTTGGCTAATCATGATCTCCCTAATGCTAACGTGTTGATACCGGAGAATATAACGATAAGGCGAACTGAGTTGGGGAAGCCTGAGGAACCGTCCGTCAGTCCCCATGGATTTTCAAGCTCAACCGACCACATCAGATGCTCGAGATCAGCGACGGGACTGCAGTGTGATCAAGTGAATTTCACATAGGTTCCAGTGCAATAGAAGGTATTGTACCAAGAGCTCTCCTTCCATACCCGCAGTCTAAGTCACAAGTCTGCTGAAAAGTTGACCACCTGTTTGTTTCGGTTTGAAGCAGGATATCGAAGTAACATCCCGCATAGCCTACTCGCCGTATCAAAAGAGGGGGATTGGAATTTGCTCTTCCCTTAACCCAAGGGGATGCTGGCGGCAGCCGCAACTCGTTCAGACAGCCGATGTCCAGGCGATGTCCGGCTCAGAGTTGCATTACCAATGCCTTGAGGATACGAAATATGTCCCAGAAGCCTCCTCACTTTTCTGCTTGCCTTATAACTTACGTGATTGCCGCTTTAGTCACCTTTCGGCGTGAGTAAGGGCACCCAGTCTTGTGCACTTTCATTTTCAGCACCGCTCAGTTTCTGAAACCAACAAACCAACCCTTGTTATTGTGTCCAAGATAGGCATCGCTCTTCCGGCCAAGCTGGAAAGACTAAGGTAGTATCAAGCTAGCAATAGCAGTATGGTAGATACTGTCGACTCTATTTTCACCTTCGGAGTATCCTCGAGCCTGAGTCGAGTTACAGCTTTGCCATCACAATGCTGGATGGAAACGCTCAGTACTTGGTAAAATGCCATGAACTGTGGCCGCCGTCCTGCAGGTCGTCTTGATAGCAGCGGCGGACAGCTCTGTCATATCATGAATCTCACTTGAGAACGCGGCTGACCGAGGAGGGGGTGGCCCAGGGAAGGACGATGGGTGAAATTGCTGTACAAAGCAGGATTCTACTTGATATAGTGAAAAGAAGAAGAGGATGTGCTTTCCAAGTCAAAGGCAGTTAAATTGATGCCCTCGGAGGGTTTTCACAGCAAAAGGAGTTTTACTGGGTGCTGCTGCCTAAGATTGGGGTTGTGACTACATGCAGAGGAGAGAGGAGGGGTAGGGGATCCGTCGAAGGATACCAATTCCCATCTCCCATTCTACGTTGAAGCAGAGTAGTAGTAGTCAGTCGGGTATGGAACTCACTTCGTTTTGCACCTGCCGCTGTGTATCGGTCTCGCCAAACGAAACGCAAGGTTGATGTCCCCGGGGTTGTAATCCTTCGAGGCGATTTGCCTGAAAGTATGACCTTGCTGCCCAATATATATACATATAGTACAAGCAAATATGGGAATCAAATTCCGAGGCGTGGGTTCATTGAGGCGAGCGGATGGTGTAAGTTGGCGGCCGTCTGGTGATTCGAACCCACATCGAGAGCGTGGTCCTTGGCTGGTTAGCAAGCAGGGCAAATTCTAGAATGGGCACTTCTTGTCGCAAACGGCGGCGACCCCGGAAATAGGTAGCACATGTTGACCAGGTCCCCTCCAGGCAGATGGACTACTTTAGGCACCTTAGTAAGGAGGTACTCACGGGACTGGTGCCATACTCAAGGTATGTATGGAGCTGAATGGAGGAAGAATATCGAGCGTAGAGTAGCACCAAGGAATTCAGGGGGTTGTCCTCTTTGCGCATGTCAACGAAAACAAGATCATCATCGGGAATGGCAACATATAGCCGTCTTCTTTGAATGAAGCTGTTGTTGCGGTGCGGCGATTTCCAACCCATCACCGTGCATCCGAGAGTGGTCCCAACCTGGAAGTTACCGTTTTGTTCCTGTCATGACAACAATGCCTGTTCCCCTCAACTCCAATCTTTGAGTCTTTCCAGCCCAGTGCCTCTCACCGAACGTTAGCCGCTCCGCCCCGGGCCCAGTCCCCTCTCCGCAAACTAAACCTGAGTCGTAGACGGTTCATTGGAACTGACCAAGCAAAATGCTTGAGACTTGAAGAAAGGCCTGCCTCCGGGCCGCATACTACCATCCACAAAACCCGCTGCAGCAAAACGCACAAGCCAGGTCAGAGGACAAAAAAGGCACATGGCAGATAACCGAAACCAGCTCGATGGGGTGGTGCAAAGTACTGAGGTAGCCTGCTGGTTGCCGCCGTCGGGCCGGATCGGGGCAACCCTCCCCTGGAACTGCTCGGTTCCCCCTTGGGGCCAGCGAAGGAGGTGATAGCTCGTATAGAGTAGACTTGCACTTGCACGGTGCATGGCCTCGGAGGAGGAGCTCGGGTGGCACCGACGCTACTCGGTACGGTCAATGGGTGTTGAGAGGGGTGGGGATTGGGGATGAGGTGCCATTGCCTGGGCAGTCTTGACTCTTGAGAGCAGGAGCACGGGAACCTGAAGTTAGAGTAGGCACTGTACTTATACAAACAATACCAGCTGGTAGATGGATGCTTTAGGTTTTTGTGTCGTTTTGACCATTGCCCTTGCTACGTACTGTACTCGCCTTGTTTGCTAGGGTCCATCTCTCCGTTAGCAATGAGGTAGGTGTAGCACTTACGGGTGGCCCATTCATCCACCACCCCCCAAGCCCAGCCTCTTCCCTTTAAATACTTTGGGTAGGCCCCCTTGCTTCCAATCCGCTTCTTCTTTCTCTCCTCCACACCTGAACCCAAGCAATTTGCATTTGCTCTCCCCACCCCTGTCCAACTACACTACAACTACAACAAGGCTATGCGAGGTTGTGGGCATTGTTTCTATACCATTGCAACCTCTGCGCGCCTCGGATGGCAACCGTGCAACTTACGGCATAGTTTGCAATTGCTTTGCCTGCGTCGTCTTTAGGTTTTGAGCAGGTTGCACCCCCAGATATCGCGCCCTTCTCCCTGAGAGCTCGCGTGTTCCTGGCCACAAAATTGCTCCCGCACCCGACCTGACATCCGCCCCCCCCCCTTTCTGTTTTCGCTGCATTTGCACCCGCGCCGCGTCTGGGCGGACCGAACTCTCCGCTCACTCAGCTCACTTAGCCAGTCAGCCTAGGTATTACATACCATTGCCCAACGCCCACAACGCGTTTGCACTTCGCATCTAGCTTGAAAAATATTAGCAGGCAACTCACCACCATCGTCGCGTCAGCCACCTGCGGCAATGGCGGTCGTGGAAATGGCGCCGGCAATGGCCGACCTGAGCGCCTTGCTGAGCGAGTCTAGCTTCTCGAGCACTCCCACCGACGCGTCGTCCTCTAACGCCGCGTCTCTGAGCTCCACACCTCCAACCACCGTTTCCCCAGACAGCATGTCTCTGGCCTCTGAGCCTGACATGCCCAAACTCGAGACCATTGCCGCCTCCAGCATCGAGGCCGCCATCTCGTCTCTTGCACTCCCCGAAACCGAGCAGCATGAGTCAGGCCAGCAAACGCCCCTCGGCCGCGACGCCATCATCGTTGCCGACCGGCCCCTTCCAGCCGAGCCTCCCTCGACCGGCCGGCCGCGACGCTCCCGATCAAGTCTGCCCGTCTATAACCTTGCCAAGCTGGCCGGTACCAGCCATAAAAGGCAACGCGCAGACCAAGATTCCCTTCCCGGGAAAAGGCGCCGCACCATGTCAGGGGACGCGCTCGCAAACAACGGCAATACGAATACGAAGGATGCGGTTGGCGCGAGCCGAACCTCCCGAGTCGGAGTCGCCCCGTCTGACACGGAGTCGACTGCAAACGTTAGCACACCCAAGAGCGCGCCATCCTCCAAGAGATCTGCCCCAAGCACTTCGCCGGCGCATATTACGCGTAGAGCGACGCGTCTTTCCGGCACACCTGTCGAGACGCTGGCGACCAAGCTATCGGCTCTCGGCAAGCGGGGGAAGAAGACGCTTGACAAGGGATTGGGGCGTCTGTCGCGCGAGCTGAAGCGGCTGCAAGATACAGACGAGTTCGCCCACATCGACACGCGCCCTGTCCGCTACACCGTATGGAGTAATGGGAAATACGTTGATGTAGACCCCGCGCAGGAGCCGCCCCAAGAACCTCCGCGGAAGAAAGTCAAGACCGATAGGGATGCTGCGGATGCTGTCGATGCGGCAGACAAGGTTGCTGCCGCCGAAAAGCAGGAATCCGACGCGCCCGCGACCAAGACGCGGCGCGTCAAGAAATGGCTAGATAAAGGGCTCTATGCAGGCCAGGAGGCGCCCATCGATGTACTAAAGGGCCTCACGGCTCAAGAGCGCAAGAAGCTCGCGTCCCTTCCGGAGCTCATGCCCAGTGGCAAGCCAAATCGGGCGCTCCCGATGCCCATGTATAATGGCCTGCGCATACTGATCAATGGCCGCGACTTCAAGCTGCCGTTTGATGTCTGCAATCCCCTCCCGCCGGGCCAGCCAAAGCCTGCTGCCTACCGTACCATGACCAAAAGTGAGTACTCTAGCCTGCTACCACTCGTCTATCCGGGTGCCATGTGCTAACCTGCGTTGACAGACCGTTTCGTTGGAGACGCCGGAGCCTACTGGAAGAAAACGCCCCATTTCGGGGATTTTGCGTCCAAGTGCGTCTGCAAACCCGAAGACGGGTGCGGTGAAGACTGCCAGAATCGTATCATGCTCTACGAATGCGACGAGACGAACTGCAATGTTGGTAAGGAATATTGCACGAACCGCGCCTTTCAGGACCTTCAGGAGAGGACCAAGAAAGGCGGCCGGTACCGGGTGGGCGTTGAGGTCTTCAAGACTGCCGACCGGGGCTACGGTGTGCGCAGCAACCGCTGCTTCGAAGCTGGGCAGATCATCATGGAGTACACGGGCGAGATCATCACGGAAGAGGAGTGCGAGCGCCGCATGAACGAGGTGTACAAGGATAACGAGGTGGGCGCTTACTCTTTCGGGTTTTGCAGCGTTAGAAAACCTTGCTAACGGTGACTTCTAGTGCTACTATCTCATGTCATTCGACCAGAACATGATTATTGACGCAACCACTGGTAGTATCGCGCGGTTCGTCAACCATTCGTGTTCGCCCAACTGCCGCATGATCAAATGGATCGTCTCCGGGCAGCCTCGCATGGCCCTCTTCGCCGGCGACCGCCCTATCATGACAGGCGAGGAGCTGACATACGACTACAACTTCGACCCCTTCTCTGCTAAGAACGTGCAGAAGTGCTTGTGTGGTAGTCCAAATTGCAGAGGCGTTCTCGGTCCCAAGCCCAAGGAGGTCAAGGCTGCCAAGCAGCAGCAACAGCCGCAACAGCCAGCTAAGGACGCCGAGAAAAAATCGGTAAAAGGCGTCAAGAGCTCGGTCAAAGCAGGCAAACGGAAGTTGAAGGACCCGTTTGCTTTTGACAGTGAGGACGATGACGAGGCCGAGGCCAGTACGAGGGCGATCAAAAAGCGAAAAATTGACAAAGCCTCGACTTCCCTCAAGAAGGCCCTATCAGCTACGAAAAGCGTGAAGGGGGCAAAGAAGGCAGCAAAGGGCGCAATTTCAAAGATCAAGCGGACTGTTTCGACCGTCTCGATGGGGGGAAAGAAGACCAAGACAGCGCTCACCATCACGAAAGGGGCAAAGGTGAAAGCAAAGGTGGCGCTAACCACTTCCAAGGGCATGAAGGGCAAGGTGAAAGCCAAGGCCAGCACGAAAGTGATCAAGCGCGCCACTACGACTTTTACCACTTCTGCCACCCTATCTGGCAAGAGCACAAGCGACAGAAAAGCGGGCGCAGTCAAGACAGATGGCAGGAAACCCATTCCGAAGCTTGCCACCGGCTCGCCGTCTAGGAGTCCGAGCTTGACCATTGTCGCGGCGGGGATTGGCTCTGCGGGGACGGCGGAGAAGGCTGGCGGACATCCGTCGACACCGAATAGGACAGGCCCGATGAGCGCTGAGCTGGAGACCACGACGACGACGGCGGTGACCAAGTCGGCGCGGAAGTCGACTCCCTCGTGGAAGGCTAGGGAGAACGTGGCTGTCATTAACAAGGAGAGGAAGAAGAAGGAGGGAAAGGGAAAGGAAAGCGAGAAGAATGAGAAAAGGGAGAAGGACAAGGAGAATGTCAGCGCCGCGACATCTGCAGCGTCTACCCCAAAACCGGCCAAGACAACTACCAAGATCCGGGTGATCACGACGACGGCCGGTAAGCGAGGGCTGGGTGTCGCCGATCGTTGAGTCATGGAGAATACTAAGGAGAGCTAGACCGCGTTAAGGCCGATGTGGGTAGGGAGCTGAGGGGGTGGGAGATGAAAGGGTGACGGGGAATCGATTACTTGGAGTTTTCAGGTTTTCTAATGCTGCATTTGGAATGGGAGGGCAAAGAGCCACCACGGAATGGTATCTTGCGGTAAATGGTGCCTAGGAAACGGTTATGGATATTTACGTCGTGATATGACAACCCCGTATTCGTACTTCTTGGTGGTGATGGGGTTGGGGCCCGGTATGGCGAACGCAGGAGAAGCGGGTTTGTCGTTTTTCCATCTATCTTTCTGTTTTACATATATATTTTATTCATTCTTGATCCTCATATCTGCAGGGTAGAGATGACAGGATTTCTTCAGTCGTTATTGGAGAGTCAAGTTGGCGAAGGCCGTGAGTCAACACCCCATCTGCTCTTGGCGTTTCCTGTGCGTATTTTACATAATTACTTACGGAGTTACCCCTGGTGGAACAAGTAACTTGCCATCAAGGCTCCTGCAGATCACATCCTCAGCTGCATTCTCCAGGCGATCGACCTTGCTTATTTAGGATTGCAGCACTGGACGATCACTCTTGGAAGCCAGCCCTATGTATGTATGTACAGTACACTTAACCTTACGTATGTGAATACGAAGGTACGAAATGTAACTACCTTACAATACATACAGTGAAATATACGCCTGTTACATTCTCCGTACACTTTCAGTTGTAGGTCTCGGGTCGCACCGGCGAGAAAGGTGTGTCTGTGGCAGCGTGGCTGAGACATCCCGCCATTTCCTCGGGCTCGAGGTCGGGCCTCTTTGCTTTGCTCTTCGACTCCCTTGGTCATTAACATACTCCGTACATAGCAGATCATGGCATCTAACGCCATTACCTATGTATTCACCTGTATACATGCCTGCAAGCAAGGACCCACTCTACAATGCCGGTCCGGTGAAGGTCTGGCTGATTTCGCTGGCTAAACTGACGTTGCAACTTGTTCCCCAGGGTCTTCACCGGTGATGTGCAGTTGGGTCCTGGGCTGTGTTTTGTCCGCCTCTTTTGCCCTCCTTTTCTTATTTTCCTCTTTTCCCCTGGTCAATTGACGATGATGATTGACGTGGCACGAGTGAGTCGGCATCAGTTTGAAAATTTGAAGTTTGAATGCGCCTGCCGAGATGCGCGGGCTCGGAGGGCATCTGGTTACAACTACACTACATTCTCCAGGAACCTGAAGTATGGCTGCCTCAGTTGGAACTTGGAACAGCCCAGGTTTTCAGGTTTGCGCATCCAAGGAGCAAAAAGGGGGTGTGTGCGGAAAAAAAACGTATTGGTAATTGGTATTGAAAAAGCACTGGTAGGAATGGTGGTCTATTGTGGGTTGTTGGGTGGGTTGTTGGGTGGGTTGTTGGGTGGGTTGTTGGGTTGGTTGTTAGAGGGAAACCCAGTGCCTCTGAGGATGCAGTCTCAGGCAGTATAAATACAGAGGCCCCACCCGTTCCTTGTGCCTTCCTAACCATGTATTTCAACACCTCAAAGTAAACCCCTAGGCAGTTCCACAAGGGAGGTAACATTCTAGAACATTGGTGGAATCTGCCCAGACCTCAACGTTAAGTGTTGAACCTTGCACGGGGTTAGGCTACACTACACTAAACATCCACGTCTACGTCAGCAGAGAGGGCTTCTGGCGGTGTGTACGGAAATCAACAATGCCTCACGAGACTAGGTATAGCAGTTTGCCTTACATAGCTGCTAGGTACCGCATGTAAATTTCCACTCCACGCGAAGCCTAACCACGCCTAGGTACTAGCGCTTGGCAGACAACACATTTGAGGGCGCCGGGGCGCGCACTAGACTTGGAGACGACGAACAAAAGTCCGCGACCTAGAATCCGGTGTTGTGGCGAAATTTCCGCAATTTGGGATACCTCGGCCTGGGTCACCAGGGGTGAGTGGAAATTGGGTGGTTGACACCTAGGTATGGAATAGGCAAGACCATGTAACCTTGACACAGCAACTCCCCAGGCAGATAGTTCACGCTGCTCGGTGGGGAACTATGAAGGCTCACTGGCGCGTCCAGTTACAGCCGGCAGATCGCTGCTCCATATGCGGTTGGTTCTGGGAAGTTGGGAATGCAACGATGGGTCAGATTCAGAGTCATCATGCAGGAGCATCCGCACATGAACGCAGTATGCGCAACAACATCCATGCCATGCCATGCCCGCCGGCGACCGGCATCTCTCTGGGCTCACTTGATCACGTCATGGTTGCGGTGAGCTGATATCCTTGGACGAAACAACTGGCGGACCTGCCAAAACATCGGAGAGGGGTGTGAGGACGGTCAAGAGATATATGCCCAATGTATAGTTGTAGATTCTTGATCCTAAGCACAACTCCCTCACCGCCGAGATGCCTGAGCTCGCGCTGGTACCATCTACTCTAGCTAGTCCCTCTATAGCTCCATGATCCCAAAAACGAAATGTCGAGGTCCGGCCTCCGCATCAATGCATAACCAGAATTGTTGTGAAGTCAAATCAATACCCAAAAATCAAAATCCAAGCCATATTGCTCATTTCCCTTTCCTCTGAAAAACCAAATTGCAGATGGCCACTCCGGACATAGAAAATAGCCTTGGGATGTCGCGAGGCAAACCAAGCCAGAGAGGCTATGCCGTTTCAAATTGCATGACCCGAGGCGATATTTGTCATCCAGAAAAGGTCTGCTTCTGTGATGACCGAGAACGAAGGTTTCAGCGGCGAGTCGACCTCTTCTCTTTGGTGATGGTGCAGCTTTGGCACACGTGTAGACCGCAGCTGGGGCAGTGAGCCACCAATCTGAGGTTCTGGGGGCCCTCGCCACAGTTGCACTACATCGATAGTCAGCGCGGAGAAATGTCATTCATGGGGCATGGTCCTTACGCAGAACCAGATGGTAACCACTTTGGCGCTTGAAGATTCCTTCGGCATGGCGACTGCAAGAGGCGTTTGCGGCCGAGATTCAAGAATGAGGAAGGGCTTAAAGTACAGACGAGAAGCTCAACGAGACGCTAGGCTGCTTGGGCGGTCGACTTTCGAACTGGATACTGATCCTGCGTTGGAGAACGATGATAACAACGATGATTCGAGGTAGGGACTCGAACATTTTATAGATTACTTGGGACTACCAAGGGAGAGAATAGAAAAGGAATTTGGAAGGTTTGGCATTGCCTCAATACAATTCCAACCCGCCTTCCCCTGACTAGGAGTGTCGATACCTAGGCGGTCTTGCAGCAGTCGATTAGGCCGCTACGTAGCTGCGCCATAGTTGCCCACTTGGAAACCGGATAGAATCAGGCAATCGAGCTTGAAGCCTGCGAGGACAAGGCGAACCAAGGAGGCGCGAGAAGCTTCCGGTGATTGTTCCACTGGGAATCCATAGAAGCACGGTGGTGTTTGCCGTTGCGGGACCTGGGACCTGTGACTTATGACAACGCCGGGCAACGTTGGTGGTCAGAAGGCCCCGCAACCAGTCGATAGCTGTTGAGATGCCGGCGTGATGCTTCATTGGAGAGCATGCGCGATGGGCACTGCTTCGCATGCTTTCAATCTCGGTAGTTGCCCCGTAGGCGCAGCGTCTAAGCTTTTTGGGCACCTAGGCCAGGGCGCGAAAAGGGGATCGGTAGGTGGTACGCGACTTATCGAAGAGCTCAGGGCGATGTCGAGTTCAAACTCCTGAGTGCCAGACCCTGAAATCCGGGGCTCGGGCAAACGACAAGCCACTGCACAGGTCTGCGGTGAGGATGCCAGCTAAGCATCCATTTCCCCCGCTCTTTTTGGCAGCAAAGCGCAAACTCTTGATCAACGCTCTGTGCTGCACGAGGCCCGGACCTGATTAGTGGTAAGAATTGTCGCCGTTAATGAAACAGAAAAAAGCCGTTACTAACAGGTCGCACTAGCTGGTCGGGAGCTGCAGGTACAGTAATGGCTCGAGAGTAGGTAAGCAGGTAGGGTACGTACCACATGAGAGATGCGGCTCTGCGCCTTGACTGGTGTGTAAGAGAGTGGCACACAATCGATGAGGGGTACCGTAATTGTACAGAACTCTCCATCCTGCCCCTCGCTTTGCCCGTCAAAACAAGCTTGCTGCTCTCTTCAACAACCCAAGCCCAAGCTTTTCTGCACTGCTTCACCGATAGCCGACGTTTCACCTCACTCATCGGGTTGCGCACAAGGCACTTGGGGTGAAATGTGGTGTGGCTGAGTGTGAGCGGAGAACGCTGCGTTTGCATCATTTCCAGCCAGCACTTGACCGCCGGCTCTAAGAGCCCCGCCTCTAGCAGTGCTGCCTTGGGATGTGGAATGAAAAAAACTCAAGCAGCAATTGTCCCATGTCTGAGTCACCAAGAAAAATGCGGCTCTGCTTTTTCCCTGCTGGTGCTCCAGGATTCAAGCGTAGCAGCCCGGCGCTGTAATTGAATGTGACGTGCAGGCCCAGTCATGCGCCGCCTGATTGATGAGGTTGAGCCGTACAACTGCCACCCCAGGGCGGAACCGGCCGATTGCAAAGGATCCGACCTTGAAATTCAGAATTGACATTCTTTTCTTTCGCCGGGCGGTTGGCTCCAATCGGTACGGGTAATCTCGTCAATTCGGTAACGAATCCGGAAACCAGCTAGGCTGCCCGACTTTGCAGCCCTCAGCTGCGTGTGCAACACACAGGCCGAGCAAGAGGATCAACCCGGAGAGATGAAGGAAAGAATGAAATAAGACGAAGAAGAACGAAAGAAACTAGAAGTGAGAGAGATGGGATCGCCCACAAGCAACAGCCGGGACGGACCTCCCAAACTTCGGTCGCTCAAGGTCTGGTACCCCAACCGTCCTATTGGCTCCCGAGCTGATATACTGGACGGGTAAGCGGACGGCTTCATCCCGCAACCAGGTCTCCGACGTCGATATTAGTTCCGGATAGGACTTTGCTGACGACGTTGATAGCGACTCTGTCTGATCGCCGCTGTGAGCTGCCGCTCAAGGATACCGGCTGCTGTATAGATGGTGCAAGTTCTGAAGCGGCGATATCGATGCCGTCCATGTTGCTGTCGTTGTTATCGCACACCCCCAGGTTCGATTTTGGTGGATGCTGATCGACCTCCATTGGGCGGTAGTCCGTGATGGTCAATCGAACCCTCCACCGCCGTTCACATAGCCCTAATCAATCGTAGGGATCCGGTAAGTGCATCGAGTTCTTGTTGTTGACAGTGTATCTGCAGCGGGAGGATTTAGAGGAAAATGCCTCCTTCCAGATTGACTCGGCGGGCATGGGCTGCCACCCCCTTTGTAGGCAGTCGGCTTTGGCTTTCAGCATGAGGCTCTGTTGGTCGTGGGCTGAAAGCACAAGGCCCTCCATTTCAGAGGCCAACCCCCTATGACAAGATGGTGGTGAGCCTTCCTTGTGCATGGCGTCGATTTTCCAAATCATTTGGGTACCCTGCTTCTGACTCGCATGGACGCCTCTCGGTTTTCTGTCAGGTGCGCTGCCTGGAGTCGGAGGCGGATGAACTTGACTGATTAGGAGGTCTCGCTCTACCTGCCATCCTGGAGGCATATCCAAACGAGCAGACATCCCTCATCGTGGATGTTGAAAGCCGGGCCACTCTTGGCCGGGGCGTTAGGGCTGAGGCCGCCACCACATGTTTGCAGGCAGAATGGTGTGGCGCCTTAATCAACATGTTATCATGCATCGGCCGACCGGTCGATTCAACGGCAGTCAAGTCGCTATAGGTCTGCACTGGGTGTTGCGAGTCTGGGACTGTTGGCCAGGTGGGCTGACCTGAGCCATATTAGCCACTAGGGTTTAAACCAACCTGGCGCAAACAGTATGTCTGCCATGCTTGGCCAGAGGCAGGCTAGAATGACGGGCATGTTGCACTGGGCTCGGTGCATAACGTTATTGAACACTTGTCGATGGTGTCTTCAAGAGCTTAAATGGTCAAACGTTGGGCGCCGAACACAGAGCCGCATCTCCAGATTCTAGGTGGGCCAATTGTGGTGTAGCCAATAGTTCGGCAAGCTTCTCGTGATCCGGGAAACGACTGATTCGTCAGGTACAGAGTCGTCATCTAGTAGGCTGATGGGTGTGTTTGTAAGACTGACACATTGTTCCGTCCATTGGCTAAGCGTCAGCAGGCTCAGCTAGGATGTCGTCAGCGTTGTTGTTCTTGAAGAGTGATGAAGCAGGAGGAATTGATTTCTTAGCATCGGGAAGTAAGCAATGTGTATACCTACACCGACATGTGGATGCAAATCTGAAGCGGTTCTTCTTACCTTACATCCCGCACCTATACTTCACCTCTACCTGGCAATTGGAAGCAATGCACAGCCTGCCGCAAATGTGAAATGGCTGGTAGCGACCCAACTTTACAGGACAGTGCCTGATAGTGCTAGAATGATGCGCAGGCAGGCAAGGTCTTGACCATGTGAGGTTTGCGTGCAGTTAGTTGTAAGACAGAGTTTCAAGTTGGCAGGTGTGAGGGAATGCACCAAATATTAGATGTTAATGAACTTGCAATTTGACACTGTGTAAAGTTCCTTCAAGGCTTCAAGCAGACTCGGAGCTGGAGTGGGCAAGAGCTCCACTCATGTCCGGCCAAAACTGTGGGGCTTGTCGGCAAAGCGCCCGGTTCACGCACCCATTCGTCCCCAAACCAACGTCATCCCGGAGCAAGGTCTGCACCTGCGCCAACGGCAAAAAGGCTGAGCCCCCGGCGGCCAACGCAACCCCCGTGCCGATTTCAGACCGGATGCAGCCCAGGAATTCCTGAACATCACCCGGTAACCGGTCGGCATGCGCGCAATCGGATAGCATACCTTGATCCGAGCCATCGGATTTCATTCGCCGGCCGGAGACCCCTCTACAAGGCTGTCGCAATCCGGTACCCTCTCTTTCCGTCCGTTGTTTACCAATTGTCCTTTCGCCCCGTCAAGCTTCAACAAACTTTGACAGTACGGCATTCGCTTCCTCAAGGACGCCATGGTATCGGCTCGTCGCGCAGATACACGATGGGTGACGCGCCTGATTCCCGTCTTCCTCGCTGGCTGCGTCGGCTTAGTTACCTATGTAATCGTCAAACGGATATGCCGTAGGTCATCCAGTTCCCTCACAATTCTCCCTCCGTTGCGCTCCCTACTGACATGTTCCAATCCTCCCCCAGTGGACTACTTGTCAGCCAGCGAAAACAGGCCCGGGACTGCGATTAGTCTCCTCGTCCTCTACTTGGTCTTCTTCGCTTTGATGCTCCTGTGCTACTTTCGGACTTTCTTTGTCATCCAATTCAACCCGGGAGTAACTCCCCTTGGTCCGAAAGCAATCGAGCAGGAGCGAAACGGAAAGGGGAAGAGACGCCGCGAGAGAGACCTCGAGGCCTCAGTCAGATACGAGGCGCGGCCCGACGACAATCCCGATAGCCCCGGGCTTGAGGCCTTTTACAGCAAGGACGTGTTTGTGTGCGATACGGATGGTCGGCCGCGATGGTGCAGCTCTTGCTGTAACTGGAAAATCGACAGGGCACACCACTGCAGTGAGCTCGAAAGATGCGTCAAGAAGATGGACCACTACTGCCCGTGGGTGGGCGGTATTGTTGCCGAGACATGTAAGTGTAAATCCTGCAGTCCGCAGCCCCACGCAACCTGAAGAAGCTAACTCGACGGCCATTCCTTCAGCCTTCAAATTCTTTGTTCAATTCACATTTTACGCGACTCTATACTATATTGTCGTGATTGTTACGGCCGTGATATACATTGAATCAAACGCCCGCAACGAGGCTAGCATTGACGGGTTCGCCGTCGCCGTGCTAGCGATTAGTGCTCTCTTCGGGCTATTCACCTTCACCATGACGGCAACCTCGGTGCGCTACATCCTGGTCAATTTCACGACTGTGGATTATGTAAAATCGAAAACTCTCGTGCACCAGCTCGCTATCCGCGTTCCTCGAGGCACCCCGTCATGCCAGGACTATCCGGTCATTACCTACCCGCTGCCCAAGCCTGTGCCAGGGCAAGCAGCTGCGAGCGAGTCATCCTGCTCCCGGGACCAGCTCGCGACGCGCAGTTTTGCCATTGTCAAGACCGAGATGGGCGAGAACCCCTGGGACCTGGGCTTTTACCGCAACTGGATATCGGTCATGGGGGACAACATCATCGACTGGCTTCTTCCCTTTACCTTGTCCCCATGCGTGTCTTATGAGAGTAATGAGAGTTTTTACGAGATGGGGCCCCTTGTTCAGCGATTACGGGCGAGGTTCCATCTACCCGAATTGTCGGACGAGCTCCAGAAATCAGAAATGGGCGAGCGGGAAGCAGAGGTCATACACGGGGTTTAACGGTACATGAATTTAATGACTTACGCGCGAAGAGATACCCAGAAGTTCTGCCGTGTGTCTGCGGCCACGGCATGGTTGGAGTGTGTCACAGTTATTCAGTTCCCGTCTGGATTAGAGTTAGGTATGTCCTGCATTCGACTGTCTGATTAGGGCGGCTGTCATGTACTTAATGCATTAAATGTTACTTTTCGCCCCTCCTCGGGGACCTGAGTTAGCATCTCAGTTTGCAGACCAGTCTCACTAGAGGAAAGAGCCTGTCTTTGATGGCATGCCCCTTCTGCCTTGGAGCTTGAAGATTACCCAAGTTCATGGCAAGTGCTACTTAGACAAGGTGGACAGGCGGCCAACCGAGGTCCATGGCGGTTTCCAGTTGTTCTTAATGTACTTGACTCTGACGTTCCTGATCGTGTCACGGTACTTCGGGTGGCCATGACCTGTGTTAGTGCGGCCAAAATTTTGTATGCAAAAACGATCCTCTCTACTACCGTCTTTAACATGGCAGCCTCCTACCAGAGGTTCCCGCGACTTAAGGGATGCAGGGAGGCAAGCGACAGGCACAAGCCAACTGTGGTGGAAGGCCGCTGGGTGGGCTCAAGCTATTCATATCCGGAAAGTTGCCCTCGCATCCAGCATTGCAGAGAAACACTGGCCAGGCTTGCACGTGGAGCTTCAGGCTTATCTTAATACATCTTGGTAGCATTGCATGCTTACGAATGGTGCGAGTGAATATCATGCACCACATGTCCATCGCGACCAGAACCTCGATGTCTGGCTGCGCCTCGGGATTCCCCATGTTATAAAATCATAGCAATATTATCAGGATCATATGGTGCACATGAGAAGTATAGATATAGCAAGAATAGGTACTGAAACATCTCCTTCTCTATGGTGTAACGAAAGTCCAACTCTAAGCTGCCCCCGAACCCCTTCCGGTCCACCTCACAAGTGTCTATCTAATCCACACCTGCCTCCCTCAACCAACCCCCTGAAACTACTACCTCATCTCCTCCCTCTACTCGGCCGGCTTGCAATCCTCGCACCCATCCGTGTCATGCTCGCAATCAACGCAGCGAGTGCTCAGTGCCGTGTTGACGTGGGTGCCACATTGGCAGCAAGCGAGAAGACTCTCGACGCCGGGGGGCGTTGGCGGCGGTGGAGGTAGCTCTTCCTCCTCCTCGATCACGAGCTGGTCGTCCTCGTTTCCGTTGTCCGCACTCGACCTAGGAGAAGAAGGCAAGGGGGTAAGCATACATTGCCAAATGGGTCCCATCTCGAACTCACATCTCTGGCGAGAAAGGGGGGCCGAGAGTGTCTTTGGAGCTTAGGGGTTTTCAGAGGCCGGATAAGGACAAGGCCGTGGAAAAGCTGGCGATTCAGTTTGATAGGAGAGACAACTCACTTGTCGGTGTTGAGCCGTGATGACTTTTCGAACTAGGAGCGTCTTCCACCGCCGATTTATACAACGGATACCGCAGAGAGCCGTCGTAATTCTTCCATCTTGCCCGATTCAAAGCCACGCCAGTCCTGCGCCCGGCTACTGTTCGTTGTTTGTCGCCGTCTTCTTGGTGAAGAGATGACTGGAATAGCCGGTAGGGAGAGTCACGTCTTGGGCGTGACGGTTTCGCAGACCATGGGAGGGCTTAGATGCCAGCGCCCGCCAGCGGACGAGGCCGGTGAGCGAGGAGCGAGTATCCTTGGGCACGGAGAATGACTGTGGGCGTGCTTGAGACCTCTGTCAAGCGCGGCTTGGACTTGACGCCTGGTTTGTAGTCAACTGCGGGCGTAGGTCTTCGATTGAGTCCATATCCTCCCGTTGGGCACATCCCGAAGACTCAGAGAGAGCCAGCAGAGTGATAGACATAGCCTCCAGACCATGGCAACGCTCGGGCACACCGAGGGGACAGCTCGCCCAGATCATCCAGGGGCTGGCAAAGGTGAGAAGAGGGCGAATAAGGAGCCGATGCTTCCATCAACCGATCACGAACCTGCGTGACGCCTTGGGACAAATTCATGCCCAAAGCCATTGAAGCGGTGAGATCCGAATAATATGCAGGAGACCGTCCCTGAGGTCATGCCGGCACTTCCTGAAGAATGTGCGGAGCGGAATGCAGGCCCGCCCGCCGATGTGCAGCCTCGCCGACGCTTCCTGGTCTTGGCCGGCCGTGAGACCCGACACAGCGACGATGACAGGGTGGAAATTCACCTAGGAGAGCAGACCATGACATGGCATTGTTTGGGGCGGAGCAGTTATCATCATTAAATGCCTGAGAGATACTGCGCCTCGCTTTCGAGGGCAAGGGGAACGAGCGCTCCTGTTCAGGATTCAACGACGCTCCGTGGACCAATCGACAACGCTCGAGGCTTATCCTGTCGATGTAGCGACAAAGAGAGTGAGACGGTGAAGGTCATGCCCAACATGTGCTTCGCTTGCCGGTGTGTTTGCTCTGAGTGTGGAAACAGGGGCGCTGGACTCTCAGGTCCACTCCTAGGGCAGCAAGGGTTCAGATAGCTTCGTTTTGGCCCAAGGCCCAGTCCATACCTTTTTTTTGGCCTTGTTCCTTCCCTGTTTTTCCTGTCAGCGTGCCTCTGGACGGCTTTGTAACACCGGCATGTAATCGAACCCGTAGCCTTGCGAAGGCTCTCTTTCGAGGTAGATGGGCTCGGATCAAGCACCCCCAAAGCTTGGCCTGGAGTGATGATGGAACCCCCATTGGCTACGCCGCATGTAAGCCGGGTCGGGCTCGAGGCGGCCTGCCTGCGCTGTGCGGCTCTTCTTAGTGTTTTTGCTGCACTCGGAAACGGGGTATGGTCGTGGTGTGTTTCCGTTCCCACTGAAGGGGCCCAAGAGGGAGGCGGTCACATTGGCTCAGACCGCGTGGCTATCCATAGAATTGCACCTTTAGCCGAAGCTAGGAAGGTAACATCAGGAATCCGGTACATGGTAGCTAGAGACGGTAAATAGGGGCCCGCCGGTCGGAGATGGGATGTGTCGGGCACTAGGGCAGACTAAACTGCTCTCCCATCCTAGTCCGTCGCCTTTTACCAAGTCCATGTTTGTTGTCGATCCGGCTCCGCCACTAGATGTGTTTTTAACGTCTGGCTCTCTTCCGAGACCGGGGGTATGGACAGCACATCTAGGTCATCTCCTTTGGGTGCTGCTGCCTTCGTTGTGCAACCTTTGAACCATTGCTCAATCACCTTGCAGGTTGCGAAAGGAGATTCGAACGAGGCGAGGAGAGGTCAGAGCAACGGCGAAGTGCTATGGAGCAAAGGAGCCTCGGAAAACAGAGGGAAGAGAAGAGAAGAGAACAGAAAAAGAACGAGAGCGGTGAAATACAAGGCAGCTGAGCTGACCTATCGATTCCAGTAGGAAAAGCAGGCGCTGGGAATGCCTCTTCACTACCTACCTAAGATTAGCTGGGTTTAAACCGACGTCTTCCCCTTGACTGTGTGGTGGGCTGCCACCCGCGGTTGCTATTCCTTGATCGGGTGGTCTGCAAGCCTTCTACAGCGTGCCATGGACGACGGAGGGGATACCATGGTGCCGAAAGGACGAAAGACGCGGTAGCTTCCGTTCTTCGTTGCTTTCTCACTTTGAATCGCCTCGAACATGCTTTCAATGGGGTGTTCCTTTGCCACCTGACTGTTAGGTTGCCGAACAGGCTAATCCGTGTATCGATGGTTGGGAGTTAAAGACCATCTCCGCCCCTATTCATTTGGGCCGACCGGGACCAAGCGTACAATACCCGTTTGTTGGGACTGCCTCTCCCAATTCCGCAACCTCCTGGCCCTCAATTACCTTCCCTCTTCTTTCCCGTTCGCCCAAACTGAGCAGTGTTACTCCCTTTTCAGGAGACGCCGCTCTTCTCCCATGCAGCTCGCAGACACTGTCACGCTTCGAGAAGAGCTGCTGCAGCTTAGCGCGGGGGTTCACACATTGGCGCCAAAAGCTAAGGCGCCGGCAACCTGGAAGATTCCAGTTGTGGTATGATTATAGTCCTGACCCAACCCACCGTTGACGCAGCCAGCTTGCGAGACACTGGAGGCCATAGGTAACGTTCAGTGCCAACAATCATAAAGCATGCAGCTCGCCAAGGGCAAAGTGTTGTACCCTTTCAGAAAACGTGCGGCGGCTCGCTATAAACCACAGGACCTGCAGCCCGGGACGGGATCACTGCGCACCATCGCACGTCGGCTCATGTTCATGTATGTCCAACGCTGTCAAACTCTGCTCTGTCGTCAAGCTGCCGGTATGCGCAGGCTGCAGCTCTGCCGTGCCGGCGCACCCTATGACAGGTGGGAATCCCCTTGTGACAGACGCCATGTCACTCTTCTGAGCAACGATCATGTTGGTATGTAGCAGTGCGATTTGGTGTGTTCATGTCCCTCGCTCTTTTGGGCAGATGGGCGTTGGGGTGGAGGCGGGGGAGAGGAAATCCGGCAATCCCGTGTCTAATGTGAACCATGTCACATCTCCGTTGCATAGGCCTGGGGCAACACAAGAACGGACTTCCCCCGACTCGATACGTCGTTGAATCAAAGGCAAGAGAACAATTCTACCTGGGTAGTCGCTTTTTGAGTGACGGTGAAGGCGAAACAGAAAACGATTGTGGAATAAAGAACAGGCCGAATAATTGAGAGAACCGGTAGTTAACAATCGGCACAGTGAGAGAGCTAGTTGGTGATATGTGGTGAGCAGAGTGTCGATCGTGACGGAGCCCAACATATTGCCAAAGCAAGAAGGAAGATTCCATTGATTCCTGTAGTGTACTGCATATGATAGCTAAGGTAGGCAGTACCGAGGACTCGCGGAGAGGGTTGTAGTTGCTGCTCAGATTCAGAATCGAACCCCTGAAGGGTAAGCCTGTATGAACTATATTCCGTACTGTGCGGAACTTGCCGCCTTGCCAGTCGATACTCCGTACTGTAACTTCCTTATAACCGAGGCGGAACCTTTAACTGTTAAACCTCCAAGCACCATTCCTTGCGGTTGAACCAATACTGGACCCTCCTGCAGTCCCAAGACGTAATTCCCCCTGCATCCATTAAGGTTGTACTGTACGCTCTCCACATGCGAATTCGAGCTGTGAATCCCACGTTCTTCGAGATCGACGTCACCCACTCAACTGCCTTTCTTCCCGTGTCTAGAACGCGCCTCGAAATCGCGCCTCCTTGTGCTCCACATCCGACTCCACGGCAAAAAGCTAATATGACAGTAGATGCAAATCACAACTGCTCCCTCCGGCTGATATCCCAGCCTGTGTCTGCTGTTCTCACCAATGTCGTCCCCGCCTAGTTCGCTCTGGGGCTCGTCTCCTGGTGATGGGCGCTCTGATGGACGACACTCACAGTTCACGTACCGGCATCTCAGCCAGATGGCCTCGTACAACACGTCATGCCCGCTCAGAGTTGTCGCTCACATCGACCTAGATTGCTTCTATGCTCAGGCCGAGATGGTTCGTCTCGGTGTGCCTGAGGACCAACCCCTCGCTGTGCAGCAGTGGTAGGTGGGACCGCCCATTGTATTTACCTACTTGGTGCTCTTCCACCGAGGCTGACTCTAGAAAGGCAGGGCCTGATTGCGGTCAATTATCCGGCCCGAGCCTACGGCATCGGGCGTCATTGCAACGTGACGGAAGCGAAGAAGCTGTGCCCTCAGCTGATCCACCAGCACGTCGCAACCTGGCGCGAGGGTGACGACAAGTGGTGCGTCCAAATCTGGCTTTTGGCATGCACTTGGTGTGAAGGAGATATGGCTAATGCCGTAACTCAGGGCCTACCGCCCGGATGCTGCGGACCATGTCGCCACAGACAAGGTATCTCTTGATCCTTATCGTCTCGAATCAAGACGCATCTTGGCCGTCATCAAGGAGCATCTACCTCATGATTTGCAAAAAGTGGAAAAAGCCGGCATCGACGAGGTGTTCCTTGATCTATCCGCCCACGCTCATGCCGTCCTCCTGGAACGCTTTCCCGAGCTAACCAGCCCGCCCCCTGACGACGACCCGTCTGCGCTGCTCCCAATGCCTCCGCTTTCCGCCCTGGAATGGCAAGCCGACGCGCTTGTGGATCTGGATGATGAGCATACCGAGTTTGACGACCCGGACTGGGACGACGTGGCCCTTCTCATCGCATCCGAGATTGTGCGCAATATCCGTGCCGCGATTCGAGAGAAGCTGAAGTATACATGCTCTGCCGGCGTAGCCAGAAACAAGCTGCTCAGCAAGCTGGGCTCTGGCCACAACAAGCCCAATCAACAAACAGTGATTCGCAATCGGGCAGTGCGCCACTTCTTGTCGGGCTTCAAGTTCACAAAATTTAGGAACCTTGGGGGCAAGTTGGGCGAGCAACTCAGGCAGGCATTCAACACGGACTCGGTTCAAGATCTCCTCGCGGTCTCTGTGGAGCAATTGAAGTCCAAGTTCGGAGATGACACGGGAGTGTGGATCTACGACACGTTGCGTGGAATTGACACCAGTGAAGTGAACTCGCGCACCCAGATCAAGTCAATGCTTTCGGCCAAGTCATTTCGGCCCAGCATCAACACCGTGGAGCAGGCAAGAAAGTGGCTCCAGATCTTTGCAGCCGACATATTCTCCCGGCTTGTCGAAGAAGGTGTGCTGGAGAACAAGCGGCGTCCCAAAACAATTACTTTGCACCATCGCCATTACGCCCAGACTCGTTCCCGCCAAAGTCCCATCCACCAAGGCCGATTGTTGGATGAGGAGACGTTGCTGAGCCTCGCCAAGAGCCTCCTGGACCAGATTGTCGCCGAAGGCCATGTTTGGCCGTGTACTAATCTCAGTCTAAGCGTTGGTGGGTTCGACCAAGGCATATCGAGAAACATGGGCATAGACGGATTTTTGCTGAAGGGCGAAGAGGCACAGGTGGTCAAGCTGGGATCAAAAATGCTGATGAAGGAGGAGGATGCCCAAGAGACCCAACCTGCAGAGAAGCGACGACGTATCGATAGCAGCGGCATCCGGCAATTCCTTACCAAAAAGGAGCAAACCCCTTGCACAGGCTCTGATGGTGCCGTCATGGGCAACAACGGCGGTGAAACGTTAGGTAGCCTGGGATCAGAAGTCTCGCCGGGTGCGGCTGGCAATCCGAATGGTCTGACTGCACCGGACGAAGCGTCTTTCTCCCAGGCCAATCACCGGCAAACATCAACCACGGTCCACCTTTGCCCTCGGTGCGACTCCCGTTTGGAGAGTTCGGAAGCGCTGCAGAACCACCAGGACTGGCACTTTGCCAAAGACTTACAGGAGCAGGAACGTGTCACATCAACATTTGTCAGCCAGCCGTCCACCGCCGGGAACGGGAGACCTGCACCAGCGCCGGTTAAAAGACCGGGAAGGCCAAAGAAGAAGGAGCGCGGGCAAAGCAAGTTAAATTTTGGGTGAGGAAGCTCTTTTGCATTGCCGAGGCAACCATGCATCGATAAACATCTGCAACATGGCAGGTGGGCCAGCTTGAACCAATCTTGCTGCCCTGTCCAACGTCGACACCCCGCAGAGGGCCGGGATACGGCGTCATCCTGTCCGGTTTTATACCGCCTTGCTGGTATGCTTGTGGTTGCAGATTCAGCAACTCGGAGGGCGCAAGGTTGATCGTCCTGGGCCCCGAGTCAAGTCGCATAGAGGGCAGGCAGACCATAGCACTGGTCGTCCAGCTAAGCATTCGGTAACACGGCTCTTCTCTGTTCATCTATCTTCTTGCCGAACCGGGCCGCAACCGAGCCGAGAACCTCCCGTCCCGATGGGCGGGGAACGGCATTTCTAGTGTACATACACTAGTTGCTTGCGTGATCCAGGGCTTCAAACGCCCCTGGGTGATTTGGCGCAGTCCACTCAATGTCGTCTTTGACTACCCGGGGGGCGATAATGGCCCTGATGCGGCAACACAGATTCAGGGGTCAAAGGGTTGGCGCTGTGGCGTGCATACGGCAACCTCAGGAGCACTGGTGCGGCGAGGTCCACAATGACATTTCAGGTCTCCTGCCCTCGACAAAGCGACAACTGGTCCGGTTTTCCCGTCTAAGCAGCGGCTGACGTTGATTGGCCGAGAGGTGGTCAGGGTGCCCTTCTGTTGCAGACAGGTTGGGCTTCCAGACGCATTGATACCCGACCAGCCCAAAGTCTCTCCGACAAGTTCTCCAATCTCGTGGCTAATAACCCCGCCAGAGTTTCGTTTTTCAAAGGAGTGTTTGTACGTCCTGCAGATACCGCTAGTCGGATGCAATGAAGCCCTTCCTGCGACCGCTGAGATAGAAGCAGGAAGGGCACAGGCGAGCATGCAATAACAGAACCATGACGCCAACGTTCGGGAACAGCACGTTGGTTGGAGGAGACTAACAAAACCCAACCGATAGTCGCTTTTGTGCTTTACGGCCATGGTGTGCTTCTATGTACATGACAATCACATAGTTTTTGATCAATGTCTTGCCATCACCTACACCGGCACCTTGGCTAGAGTTGTTGCAGGAATAGCATCAAAAAACCACATCCGTCAAAAGTTCATCGCCTAGCATTGGATGTCCTGTACCTGGTCATTCCCAGTTCAGAACCCTCCGATCTGACTCCATCCACATTTGAACCAAAGCCATATCCAATCACCGACATCGTTACACCGGGCCAAACCTTTTGGGCTACCGACGCTGGCATGGCAAAGCATAAGGCCGCGCCATTTCTACCGTCAGACTCTCCTGAAGCCCTGCGTTTCCGACTCTTCACCGTCGCCCTCAGTGGTTGGTGCAGTGGCTTCCCGGGTTTGGACTTCAGAGCTCCTTCCTGCAGCCTGCACATAAGCCCGCCAAACGCAGGCCGGCCAGTCCACTTTCCTGTGCACGATCCAACCAGGCTCTCCCACGACTTCACTAGACCGCGCAGTTCGTCCGAACAAGAAGAAATGGGACAGGTTGCCCGACTGCGTACCGGTTTTGACCAGTCCAGTTCCATCTCCAGCAGGCCGGTTTGATTGGACCTCCCTGGCCTTCCCTGATATGCTCCCCGCATCGGCTTGGCTGAACCTTTGGCCCTACGGAGCGCACTTGAAGGTGTTTCCCGTCAAAGTTCATGGAACGGTTCCATAACGGTCGGCCTCGGCATCACAATCGCATACAGAATAAACATCCAGCGGAGTATGTGCCTGTAGTTGGATACTGTAAGTGACCGGAACAGAGGCGTTCTCCGTTGTGGCGGGAGCGATCCACAGCAGAAAAAACACCCTCATTCCCTTCAGGACACTGATTGATTTGCCTAACCCTATTGGCGCTTTGCGGCCCCAGCATAAGCCTAACTTGCCGTACCTCTCCAAGTAAGGCGTGAAAACGCTCCTGGCTTCGCCTCTCTCTGCAATTGTTTCTCAGCCAGTGCTTCCATGGTTGCCACCGTTGCGGTCAGCTCCTCGTCAAGTCTGGTTGTTTTCTGCTCCATCCGGAACACGGTGCAACGTGCACACGGCATCTCCAACCAACTGGATGTTGCCGCCTAAGCCTTGTCTTCCGCTGCAGCACATAGCAGCCCAGCTCCCTTTACTGTGTAGAGGGAGAATCAGAGGAAAGCACTCTGTGGTGAACCTGGGTAGGCACTTGTAGATATAACTCAACGTTACTCAGCGTTTCTTAGCCACCCACTGGGTGTTCTAGTGACAGGCCGCCAGTCACCGCCTGCGCTGCCCAGGCAGCCGGACCCACCCTGCCAGCCCAATCCCCCAAGCATCTGCTCTGATTCCATGCGGCCTCTGTCCATTTCTTCCACCACCACCCACCCACTCCGCACTTCTGGCCTTCCTCACTTCTTTCCATTTTCCCTCCCCTATTTTGCTCTGCCCTCCCCTGCCGCCCTGTCGGCTCACTCCGCCATCTCGATTTTTGTAACGTCCTGTCGGCCTGCTGCCTCGTGCTTGTGGTTCCTCGTCTGGTTTTTTTTTTCTCTTTTCTTCACACTTAATTCTTGCTCCAGACCCGCCACGATGGCAGGAAGGCCACCGAATCGGTCGAGTCAACCTCAGCCAGCTCCGCCGCCGCCAGCGCGTCAAAACGAGTACTTCGTACCTCGCGATGGCATCGACCGCGAAGTCATCACATCGGACATCTGCAGGTATTTGGGGAATGATGCGCTGGTGCGGCCTGGCACCTACGAGGTATGGTTCAGTTAGCCCGTCGTCATGCCTCTCCTATCCCTCACATGCACATTGCAAATCCCAAAATTTTTCTGTTCGATAACTTACAGTACTTCTTGATAGTCGTCGGACGGCCGTGTTACGCAGGGCTACTTCATTACAGCATACCGGAACCTAACTTCGGTAAGTGCTGGCGCCATCCTGGTCAGTCCTTACTGGGCACAGCTAAGCATTCTTCCCCGTTCGGTAGGCGATGATACAAGATTTGAAGGCCGACTCTGCACGATGGGAACAAGAGAGGCGCGCAGCGTCAAGGCCTACAGGCAGTGGGGCCGGAGGTACAATTCATTCGAGTCAATCGAACGCGGTATCTGTGAGAAGCTCTAACTCGCCAACAGCTCGAGACCAGCACCGTGCGCCACCCCCTGACTACACCTCATGGAAACAGGCCCAACAGGGTCGGGAATACGCTTCGTATGACCATTCTGCCATGGACGTTGACTATCCTCCCGCTACCGGCGCTGCCGGAAATGCTGCTTACGGAGGCCAGGCTTACATGACGGGCCAGGCTGCCTACCCCCCGGCCACATACCCGCCTCCGGCTCATGCTCCTACCGCTTATCAGGCTACGCCCTATCCATATGCGACTAACCCGCCTGCGCAGTATGCACCGGCTCCCCCGGTCGCTCAGGAGAGGTACCCCGTGCATTCACCGACTCCCGGGCCCGTCTCGTATTCTCAGGGTGCCTATGTCCAAGGGTCAGACTATGCAATCCAACAAGGATATCCTGCCCAGGCCAGAATGCAGCCACCATTGCCTCATGCAGCCACTGCTCCGGCTAGGCCTTACAGTACTGTGCCCACAACATCAACTCCGAGCTATGGAGATTTTCCACCGCCAGCCGGGATCCCTGCCGCTCAAGGCTTCCCGTCCGACGCTCGCTTCGGCCGCGGTGCGTATAATGCCGCAACAGCACAACCGCCTGCCGCTTCATCTAATGATTTAGGCTCCCCTGCAGGTACGGCTCAACGGCCAGGGTACGCCGTCCCGGATCCCCAGTACGATGCCGGCCAGAATCCCGTGCTTCAGTCAGCAGCTAGCCCCAGCAATGCACTGCCGGCGCCAACACCAGGCGGCGCAGTTCCGCCCCCACGCCGTGATCGTGACTCTGCAGAGCCCAGAGACAGGGAGCGGGAACGAGAACGGGACCGCGAACGAGAACGGGACAGAGACCGTGACCGCAGGGATCATCGGAAACACCGCCATCACTAATGGTCTCCTAGCCACAGGTTCCGATTTTCGTACTGCCGTGGATTTGCCGGAATATGTGGAGCCTATCAACGCCATGTTCTTGATCTCTGCCAATACCTTGGGGCCTGGAGTTCGTCGCGCTTGCTTTTGTTTTGCTTCTTTTTCCCTATTTCAAACCAACGACACGGGCTTGGGACTGCTTGCGTCTTGCCCGCTGACACCAGAGACCCATCCATTGGATAGACCAGTCCCTGGATTTTGACACAGACCTTCAGAGCTGCAAGTTGCATCTCTGGATCCTCTGGATACTGAATTTCCGTCGTTCAATCGGCTCCTGCGGAAAAGCCCTATCTCTTCCGGATCTTCTCTGGCCAGGACTCGTTCCACGCCGAATGGACATCAGAACGCACTCTCGGCACCTTTTGGAATTGAACTCCTGGATCTTGTCGTGGTTGGACGAAAGCCCAGTGCCGTGACATTCTGTTATATGTTGCGATTCCGAGGGCGGTACGAGGGATGCATGATACCGTGAGACTCAGGCTCCGTCGTACTGGAAGGAGCAGGCAATGTTGGACTATAACCTCTTTTTTACTCCGGATGGCTCCTCTCCTTGCTGTTCGGACCCGCTTTCAAGACTGTCCGCGCTCCATGGTTTACGTCTGCAGGTGATCCTGCTACGTCTGAGTCCAAGAATCGCCTTGCTGACCTCTCGAGGATCCTCGAGACCATCGAACAAAAGGACAAGGCCGAGGCCGGACAGCAAGGTGAGTGAGCATTCGGCAAAGCTGTATATATGGAGATGAAGTCCCGTGGATCAGAATACGCTACAGCATTCCTCACAATGGCCTCTCATCAAGCGAAACAAACGTGTGTCCGAAGCAAACTGACATACCGCAGGCCGGACTATGGAACCATGAACCGGACGCACCGCTGGACACATACTTAAGCCTCGGATTTTCCTGATGGATTGTTTTCTTTCCTGGACTACAACCCCATGGGTTACTCAGGCCTGATATCTGGATCCTTTTTGCTGGTTTGTCAAGCAGGATGGTCACAGCTCCTCTTTCAAGACTCCAAGCGGTTCATTAAAATGCCCACGGACTCCCGGATTTATCTGCTTTGCGGTTTACCCTTGGACTCTTTATGGTTTCTGACTGGCAAGCCGATGCAAAGATACTGCAATGGCAAATCAGAAATCACGGTAAGCTCGATGTTCTAATTCATACGATAAGCGGAGCGCCCGCTAGCTTGGATGGACCCTATGAACGCTCCTTACCTTTCAGCCCGCTTCTACACCAGCGCATTGATTGCTACGCCGTGCTTAGGACTGTTCTTAGCCATGGACAACCTCTGGATTTTCCGCGGACTTCATCCAAAGATCACATTGCATGACCTGACAGTTCTCTCTGGACCCTGTTGTCTCCCCAGGACATGACCAACGCCAAGAGATCGGATCTAACACACAAGAGATGATTTTCGAGGGAGACAGGCAAATCAAATCTTGATTCCTACAATAGCCTTGGATATGGAGGAATGTTGCGCGCACTTCGTTGGACGTTGAAGGACTTAAATCCGTTGCCATTGCCAGGACTGGTTTGCTCACCGGAACCCGCCGAGGATGTGGATGGATCTGCCCGGATGCTCAAACTACGACATTAGTCAGTCACCTATACTTTCCTTTTTATTCCGTCCTACATTCGTGCCCCGGCGATACCAGTGGACTGTGCCTATCCGGAGATGGAGGCTGACTCTAACCGCAGCTTCCAGGCGTGGCTCCGGGGGTGACCTGGATTTGCTGAGTGTTTTATTCTGCCAGAGGTCTGCCCTATATCGGCCGCTGATGGTCGTTCCTGCCGGAGGTGTGGCGGGTATGGAATTGCTGGATATTCATAGCTTCAGGACGGAATGAGCTTCCAGTTCGCGATTGTGGGCGTTTACTTGCAGGTTTCCAACGGCACTTGTTGCCATCGTCGCGCCGGGGTAAAGGACTACGGCGTCGGTTGGGGGCGGGGATTGAAGAGGGAGTAAACGGAATCTAGCCGCTTGGGAGCGTCACCTGTGGTCTCGTTTTATCTTGCTGTCGCGTGGGGATTATATTAATGATGAATCAAGTTTTACTCCCAGCTCGTGTCCTTGTCTCGGCATATTCTGAAAACATAAAGTGGTGGGATCCTATTTGTTGTTTGACTCTTGGAAACACTGAGGCCAGGGACGGTCGAGTATGCGATCTATGGAAACACAAGTTGGTTGTGAAGGGTCTTAACACAATGGAACGGGGAAATGATGGTTGGCTGATTGGAGTTGTCTTGGTATCTGTGTTGACAGTAGCCGTGTTCGCTCCTGTCCTGCGAAACCATCCGTGTATTCCATTATGTCGGATTGTCACAGCAACTGTGGGCAACCTTGAGGCTTTCTGAAGAGCATAGCCGTGAGATTAGGGAAATGGCCGTTCTGAATCAGGTTGCTCCGGCATGACACCAGGCATCATCAAGGGGCGCATGAGCTCCTTATGGGTGTGACACCTACAAACTAGTTTCATTACAACTACTGGGAAAGGCAATGTTTGATTCTTCGCCCAGCCAGAGGGTATATTACGATGTAAACAAACGGACCTGGTAACCCTTTTGTTCCGTATCTACTGTGAGATGGTTTAAGGGCGGGAAAATGGCGTGTAAATAGGGGTTCCATCCATATCAGGATCGTCTGGGACCCTCCTCCTGTTGGCTGTCGGTCCTCAGTGTATCAATCCCGGTTCTTCAACGTTGAGTCGAAGAACTGAGGTTAACCCCTGGCAATATATCTGCCTGGTTTGATCGATCGAGATTGAAGGATCAGCTGGATTCACCAGTTAGAGGTTAGGTAACTGCCTAAGTAGACAGTCCGGTTGGCCATGATCCGTGTCCCAGACCGAGCGTAGTATTACCTTTTTTTGTAAGGAATTCTGGTTGGCGATTAGAGGAATGTTGTGTGTGTGCTTGCCACCATCTACATACGTACTATACTCGTAACGTTGCGTAAGGTACACAAGCCCTGACGCAGCCCACAAGGTCGTCAGGCTGGCCAACTTGGCCGATTTGGTTGGGGTGGTCACGGTGTGGGGCCGCTCGGCGGGCAGGGCCAAGTGTGACGGAGGGGGAGGGGTCGAGGACAAAGGCGGTGAGGGAGATCGCCAGTGTTTTTGGAGACTTGGGATTTCCACGTTGGGTTGTGTTCTGCCCAAAAGATACCACCAACTATATACATTCTTCGATGGATTGCTGATTGAGATGAAGCACTTGTAAATACGGATGGTTGGAAGCATCCGTAGAAGGAAGCCTAGTGGCACGGAGGCCACATGGCCCTCGGGCTGGCTCGTCCCGGCTGATACGCATGCAGGGCCAACTTTCCGGCGTGTTTTACAGTATCCGTACAAGATTCACAAGTCAAGTGAAGGAAAAGGGGAGTAACAGAATGTGGCGTTCTTCCAAGTACGAGATGTAATTGGTTTGTGGTATGGAACATGGAAGGCAAGGGAAGAAACAACCCTATCGCTGCGACAGCCGTCGGTGTGCCGGTGCGCCGGCGTACCTTGCCGCTGCGGTGTGAAGCCCTCGAGCTCCTTTGGACTCGTGCTGAGCGACTCGAAACCTCGAGCTGATGTCGCTCTCCACATTGTCCATAACGAAAAATAGTCCCTCAAGAAGACACTTTGGACTGGCTTGCTTGCACAAGCCCGATTCTCTCGACGGGAGGTGTCAATGCTTTCCATCATGTTATGTTAGCGGCAGGTTATGTAGGTAGGCTCGGTAGGTTTGCGTCGTCTTCAAACAATCAGAGAACCATTGCCCGAGCCCCTGGCTACATACCAGTTACATAGGCCTCGGGCCGTTATTACCCTGGTCGTCTCAGGTACTGCGTAGGCCCCCTCCAGCGCTCCAGCGACACGCTTTTAGGCGGCTACCTCCTGTATACTCGCTGCCTTTGAGAGCGCTCGAGGCAACACAGCGTGAACTTGGCAGGCTCAAACCCACTTTCTTTCCTGCCCCGCCATTTCGGGGCCCTTGCCGACCTGCTTCCATTGCAACCAGATTTTGGCCCAAATTTTTTCTGGCCTGGCCCCCTCGACAACCACAACAACCGTTCTGGCTTCCGGCCACTCTTTTCTGCCCTTACCGCCCTCCTTCAAAAGCGTGTGGATGCGAAGTTTGGTCCGTTAGGTTGCCCACGATGGATGCCGCCGCCATTCGAAACTGCATCGCTGCCACTCTCGACGCCGATGCCGACGTCAGACGGAGGGCTGAGCTTCAGCTGAAGCAGGTATGTTTGGGGCGCGAGAGTTTGTGTGCTGTGTGCGAAGACGCGCTGTCGACACAACGACGTCTTGTCCTCTTTGGGCCTTTGCGCACAGCACCCGCCTCTCGACACCTTCACTGCCCGTATTCACGGCTCAGATGCTGACCTCTCCGCACTTCAGGCCGAGGCCCAACCAGGTTTCACGGACATCCTCCTGGATCTCGTCCAGTCCGAGCAAAATGCCACTCTTCAACTGCCCAGTATGCCGCATGCGCTCCCTGCCTTCACGCAAAGAATCCCCGTCCATAACCTGCCTTTGTTTTCCTCCTCACCAGGCTTTGGCCTTTCGCGAGGATAGGCCGCGGTGCTAATGAGTTGCTAGCCGTCATTTACCTCAAGAACCGCGTTAACCGTGCCTGGGAACGCCAAGAGTACTCTCCGAACGACCCTTTGATACCAGACGATGAGAAGGTGCGCTTTCGAGAACGGTTATTGCCCATACTCGCAAGCTCCCCAAACCTGGTGCGGCACCAGCTTGTGCCCATCCTGCAGCGCGTCTTGCACTTTGACTTTCCGGACAGATGGCCTACGTTTATGGACTACACCATACAGCTGCTCAACACCAACGATGCACGGTCAGTTCTGGCCGGCCTGCAGTGTCTCTTGGCTGTCTGCCGGGCCTATCGCTTTAAGGCTAGTGATAGCGACAGCAGGGCCCACTTCGACAAGATCATCGAGGCCAGCTTCCCAAGGCTGCTGGTAATATGCAATGAGCTGGTCAACCAGGAGAGCGATGAGGCGGGCGAAATGCTGCACATTGCCCTCAAATCATACAAACACGCCACATGGGTAGGTTCCCGCGGTTCTCTTGAGACCGCAACGAGTTGGAGGCTAACCACTGGGCGCCAGCTTGAGCTCTGCGAATTCCTCCGCCAAAGCCCCGTCAACCTTGGCTGGTGCACCGTCTTCCTTCAAACTGTATCCAAGGCTATTCCTGCGACCGCTATGCAGGGTGACCCTCTGGAGCGGGAGCGTCACCACTGGTGGAAAGCCAAGAAGTGGGCGTATTTTAACTTGAATCGTCTGTATATCAGGTATTGTGAAATCCCACGCCCCGGCGCCTTTACGTTGAGTCCCATATAGTTCTCAAACCTAACCTGCCGTAGACACGGCAACGTCCAGGCAGTCATGGACAGGGCCGTCGAACCACCCACGCGGTTCGCCAAGGAGTTTACTTCACAGGTCGCGCCTGAAATCCTCAAACATTACCTACAAGAGATCGAAAAGTGGGTGTCCAAGAGCATCTGGCTCAGTCGGCCATGCCTCTCGTACACCATTGTGTTTCTGGATGAGTGCATCCGTCCTAAGGATATGTGGGCGCACCTGAAGCCTCATTTGACCAATCTTGTCACGCACTTCATCTTCCCGGTCCTCTGCCTTACCGAGGAGGATATCGAGAAGTTCGAAGACGAACCCGAGGAATATCTCCACCGAAAACTGAACTTCTACGAAGAGGTTTCTGCGCCAGACGTTTCAGCTACCAATTTCCTGGTCACACTTACCAAGGCGCGGAGGAAACAAACCTTTGAGATCCTCTCGTTCATTAACGAAGTCGTGAACCAGTATGAGCAAGCTCCAGAAGGGAGCAAGAACCACATCGCAAAGGAGGGTGCTCTGCGCATGATTGGAACACTCGCGCCCGTCATCCTAGGCAAGAAGTCGCCCATTGCTTCGCAAGTGGAATACTTTCTGGTGCGCTATGTTTTCCCGGATTTCACCAGCCAGCAAGGATTCCTCCGCGCTCGCGCTTGCGATACCGTTGAGAAATTTGAGCAGCTGGATTTCAAGGATCAGAACAACCTTCTTGCCATCTACCGCCACATCCTCGACTGCATGGCCGATCCGAAACTTCCAGTGCGCGTAACTGCTGCCCTGGCATTGCAGCCTTTGATTAGGCACGATGTCATCCGGACAAGCATGCAAACGAGCATCCCTACCATTATGCAGCAGCTATTGAAGCTAGCCAACGAGGCGGATATCGATGCTCTTGCGAACGTCATGGAGGATTTCGTCGAGGTCTTTGCTGCCGAGTTGACGCCATTTGCCGTTGCGCTCAGTGAGCAGCTGCGTGATACCTATCTACGGATCGTCAGGGAGCTGCTGGAAAACAGCGAGAAACGGGATGATATGGACAACGAATATGGCGACTACTTGGACGACAAGAGCATAACAGCGCTCGGCGTATTACAAACCATTGGTACTCTCATCCTCACGCTCGAAAGCACGCCGGACATACTCCTTCATATTGAAGGCGTTCTGATGCCAGTTATCCAGATCACGCTGGAAAACAAGCTATATGGTACGTCTCCCACCCTCATTATTCCCTCCTGCATTATCAATGCCGCATCTTGCGACTATTGCTGACAAGGACTGCAAGACTTGTACAATGAGGTGTTTGAGATCATTGACAGCTGCACTTTCGCTGCTAAGCAGATCTCGCCCACCATGTGGAAGGCGTTTGAGCTCGTTCACACAACCTTCAAGTCCGGTGCCGAGTTATATCTTGAAGATATGCTGCCAGCCCTAGACAACTTTGTGCAGTATGGTGCGCCACAGCTCATGGAGAAGCCTGAGTATGTGGAAGCGCTATTTTCCATGGTTTCGGACATGTTCACGGACAACAAAGTTGGTGGTCTGGACCGGATATGTGCCTGCAAGCTCGCTGAGGCCATGATGCTCAGCCTGCGTGGCTACATCAACAATTGCGTCCACGGATTCATCAGTATGGCGATGGGCGTGCTTAGCACCCAGGACGTCAAGCCCAAATCTTACAAAGTCCATCTTATGGAGATGGTCATCAACGCTATCTACTACGATCCTCTTCTGTCTCTCCAGATTCTCGAATCCCAGGGCTGGACAAACAAGTTCTTCAGCCTTTGGTTCAGCAACATGTCTGCCTTCACTCGGGTACACGACAAGCAATTATGCATCCTGGCCATCATTGCTCTCCTCAACGTCCCACCAGAGCAAATCCCGCAAAGCGTTATGGTCGGCTGGCCGAGGTTGCTCCACGTAAGTTTGCATTTTCCCGCAGTCCCTTAAGCAATCAATCTGACATTCAGCAGGGCATCAAGGTTCTCTTTGACACCCTTCCGGAGGCCATGCAGAGTGAGTACAGATTCCACGGTGCCATCAGAGATTCGACTGACGGTCAAGCAGATCGTGAGGAGGCGTTGAAGGATGATTTCCAGTTTGAGAGCGGCACGTACGGGTATGATGACAGTGAGGAGGAGTGGGATGATGAAGAAGCAAACTGGGGGGCTGCGGAGAATGAAGAGGAGGCTTCTACCGAAGCCAAAGACGAGAGCACAGCGTATCTGGAATTCCTAAACGAGGAGGTAAGCTTGGCAAGGGACATAGGTCTTCTGAGCGATGTCTTGTTGAGCTCAGTCGACCTTCCGCGAACAGTTTACCTTTGGAAGTTTGCTGACACTCATTCGTAACCAGGCGCAAAAGTTCAAGCCCGCAGAGACCGAAGAATCTGACGATGAACTCGGCGAGGATAGCGTATTACTAGAGTCGCCTCTGGACAGGATTGATCCTTATCTCGCCTTCAGGAATTCCTTCAGGAGTAGGTGCCACAAGCCATCCCAACAATGTCGACGCCTCCGCTGACCCCCGGTAGAATTGCAGCAAGAACAGCCCCAATTCTACACTTCGTTGATATCACACCTCTCGCCAACCGAACAGTCGGCCCTGCACGAGGTTTGCCAGCGGGCTGATGCCCAAGAGTTTCTGGGAGGGCAAAGCCAATTCCCCATGTCCCGGGGACGGAATCCTACGGCGAACGGCACGAGTTAGATGCCCGCCCTGTTCCGAAGATTCTAAATACAGGGATGTTGGTGGTGACGGCGAGTGTAGAGGTTCTTAGGGAGCAGCGGTTTGGCGGAGACATGCATCGGACGCATCATCATATCAGGTTTGACGAAAAGCTGGATTTTCAGGGATGGGCTGGGGACGGAGGAGTTGGTGGGAAATGCTAGAGCGGTCTGAGACGAGCGAGATGAGAGGCAAGATAAGCAGCACATGCGAACAGTTTTATCGCAGCTGAAAGTATATCTGGGGATCATGGACATGGAAGGCCTTGCAGGCGCTATGTGGTCACTCTGGAACAGCGTGTTTTTCTTCCTCCTCCCATTACCCCGTCCCTTGTTCTTCCCCCGGCTTTTGTTTATCTTTTTTGTTACCCCTCTGCTTTATGTAGGTAGTTACCCCCTTTATTCCCCCATGTTTGGTAGATTCACGGAGAGACATGCCATCTTCACAGAAAGAGGAATGAAAAGCTCGGCACCGCCGGGACCTTTGCAGATAGCATGGGCTGGAGATTACAAGGCCTTCTCTGACGAGATTCCTCCTGTTCTCACAATCAAATGCCGCATGCTTGTGCGTACTGTAGTGTAAAGGAGACCATCCATGGGAGATGGTGCTCAGAGGTCAGGCAGGCATCAGATACCACAGGATCTTCGGTTAGGGAGTGGCAGCGGATGACATTGTGGGCGGGCGGTGCACATACAACGGGTTTGTATAGGGCTTTTCCATTTTCTCTCTTTCTCTGATGATGTGATGATGTACCTGAGGAAGTTGGAACAGACACCCCTTACACCATAAAGTCTTGTCAGCAACTCATCATCTGTGAGGTCGTTGGGAAGAATAAGCCGCATGGCCTTGGCGGGGGTGGCCAAGGGAAAACGTGCTGACGCCTCGTTTCTTGGGGCTTTATTATTATTTTCTCCGGCAGGAGCGAAAGGATATGGGAAGCATCTTGCGGCAATGGGATGGAGTGTCAGAAGGCGAACAGAACAGACACATAGTATGTCTCTCCTTTAATGCCTCAAGGCCAAGAATAACCTATCAGACAACACCACCACCACCACCACCCTCAACGTCGAATCGAGGTAGGACTGCGATTCCATCATCATGGCTAACTTGAGGCCTGTCATCCATTGAAGAGCGGTGGGTAGCACAAACTCGTCTCCCAAGCAAGCCGTGCCCTGTATGGTCGAATGAGTGTAAGAGAAACAGAAAGCTTGTCTTTAACCAAGGGAGGAGAGGAGGGTACGGTGTATTGGGAGTCACGTAAATACAGCATGTATACTCTGGTCCCCTGTCGGGCAACAAGATGTCGAGAACATGTGAGGTGTGAGGCTTCTTGGGTTGCGACAGAACAGGTTTGCACCAGTTCGTTCCCCTGACCCCCACGCAATGCATGCAGGTTGACATCCATTCCGGGCTTTGTGCAGATGGTCTAGTCTAGTGTACGTGAGGTGAGGTGGAATGGCTGCAGCGAATTTGATGGAGGGGATGTCCTTTTATCCGCTCCAGTCCAAGGAGAAGCCAAGGCCAACAAGCGGGTTTGATGCAATATCATCGTCGTCTTGCTTTGCAAAAGCTGGGCGGAAGATGGTATATCTATAAACTACATAGTGCTGGTTGCCTTCATTGTTGGTGGGATAATTATGTGCGCAACCAAGCAGTCGATGGTCCCAACTCTTTGGTCACTTGTAGTCATCCGTAAGCCCTCAGCTACCTGTGTACCGGCGTGTGATGAGACAGTAAGGATTTCAGTGTGGCGAAGTCACCGGTTTCCGGACTCCCTTGGAGTTGGAACTATGTTACTGCCTTGGAGAGTGATGAGGGAAAGAAAAGAGATGTGATGCCCCCCAAGTTGGCGGTGAACACGCGTATGTATGTATTGTACTGTATGTATTGTATTGTACGTACATATGTAGATACGATGAATCTTACACCTCAGCACTACCGGTACAACAGTACATACAAACCTTACTCGATACCTAGACTACGGGCCTGGCCTGGCCCCATGGAAGACCCCTCTTGCTCACTGCAGCAGTAGCAAGACCACTGAAAACCAGTCTCACCAACTCCTCTTCCCCCCATCCGAGATCGAGTATCCCACGTGCAGCCTGCTTAGTGGGGGAGCAATATCTCCATCAGGAAACAGCCAGAACTTACGCGAAAGCGAGGCCAAGCACCGCCAGGTCGAAAAATAGCCACAAGCTACAAACTGCTAGCCTAGGGGACGGAAATACACCAGGCCAAGGCCATGGGTAGGTTGGATTCATCGAGGAAGAAGCGGGATGTGAGACGTGCTGGCCATGCCGTAACGTAGGGCATTATGCCCCATCAGCCGAAGCAGAAGATTAAAAACGGTCTGATCAAGCGATGTGCGACACTCCTGTGTAAATCGAGGGAGAGAAGAACCAACTGCTCATCCCTTCCTAGTTTCCAGACCGGCGGGTGGACTGCTGCTGCCCTGGGGGTTGCACTAAAGTTAAAGGCGGGGAAGCTGTTGCTGCTGCTGCTGTGGCACACATCTCTGCGCAATAAACTCGTTCATACATATGGGGAATCCATACACAAGGTACCGTAAAAACTCGACAAATCCGTCCTCTTCTACTGCGCGTACCAAAGCAGGCGACGTATCTCATGGCTCAGTCCTCTTTGGCATCCTAACTGTAAGGTTTGAACCACTGCAGGCCAGTCGCAAGCCGGCTGCCTGGGATTGGTCGGTTGGCTTGGGTACGCGCAGTAGAAGAGGACGGATTTGTCGAGGTTTTACGGTATGTATTGCACATCAGGTTACAGTGTAGGTCTGAATGCGGTGAAGGGCTCCTCCTCCATGTGCATACACCGGCAACACGGCAGAGCTCATGATGGGCAAAGTCTGGGGAAGCCATTCCTGAGTGACACACATGCACGTCACAGCACGTTCTCTCTCATGCAATTCCAACAATGTGATTCCTTCTTCCCACCCGGCCAGGTGACTAACCAATTACTGCAGTATGTATGTACAATGCGCACAGCACCCGGCAGCTCATCACATGGCTTGCCAGCGAACTTGTGTCTCCTTGACTCGCGACGCCAGATAAATCATCGCTCCCTGCTTCGAGGTTTGTAAGCCCAAACTCGGAATCCTGAAAAAATTCGCATATCGGCTCGCGTTCAGGATTTCGGCTCAACTCAATTTAACGCACGATCAAGGTTGGATGCCGGCTGACTGGTTGGTTGGGGGTCGTTGTTGTGTAGCGCTTCTTTTTTGCGCTTTCCGGAGAGATAGTGTGCTCGGGCCCAATCAGCCGAGCATGCGCCCTGCAGCTACGCGCTCCCCGCCCCATCCTGCCGGAACCCCCTGGTCCGAATCCTCGGCCTCTTTCAACCAACCCAAGCGAAGAGTGAGAATCCGAGACCTGCCGTTGTTTCGTTGGGAAAGTGGAACGTAGATGTGTTCGAGCCGGGCCACCGCGAAGGAGCATTATGGCGGCAATGGGTAGCTTGTTGGCAAATCTTTCCTGGCCATTCTCCCGTAGCATAGGTCTCCGATTCGAGAAAGTAACCCCCATCGTCACCGATCTATGTATCAAACAATTAAACATATGTACCGAGCGGCCTGCTCCGGCCGCCGACCAATTAGGTCCTCCTGGGTCCTTGCACTCCCAACATCACCAGGACCGGGGAAGGGAAGCTGAAATGGCTCGAAAAAGAGCAACAGAATTCTTGACAAAGGGACGATGCTGAGACGCTGGGTGATTGCTCCCGATACGACCCCAGAGTGAGAAAAACTGCCCATGACGTGTTGTGAGATGATGCACCGGTGCCGCCCATCCAAACGCCTTGTATGATTTGTGAGAAAGCCCCCTCAGTTTTGACAAAAAGGAAAGGAACCGCTGCCCTGTCATAAACCTTACAAACAGGTCTGATCGCAAAAACCGCCCCTCTTCTCTTCCTCAGTAGCCCGCGCTCCCTGGCATCTTTCCTAATGAGTGTGTGCCGTGTTCTTTTGGAGGGAGGTGGTTGTGGCAGTAGATCTTTTTCCCACTCGCACGCGTCTGACACGCTTTCTTGGAGGCGTCAATCATTGTGGCCGCGTTGGGCTCGTCGTAGCTGTCCGACTGGCAGCACTCAATGTTCTTCACCCATCGGTTGTTGACTACCTGGGCGATCGTAGCCCGCTTGTCCGGGTCCGGGTTGAGCATTTGGAGGAGCACTCGCCGCAGGGCCGGCGGTTTGACAAACGTGTCAAACACCCACACGTGGGGATAATCCACTTCCGTGATGGCCATCTCCGAGTCCGCATGGCTCCCATTCCACTTCTCCCACCCGCGGACGAGTTTGGCATAGGTCTCCGAGTTCGACCCGCTTTCTTTGCTGTTGACTTCGGCCCTGTGCCATAGAGGGCCCCCAAAGATGAGATTCACCATCACAATGGCCGAGCTCCAGACGTCCAGGCCGCGTGGGTCGTAATCGCCCGACTTCTTGAGCACTTCGGGTGAGATGTAGGGCATACTGCCGCAGATGCCTGGCGCGCAGCGACGCACATCGCCCATGTTCTTCCCGCACTGTCCGCCCGCCTCCCTAAGCCCCGGGTGGATCCCAGAAAAAACCTCAGAGACACCAAAGTCCGTGATTTTCAGCCGGCATTCCTTGGTGATGAGCAGATTCTCGAGTTTGATGTCGCGGTGCGCGATGCCGTTGGAGTGCAGGTAGTGGATGCCGTTGATCAGCTGCTTGAATATACAAAGACGGTCCTTTTCCCTGTCTTCGCCCTTGAGATACTTCTTGTTCACCAGCGTAAACAGGTCGCCGTCCTCGCAATACTCCATGACATGGTTCCATCGCCCGTGGTCGATGCACAGCCGTACGGTATCCACGATGTTGGGATGGTGCAGACTCTTCGCAAGGGTGTACTCGGACTTGATTTTCTTCTCGTACTCTTCCTTCGTCTCGCTCGATGATTTGCCGCGGAATTCCTTGACAGCATACAACTCGCCGCCGTTCTTGGACACCATCAGAGTGACCTTTGACGTTGCGCCCTTGCCCAGGTGCTTTCCGTGACGGCCTAGTAGCTTGTGTTGGTACTCAAACTCGGCTGTGAGCTCAGCCACATCGACGGTGAAATCGTCGGGCAAGCTCAAGCTCATGCGGCGGGCTTTGACGCCGGTGCCCGTCTCCGCAGGCAGGCCCCACAGTGATCTTTCCATGGGAATTGCCTTTTCTGCGTCCCCAGACACGGCATCCTCCTGTTTCTTATAGTCAAAGCTACTCGCACGCCTCCTGAGCTGCAGTTCCTGCCTCGAAGGGCCGCCGCGATTACCATTGGCTAGAGTCGCTCGAGGGCGCAGCGAGAAGCCAGTCGCCCTGCGCTTTTCCTTTTTGAAAAAGGCGTCCGACCCGGGCACAGTGGGCTTCGAAGCCTCTTCCCTCGTCTTCATAGCCATCTCTAGCGGCGAGCTCGGGGAGGGCGGCGAATTGGAGCGGGTAGTGGCTGAACTCCTATTCATGGACCAACGCCGCGTCGGTATCTTTCGTTGGGCAGCTTCGGGAAGATTCAGCGTGGACATTGTAGCGCTATGCGTCGAGTCGGGGAGGCCGAGCGCCGGCTTCTCTGCTTGTGATCCTACGCGGCGAAGAAAGCTAGACATGGTCCGTTTGAAATTCGAACTCGAGCCGAACGTCGAGCGTCTGGAAGGAGGTGCGGTACGGGGCGTCAAAGGGGTAGACGCGGGCAGAGAAGTGGAAAGTGTTGACCCAGGACTCCCGGGCGCGGTTGGCGGCCGAACGGTGGCGGTATCAACAGCAAGGGGTGGCTTCGGGACGGGTGTGGCGCCTGGCCCCGCGGTGCGGAAGTGGCCTGCAAGCTGGTCCTGCGCCGCGTCCTGGTTTGTGAGGGCCTCAAAGTCCTGCGACTGGCGGCCGCTCACAGGAGTGACGGGTTCATTGACGGCCTCGCTATCGGTCTCATCGCCCTCTTCTAATATGGGGTGTGTCAGGTCGGTGGGATATTGCCGAGGCGACGAAGAAAGGCTCGACTGGTTGGAGCCGGATTGGCTCGCCGTGTCTGGAGTGAGAAAAGTTGAGTCGACTGTTTGTTTGCTAGTTGCGGACGAAGTGGGGGAGGGAGAAGGCGAGGGAGAAGGAGAAGGAGCCAAAGAGAGAGATTCAAGGTGGGAGTGAGGACGAAGGGGAAGCCGCTCATGGCTCAAATTGAGGAGGGCAAAGATACCTAAAGAAGAGGTCTGCGTCGCAGCAGCAGCCAGCACCGAGACGGCCATGGTTTGGACGGGAATAAACCGTCAGCAGACGGCGGTGGCAGCAGCCGGGCAGGGGCGGTACGCCCACACCTGAACCACAGTTACCACACCCACACACAAACAAGCCTTTCAGGTCCTTGAATAATCAAAGGGCTAACGTCAGAGGGCCGGCGACCACCTGCACTCGGCAAGCGAAGCGCGAGGGGCCGAGGGCACAAAGAAGGGCAGAAGGGGTCCACGCCCGCAAGTTGCAGGTAGGTGCCCGGAAAACTGCCTTTTCTTGGGAACTCGAGCAGATCGGCGGGGGCCGATGACGCTGATGAGTCCCCTCTGACAAAACACCTCAACCCCCCAAAAAATTCCTTGGACAAGGCAGGTAAATGCAAGGTACGCAACCACCCTCCTTTCAAAGCCTTGCGCAATAACGCAGAGCAATGGCGGAAAGAAAGGCCGGTACACCGGGTCCAAATCGGAAGCTGGCTGCTCTGTCGCTTTCAAGTTTCACAACGACCAGACCACAACAACAAAGCGCCGGCAACCAAGCGACGGGCACAAGCGCACTAATTATATAGCGCCTCAAGCCGCGCAAAGGCCTCCCCGGAGATTCGTCGCTGCGTCAGGCTTCCCTCTGATCGGCGGCGTTTCTTGGGACGACAATCGCTCTCTGCCAAGCGTCTCTCATGTGTAAGGCGAGATTTGCGTAGCCCAGTTGTAGGAGGCGTGGCGTTCTGTCGAACTACACAAAAGCGGCCGAGATTTGCGTATTCAAATGCCGGTTGGCTTAGCGCGCACTCTTGGCGACGAGGAGTGCCGATTTGGGCGAGGCAGAGCGTGGAAAAGAGCAAAGAAGGAAGCAGACGCCCTCTGGCGGGATGTTTATAATATCATTGTGAGAAAAGACGAGGCGGGAATTTGCTGGTTAAAACTTAGCACAAACCTGAAGCCTGCTTTTCGCCTCCTCGCCGGGTAAGAGGTGTAAGAAGCGGCTGGCTGGTCTGGGTCTGAGGGTTCCGAGGGTATTTGGGCGAGGAGGGTGGTGGGGTGTGGTACTGCACAGTACCTGCACTATTGTCACTGCTAGCGCATACAATCTGGGCCAACGGAACAGTTGCAGTTTCATTGATTCAGTACTATCCAGTACTAGTAGGCTTTTTTAGGTTCAAATTGTGCCCAGCCTCGGTGTCTCAAAGTGTAACATACAAGGCACTCTCTGCTTGAAGTATCCGATACTACTATCTGACCAACCTACAAAAATTGCCCTGCTATGCACGTTAGCACCGGGAATTAAGCTGATTGATTGTACCGCTGACCTGGAAGTCTTCCAGGTTTGATGGGACAGGTGCATGCTGTCGTATGTGAACCTTGAGAAGGAGCAACTACCACTGAACTGAAGTCCCCATGTTCGCTTCTCTATTGCTGAGATAGGTACTTGGTGTACCTAGGCTGGCGCTTTCCAGACATCCAGATCGCCGGGGCTCCAGTCGACTTGTTTGCAACGTTATGTGTGAAGGAAGGAGACAAAAGCGCCGAGAGGGACACGAGTTCAAACGAACTTCTTGGCAGCTCCATTTCCTCCACACTCCCCAGAAGATGACAATGATACTTTATTAATCCAAGACACAATCACTCTCGCGCGTCAAAATCTTGTTTGAACGTTATACTTCTTATACGTGTAGACTTGCTGGAGCCCGGCTACTTCCAAACGGCGCATCACCACGACGGAGTGGGTTCCGCCCCTATGATCTTGGATACCTACTGTACAGTACATACCTTACAGGTGGCTGAACTACTGTGGTACAGTACCTAAGGTAGGTAACGCCGCTCATGTAACATTCTGAACTGTCGGTAATTTCGTATACTACACTAATACGCCAGGTACGGAGTACCTTGCCATTCTTGGCATCTGGCCAATCAAAGCTAAGTCCACCATCAGACAGGGTGGGATGGCCCACCCCCACCCATGGCAGCGCCGAGAGGCCGAGAGGGCCGATTCGGGCCCCTCCAATTTCGGAGCAAACTGATTGGCTAGAACAAACGGGTTGTCTTTGCAGACGACCGGCGCTCTTCGGGCAATCCAATATCAGGAGTACTGGAGACATGCCTTTCAGGAGACGGAGAAGCCTGGATGTATCAACTGACAGAATCTCGCCATTTATGCAACTGCGGGGTTTGTGGGATTCTTTATTGCGCTGTCTGTTTCCCGTGGTGTCGGAGCAGCCGGTCGATTCTTGGCCGGCTCGGCTCTGAGATGCGTCCTATCGTTCTCGCCGCCAAGACCCACCAAGCCCGCCGAGAAATATGTGGCAATGTCCCGTCCGACTCGGCTTCTGTGAAAGCGCGATGATCGTGCAACAATGCCTCTGAGTGAGAAGTGTCTGTCCGATCGGCTTCTTATGTGTGCCGCTCCGTGCTCTCGCATTTTGCTCTTTTCCTCGAGCGGTGGCATTTCAAAAGCGTTTCCAGTACGGATAGTTACGACTTCATGCTTGAAGTACGGTATAATACTGTATAGTACAGCCGACGTACGCTCTGATTCGTTCACAGCACGCCATTACTAGTAGTGGTCTTTTTCCAAAGTGACGCAGTGACGACAAGCGGTGGGCTCACCTTGCTTACCTTACATTCAATTCGCAGGATATTCGTACAATGTAAGTACAGTACAATACCTAGTACAGAATACACAGCCCTGGACCAGCTTTCCTAGCATTAGGCAGCATGTTAGCCCGATGCAGTGTGTATGAAAGCAGGTATTTCCATTACAGCCTTGGTTTTTTGTACCGCACCGATGTCTAGCGAAACAATATTCATATAGGAGCGAGATGGATTAGATGCGGTTTGTCTGAAACCAAGCAGAGCGAATCGAGGGCGACGTGGTTTGTCATTGCTCGCGTGGGGTTTCCCGATCCGATCCTGATCCAAGGGTTCACATTGAGCAATTCTCCTCGGTTGGCGGAAAACACAGATACGGAAGTCCTGCGAGCTATGTGTATGCGCATACAGTCTGTATAGCGTGCCAGGGTTTATCATCAATTCATAAGCTGCTCAATCCAATCGTTCCATATTCACCTTAATAGGCACCTAGGCGTCTGTTAAACTTTCGTGGTTTGCAGTGATCCTTTGGGCTTTATAGAACTAAGTGAAAAGTCTCAATCATGGTTTACCATACGTACTGTAAATACACTACAGTACGCTCGTTGGCTGCGATCACCTGCGGCTATGGCGTTCCTTGGCCTGGTGGCATGCCAGGGACTCAGCAGCATTAGCCGTTGCCAAGGTCTCGGCGTCCGTCATCAGGCTCATCGTCCGCTCAAGCGCCCCAGTTGAGATACTCAAAACCATTTGTTTAAGATTCAAGTCTTGAGACTCTGAAGCGTTCGGATTGCGCTGTAAGAAGAATCTTCTCTGCTGCTGGCGCTGTTAGCTGGCTGAAAAGTCATCTGTATCGCTGTCGGCTAAGATATGGTAACCATGGATGTATCTTACCGAGCTGCTAGTATGTAATGTGAGGTATTGTACATACAATACTGTACGGAACTACCTACTGCCCCCACGTTCGCTACCATTTTCCTCCACTAATAAGGTTGATTACATCGCTAAATTTTACCAATCCCCCCAATCGGCCGTCGGGGTCATCAACCGGCAACAACGCGTGTTGGCCAACTCGTGTAGGCTTTTCCGACTGTCTTATGTTTCTGTGTGTGTATGCGTCTGTATCTACAGTACCCCCCTTGTTTGTTCGTTAGCGCCTGACTTCAAGACCAGGGTCAGCCCTCAGATTTCAATTTCAACATCAAAACGCCCAATTTTCCTATGGAAATAACGCTCTGAAGAAAATAGTCTCCTTGAGTATTGCTAGATACTCTTTTTTCCTGTATTGAGTCAATCTATCTGGCTGCTGAGAAGCATTTCTCTGATTTCTGGACAAGAACCCCTGTCGGGAGTCCCGCGCTAACAAACAAACAAGGGGTGAACTCTAGGGAAGGTAGGTACGGAGGTTGGGGCCAAAAGTATTCACCACTCTCCTGCTAGTGCCAAGCCTGTCTACGTGTGAGAAGCCGGAGAGAAGGGAGACACACTGTATTTTCTTTGGGAATAGCGTTCCCTCGCAGATCTCACTGGAGTGGGTACTGAAGCTGCCCTGTAATTGGCCCTGTAAATGGGCATACTATTGTGCGATACAGTGGCTCGTTATAGGTGGCTGGCCGTGACTGTGCGAACCTTACTGTATCCTGGGACTTGGCATTCTTGGCAAGAGGAAGGTGGTGAATACTTTTGGCCCCAACCTCCGTATTTTTACCTATATTCAGTAATCGATGTGTAGTGTAACATGATCACTCTTCTCGAATCTCAAGGTATAGATATATCAACCGGTGAGTAGTACATCTGGATATGAAGTGAGCAGATTGACTACAAGTGTCTAGTCTTCATTCTTGATATATGTATGCGACCCATCTAATATCCTTCCATGGGTTATTGTGACTGTAGTGTCGAGGTGGCCGGAGCCTTGCACCGCAACGAGTTGGTCTCCAGACGGTCTTGGCAACGCGATCTCCCGTCTCGGCATCCTGTTTGTCCGTCTCACCTGCTGGAGTGTTTCGTGAGGTGTTTGTGTCAAATTATGGAGGAGTTCAGTAGGTACATACCTACCTCAGCAGCTTAGGTAGTGTATGTAGTGTAGTGTACGAGGGAGCATACAAGTTGAAAGGAGGCACACTCAGAGACCGCGCCAAGCAATGATCCCCAGATAACGTTACGCCGTATTGCTTGTTTCCCCTCTTCCCCACACTACTCCAGCTTGGCCCATCTTGATGCAACGTTATGTAGTAGCATACAAACTTCGATGTGTGTCGTATTGTATGTATTGTATTGAATTATTGACACCCGTATTCAACACCGAATTGCTGCTAGCATCAGCCTCTTTCGAGTTCTACAAAACGGGAAGACATGGCCATCGCAAATGCAAGCGCAGTGTTGATGCTTTGGCATGAAGATTGCCAAGGCAATGCAGGGTTTTACGAGCTTTAAGCACACTCGATTACGAGGCACGCGACAGGCCCCGGGCGGATGATGGAACTGGTGGCTCAAGAAGCGGTGTGGGACGAGTCCCATGTTGGCTGCAGCCCGAGCGCCTTGACAAAAGACGGGCGCAGGGCGAAGACGATCCAGACAAACGCGGGCTGGGATCCTCTTTTCAGCAATTCCTCACACGACGGCAGGCTCCTTTTCTCAGCGGGCCGCGAATGGCTTTCCAAATCATACCGAGAGCTTGGTCTGGTTTGCAGACTTCACCAGGGACAATGAAGTGCAGTCTTGATAAAGTATGTACAATTGCTTAAACTCCTCGAATTCTCAATATATAGCCCGAAGAAATATGGGACACTCGCCATACGTGTATAACACCTCCAACACTGCATGATACATACGTCGCTCAAGAAGAGCGGCGTCGAGAAAATCCCGCATAGTGTAGCTACTGTCGCATTTGAAGTCGTATACGATGCGTGGAGTTGCGAATGTATCTTGCAGTACTTTGCACTGTATTCTACCGTACAGTAGTGTACTTACAACACGCTCAGCTGCATTTCATACACCTTTCGCTCTACCTTACCACAGTACTGTATGTACAATTATATGTAGTTAGAATGATTACTTATCCTAGGTAAGATAGTATCAAATATCGATGACTAGTAAAGCAATGTCACGACTACACTAGCCTGAGCCTGCCTGTCAGCCAACAAAAGTTCGACGCTGTTCCTAGGTGTAACATTTTCGCCTGCTATACAATGTAGTAGTGTATTTGTGTATCCAACGTCACGCCTCGGTTACGTATGCGCTCTGACTGGGCTGAAGCCGGGCACGCACCAAATCACCAAATTGAGGGATCGACGATGACTACCCAAGCAAGGCACACATTTGCAACTTCGAACCGTGGATCGTTTACGTCAAGGAAGACGGATTTCTCAACCCAACAGGCACCAATCCGATTTGGGGTAAGGAAGGTAAAGACATGGCCGGTTACCTTAAGACTAACATGAAATATTCACCCAATCATATGACGGTGCAACCGGTCAAACACTCGGCGAAGTGTCGGCCGGAAACAGCTTCACAGGGTAACCCGACGATGCCGTAAGCCGAATCCCAGATGAATGGCAACAATGCTGCTCGCCGTGGAAAATGGCCGCCACATGACTGGCTTTGGACCAACAAAACGCCATGAGACGAGGGGTCCCGGTCTGCCTCCTGGGGCAACGCCGACGTCCTCCAACGAAACGGGCCGTCAGGTTATTCCTGCCCCCCCCCCCCCAAGCCCGAATCCCTTTCCTGGTCCCGGCCGTGCCGGTTTTCCGGGGCCGGCAATCCAACGGCGCTTCACATTGTTTGACTGACATGCATCAGCGCGGAATCATGTGGGGAGAAGGCCCGGCTTTCGGGATTTTAAGTTGAGGTTGGTGCGTTTCGAGCACAAATGACTGTGGAGACATCCGGAGATGGGGAGCGCGATTCCCGATGGACCCGATGCTCAAGCCAGACCGGTCTTTGGCCGAACCTTTGATGATTCCTTTCACTACACAAGGTACCCTTACCTAAATCCGCCTGGTCATGAACGAAATGGAGCGTCCCCCTTTTCCTGATCTCGGTCCTTTTTATGACGCCAGCCGAGTGGCGCAGAAAGACCGGATGTCGGCCTTTTCTTTCCCCTGAAGCGCTGCGCAAACACTTGATATACACGTACAGTATATACTTCCGTTCAGGAGCCTTCAGGTACGGCACAGATGGCGCATGGCCACTGGAAAGCACAGAGTCAAGGGCCGGGGATCACATTGTTTACAGGTACAGTACGTTGCCACAATTGATCTCAAGATCGTCGCCATCCAACGCCCCGGCTGTCGTGTCTCAGGCCTCGCCACGTGGGCTTCTGTTCAGCGGGTGATAAGGGAAATACTTGGGATTCGAGCGGAGATTCGAGAAAGGGGTACCCAGATCATGATGCCCAAAGTGATGACAACGCCACCTATACCGTAACCAAAGGCCACCCAACTCTCCTTAACTATACTTTTGGGCCTCTTAACTGGGGATTTGGCCATACAATTGGGAAGTTAGGCTGGAATCTTGAACGGTGGTTTTATTCCAGGAACCTGTGGCCCTCCAGCCTGTTGTTCCATCCCACTCTCCTCGCCGTCCTCAGGTCCATAAGGCTAGCCCGTCTGGCCTGATGAGAACATGAAGGGAGCCATCTGCAATAGCCCTCGCTGCCCTGTTTTGGAGGAGGGATATACGGTCGAATCACGAGTAAGAGGACTGGAAGACTTAACTGAGTTTGCATGGAATGTACTTTGCAGTTTGATCTCGCTTTCTATGTGTCAACTGTCTCCATTTCTCCCGAGTCCATGCAAAAAGGGGTTCTATCCTCACTTAAACAACACCCCTTCCGCCACCACGATGTTATATATATCATCATAAAGCCGAATCAATTGTCATTTCTCGGGATCCTGGCTTGATTCATTGAGCCGGGTCTGTAATCACGGTTGTAAGACGGTCAGGTATCTATCACGGAAGTGAATTCAATGTCACCGCCCCGTGTTGTTACCGCTCGTGATGCATCACCAACGCTCGACTCAGGTGGCATCAATCACACTCGATGGTGTGTCATGGCATAAACGTTGTGCGGTATTTTGCCTGGCAATGTAATTCTGCCCATCTACTATAGTACCGAGGATACGCAATGCCAGCGCTCAAGAGCTATCACAAGTACGACTATATACAGGAGAAGTTGTAAAGTCATCTCCCTCCAGCTCCGTCCAATGGAGGGCATCTCTAGTATCAGGTGCTCCTGTCTAGCGTCAGACTGGAGCTGACTGGTCGTAACGGGGACGATTGTTGCTCTCGAAGACTTGGACTATCTCAATCGGTGCCTGACGAAGCACATCGAGGTCCGTACTGGCCTAGGATACGGCTCACAACATGGACGTCAGGTGCTTTGTAGTTTGTGACCCTTTGGTGAGTGCTTAACCAGGTGGTTATACATTGCTGCACGCCATCATCTCAATTTCTGGGACTCTTTCTGAGATTGTATTCGCTACTTCGGTATCCCGGGCTCTTTGCTCCGGTTCATTGACGAATGATCACCCCTTGGACTTGAGTGCAATATGTTGTCTCACTCAAACCCTCCAAAGGACGGTTGAGGCCGGTTCTGGCTGAGGTGTGCAGTATAGTATCCCAGCATCTGTGACAGCAAAGCATACTTCAAGTCAGACAGGCGTTATTGTCCGACGGTGCTACCTCCTAGGGCCGTCTACCTTCCCTTGAAAGCAACATTGCCGATGCGGTATCACGACCAAATCGGCTGTGAGACGTCGGAGAATTAGATACCCATAGTATTACACAGAATAGCCACGTGAATCAGAGCCGCAGATACGCTGGGATCGACCGCAGCCTATTTGCCATCATGACATATCCAGGGACAATGTCAAAAACAAGGTCAACGTAGGGTCACTCACCATGTCTGAGACACAAAGCCTCGGCTTGCCATGTCTTGCTTGGGCATGTGGCTCACTTGGTAATGTGCTTAAGGAGAGCGCTTAGAGGCAGAAATATGACTGCCTCCGAGCTTCGCAACACGAAGAAGAAGAATACAACGAGCAGCAGCTTGGAGCTCTCTTGTCAGGTGATGAACCGTGGAACAAGATGAAGACGAGAGACCAGGGAAAGCCTCGAGGTCTCCCTGTGCGCTTGGCCGTTCAGACTCGGAAACACTCGTCACATTCTTTTGTGATGTACGAACACTCGCCGGGCGAGAGTGCCTCCTTCCCCTCAATCTCCAGGGGCCTGCTGGCGTCAATGGCAGCGAGAACCCTCCGGGAGGTGAGCAAAGACGGTGCACGAGACAATGGCGGCCGTGACAGCAATTCTTTCAAAGCATATTAGCTGAAACGTTAGTATTGTAGAGCGACTTATACAGAACTTGGAAGAAATCGAGCCAAAGATGTGTCGGATTACAGCCCCCGAGGAAGGCTAGACTAAACTCTTTCGACCGTCAATTGCATTACCTTGATTTGACCATCCGGAGAGGACCATATACATACCTCTCCTAACTTGATGCCGGGTCGAAAATGTGAAGTGCTTGTATGTACACGTGTAAATGCTTCTTCTCTGGAGGTGGCGCCGGCTCCGCGGCGAATTGGGTTACGGAAGCGCTTGCCGGTGACATGGATGTGGCAGCCCTCCAGGCTGAACGCTATGACACCTAGGTACGGGATGCACAAACCTAGTCCATCAGGAGATATAAGCAGGGATTATTGCAAACCTCTCGTTGCTGCACCCAGCTCTGCTCTCTCATGGTTTCCAACTTACAACAGGTACGGTTACGTAGAACCTCCTTTGGCATTTTGTTGCGAAGGAGCTGCCCGACCTTCTGCCGAAAACGGCCGGGTATCTGCGAGGCATACATTCCTGGTACCCTCGTAACGTTTTTCTTACTCCGCACTTGAGATCCATCCCGAATTTGCCAAGAAGGGTCTTCCAGGGGTTCTTTGGACCCTGAAAGGGTAAGCTCCATGGGGATACAACCCAGGTTGCCGAATGTTGGTCTATCGATCACATCGGCATTCGACAGACACGGCATTGGAGAATAATAAGTGACTTTTCCGGTGTACAGTATCATGGCAAATTTGAGTGATGATGATCCAAATTATTGGAAAGGCATGAGAACAAAATCTCTGACAAACGCTGCTGCTCTACCCCACTGCTAGAGCGCAGAGTTGAACCGAGCTGGTGGTGCCAGCGCATCGTCGGGAGGCTTCCTGCAGGGTCCGTGGGTGGGTTCTGACTGGGACGCCCAACGTCGCATTGAAAACGGAAAGGCCTCGCCTGACCCGCCTCACGCGCTCTTTTTAACGTCAGGCCAAGGTAGCTACGGCGGACTAAACGCCCACCGCCTTCTGCAGTGCGTTCATGAAGCTCTTGTGCTTCTCTTGTTCGTGAACGCGCAGCATTTCTTGTCCAAATCTTTGCTGGCCGAAAATTACCAGCTGAAATATGTGCCATCCATGATGGCGGATTTTTATGTACCAAGGTGGAAACTGGAAACAGTCGGATCCATATCTGCATTTCCGTGCATACCAGACACCGTAATTTGGGTAGGCTTTGGGACCAACGTTACCTTAGTTATTGAGGCTGCTGCCCGAGTGGGAAACGGACCAGGCAATGCCGGCTGGCCCGCCCGTCTTTTCCGCCTGTGCATCTCGTCACAAGGGCCCAGGCACTTAAAATGTTACTTTGGTCCGGCCAAAACTTGTGCCTGCGCCGCATGGTTTGCTCCTCAACGACGGGCGCTTTCTTCTTCTGGCTTATGCGTGTCCTCTCCATCGTCTGAAACCCTCTCCAACCTCCGCAAAACACATGGTTTCTCCACTTCGGGCAGCCCTCCGACAAACCGCCTAAACAAAAGATCTGAAAGCGCCCCAGTCGCTAGCTACCTTAGTTATTGAGCCGAGGCGTTAACACGCCGTCCGAACTTGACCGGGGGATGACATCAATATAAAATTGCCAGCTGCCGTGGTTGCGGCCCTAGCATGGTAATTCGCACCAAGCCCATATGAAATTCGATCAACAGCAGCCTTCGCGCAAATGTCTGCCGTGACAAAGCTGCCCGAGGGCCCGCTGAAAACCGATGCCCACTTTCCGTTCTATGCCGTCACCGGCAACTCATCGTCCGCTATTTCGCCTTTGACCTTGCCAAGAGGGACCGTGGGATGTTTCGACCACATGGCATCTGCCATCCATACATCGCTCAACGGCGCACCCGCCACGGGCTCTAGATCGAACCAAGTCTACTCACCGCTTTCTCCTGGCGTGCGAGGGCCATTTCCGACCTACTTGCTCCCGGTCGCGCAGCGCCGTTCGACCAGCCTTCCGCCCAAAGCCGGAAACAGTAAAGCACCGCCAGTCGCATCCAGTAACGGCGAGCGGCCGACCCGGGCGTTGGAACGAGTCGGCGGTCCTAGTATTGCCGATTCGAGTCCCGTAATTTCTCCACAATACAATTCGCCAGAGTCTGCTATAGTTCGGCGCCTGGCCCAACAAAACCGCCAGATACGGGAGGCATGGGAGGCAGAGCGCAAGTATCTTGAAGCAAATCGAGAACGGGCCGAGGAGGTTTACAAGGAGGAGCGTGCTTTGATGGAGGAGGAAAGGGCCGAATGGGAAGCCGAGAAGACGCGGCTGTTGCAGGAAATCGACCGGCTCCAACGCCAGGTCATAGCGCTTAGTGGAAGCAGCCCCCGAGCGGCCACCAACGGCGCCTTCCAATCGTCCACAGCTGGGTACCTGTCTAGCCCTCCGCTCCGCGGCGGAGGCTCCTCAACTTCACCCCAGAGCCAAACGAGCGCACAGCCTTCACGTATAAATACTTTCTCAACTGCCAACGGCGGCGGATTCGTCCTTCCTAGCAGAGATCCGCCTCCACATCAACATTTTCCGATCTCCTCAACCAGCATGAAGTCCCCTTCCGGCACGGCGCCCGGTGCGCCCAACAACACGGTTCCCGACTTTTTAGTTCCGAGCATAGTGTCTGAATCCGCGTCCGAGCCCGGGCGCACGCGTCTGGTGGATGTGCAGGACATTGACCCAGCGCTGGAAGGCATTCCCATCAAAGTTTCCGCCATCACCAAGCCCACTTTTACCGATCCTCCGTCAGCTAGCCCACCGAAAGAAAACGGCAGCTCGGTCGTCTCGCCGACAGGTCTTGACCCGGTCAAGATCAAGCCAGGGACAAAGAAGGAGACGCTGCAGGTGTTGGCAGCGAACGAGTCGGCCCGGCTCACCATGCATGCCGGCCATACGCCGAGCCATTCTCTTTCTCTGCTGCCGACAGGCATAGCGACTGCCAGCAGCAGCGATGACGGTTCTAGCACCCCAACCATGCAGCAAGAGGACGGTGCAGCAGCCAGCGAAGATGCAGCAGCCAATGATGCCTCGGCACACGCTGCGGAACCACACCCGGCATTTCCAGGCCGGAATGGGCAAGAAGTGGTTGACGGCCATCCCGAAGAGATCTTTGAGCCCAGCGAGGACCGTAGACTGAAAGGCCCGCTCATGGTCCGGAATATGCCCGCGAACGACGAGATCTTTTTCCAGAAGCTGTCGGACAAGCTGGAAGAGGTCTCAAAGGACGACAAGGCGGCTTTGCCTGCCGTCTTGAAGGATGCCCAAGGCGACGGCGCTATTGCTGTTGATGATGCCGAACCCGCAATCGACGAGGATAGCTCGAAAAGCGATGACGAGGACGAAGCGGCTGTAGACGTTCCGTTGCGGCTTAGGCGGCCCATGAATTTTGGAGCCCCTTTTGGCGAGATCAAGTGCCCCAATAGGTTGGCCGCCAAGCAAGCGAACTGAGTTTAATTTCTGTCTGATTTCTGGCTCTGGGGGTTCTTTTACCCCCTCACTTACTCTTTTTTCTTTTGTTCTTGCAAATACCCACTCTCAGGCTGGACTCATCTAGCGGCTTGGTTTGAAATTGTGTGTGTTTATGGATTCACGAAGCAACAATTGTACAGCGGCTCTTCAGGACCGGAGGTGTTGGGAGGCTTGCATGGACCGGCTGGGTTGGAATATGACATTAGAGGCGGATAGGACTGCTCTTTGGGCGAAAACGGAAGGGTTAATCAAAGTCTTCCAGGATGACTCCTGGCCTCTCTTTCCTTTCATCTTCTAAATTTTTGTACAGCATCAATACCCCTTTTTTCTTAGTGACTGCTGTTTGGGCGGCACAAATTCATATTGTCTCCAATACGGAGGTTGCGAGTCGTTACAGAGCTTCCTTTATGAGAGAAGAGGCGGCATCGTTACCCGGGATCAGGCTACACTCTGAAAATCAACCTTGCAAAATCTATATACATCCTGCACTAGGAGAGGTTGGGTTAACCGGCGAAGCAGCGGGGCTGCGGAGGAGGCGTCACTGCGGTTATTATATAACTAGTTTGAGCTAATCCCGACAAGGCCAGACGTTCCTCTGTAACTCCTGATACCTCAACACGAGAAGCTGACCGTGCGCCTGTCAATCACACAATCTTCCAGCTTTTCCTGCTGCTTGCGCTCTCTTGGCATACAGAAGGATCAAGACATCTTCTTCCCCATCAACTCGGCCAGCTCGTCCAGCAACTCGACCGTCTCGGCCGGACTCGCTATCCAGGCCGTAGTTCCGACGCTCCTCGCGCGGAAATCATTGGCGCCCGCGCTGAGAAACTGGTCGCCTACATGGAGGGTATTATCGCCCTTGATGATGCCACCCGGGACGCCGCCGCGGCTGAACCAGCGCTGGCACACGGTGACGCCCCAGCTCTTGTCGCCAATGTCGACAAAGACGTCGCGCCCGCCGTTGAAGGCGCAAAAGGGCACGCGGCGGGCGCGGCCCGCGGGGCTGAGCTCGAGCGTCTTTTGCACCACAAGCACCGTCTCCTCCAGCGACTCGCGCGGGATGCGCGTGTCGGGAGGGAACGGGACGATGCCCACGGCGCGATCTTTCCGCATGAGTGTCGCGGGCAGGTTGAGCGTCTTGATGCAGTCGCGGAGCGCCGCCTCAGCCACGTCGAGCACCTGCGCAATGTCCCGCTCGTCCCACGCCGCCATCTCGGGCGTCAGCCACCGCTCGCGGGCCACGGGCTCGAGAAGGTGCGGGGATGACGGGGAGAAGGCGAACAGGTAGTTGGCCTCGCCGCCCATGATGACGAGCGACTGCTTTTGGGCCGGGGTCAGGTCGGCGCTGTCGGCCAGCGCATCGAGCAGGCCGTGCAGCCGGGCGTAGTAGCGGTCTGCCGTGGTGTAGCCGGCGGCTGTGACGATGCCGATTTTGACGTTCTTGCGTAACAGGTCGAGTAAGCGGGGCACGACGGGGCTGGAGGGTTCCAGGCTCTGCCCGTCGTCGTACAGCGTCACGTCACCGTCGAAAGTGGCCAGCTGTAGGGTGCCGTACGTGGTCACGGCCATCATCTGGGCCGAGTTGAGGATCAGGCGGACGTCGTTGAACGAGGGCGACACGAAGCGCCGCGACGAAATGTAGCGCTTCCGGTCCTGGAACTTGAAGGCCGCTTCCAGCGGCAGTCGCGTGAAGAATGGCCCGATGCTGGGCACTAGGAGTTTGAGTTTTGAGGGGAAGGGGTTTTCCAGGTCATTTTGCATCGCGACTGTAGCAAGGTCAGATTCAGGCTCGCCCTCTCACTCTCCGATGGGATGGTAGGGGGGTTAGATTACGTACTGTGGTCGTCAATCATCACCTCGACATCGCGGAGAATCTCGCTGTATCTCCGGTGGGCCTCCTCGCGTGTCTCAGATAGACTGCTCATGCCCTGCCCTTCGAAGACGCCGTGCGGCTGGGAGTAGAGGACGAAGGGGACGGCTAGCAGCCCTTTGATCCATTCTGCGTGTCCCTGGTCAGCAGCAGAACCCCATTGATTGAAGACATCGCTGTGGAATATGGACCGTAGTCGAGTCCAGGTGAGTGAGTGATTATTAAGAGACTACTCTGTCTCCGAAGGTCGGCATCGAAAGCTGGGTGATAGGAAGGTGGGTGGTGAAAAGCGGCTTTACTATTATTCACCTATAAACTGGTCTCGCCGGTGAGATTTGAGGGCGTCTGGCTTTGCGTTTAGCTTTGAGATGCATAGTGGTGCCGAATACGGAAAGAGGATGGGTGAAGCACTAACACTCAACACGGTATCTTGTGGTCATGGTGGATGGTGGAATTGATCACCTAAGGTAGGCGCTTTGTGAGCTCGATATTCAATTACTAGGCAGGCCGAGAACACGCTGGTGAAAGCTGATATTTTCGTGGTTTTTATATAAAGGAGGACAGTTTCCTTTTCCAACAACCCGCCGTCACCGCTTCCTCAAAGAAACCCAATTGCAGAGCGAAGCTACCATGCCGTACAGATAATATGTGTCGGTTGATAAAGCTCCCGGGCTTCCCTGTGGACTTCCGTTTGTTGAGGAGGCTGTCGTACGCTACCACGAGGCCACCAATAGGCGTCGTAATATGATGTCACAGGGGCACTCCCGCACCACACTCTCCAATCAGAGCCGTGAGAGTTGCGGTGGGGTTGAGGTCTTGGCAGGGAGCGTGGGGTCACGCAGATCGGCACCCTCCGGTTGGGCCTGGCCGGGTCAGTTAACGGTCTTGGCCGTAACTCTGGAGTCCCAGTGTGTGTGCCTGACCATGGACATGGACCGGGAACCTCGACACATCGATGCAAGAGAAATTCGACTCAATCAAGGGGGAGCACCAAGAAGAAAAGAATAATGTTTTAATTCAAAAATCCAACCTAGACACCCATCCATCCATTCATCATCCATCCCTCCGACATTGATCCTCCTCCATCGACATTAACAAAGCCTACTAATCGTCTCGGTACGCGTCAGACACCCGTCGGGGCATGCCGTCTCGCAGCCCTTGACGTACAGCACCGTGGAGGGTTGACAGCCGCAGGGGATCACGAGGCTGGACGTCGCGCGGCAGGTCGGCACGGGGCAGCGGATGGCCGGGCACCCCTCCGGGCTAGTGGTGCGCGTTATCTTTGGGCATGGCGTGCTGCTCGTCCGGGGCGGCAGCGTGACGATGCTGGTGATGATGCCCGTCGGCGTAGTTGACGTCGATGTCGTCGTCGTCGGCCGCGGCGGCCATCTACGGGTGCTGGTGCTTGTGGCTGCGCAGGGGAGCGCACTGGTGCGGAATTCAATCTCGCACCCTTGGTACGGGCACTCGGCCTCGCAGGGCGCAATGAGCGTCGCCGTGGGCACGGTCGACGGGCACCCGCATGGGTTGCGGATTGTGCTCCGGAAGGCGCAGTCGCTCAGCGGGCACTCGTTGCGGCACCCGCGGTTCTGGATCGTGCGCGTCGCCGTCGGGCACGACGCTGGTGGTCCCTGCGCCAGCGCGAGGCTGATGAGGCTGAACAGGGCTGCGACGACGGCCTTCATGTTGTTGGGTTTTCGCCTTGCTTGCTGCGGGGCTCCGCGTTAGCAGATCTCGTCGTGATTATTCGGTGGGCTCAGCGGTAGTACTGTATACCTGGAAGTCCAAGGGCGGTTCAGGGGGTCTGCCTTGTGCTTGTCGTGCTTCTCGCTACTGCTCCCAAGTGGGTACGGAGGCGGCCGGTATATATAGATCCCAGGGGTTGTCAAGGCCGTCGCCCGCAATACGCGATTTCCGTGTCTACCCTGGCTCACGGGCCGTTCCGGGAGAATCTCCAGATTCTCCGGAGTCATACCTGCCTCCTCTATGGGATCGCCGGTTGAACTCGGTTTCTATTTATTGTCTCCTCTAGTTGTCCCCTCCCAATGCTACCCAAGGATGGCCTATCGGGGGTATTGCGGTGTACGGAGGTGCTTAACGGTCATGATTAACCGTCATGGAGCCAGTACTTCTGTCCTGGTACGAGAGATTAGTGACACCATTAAGCACCGAGAGGCATTTACCCCTCGCTGTCAGGCCGCTTGATGGACTTCTACACCACGGACCAATAATAGACGGCGAAACCCAGAGGACAGGCTGAATGGCATCTTCTCGTATGCCTGATTGAGGACGGCTCACGAGCAAAATGCCCGTCAACACCAACACAGATATCTGGAAACATGAAGCGGAACGCCTTATGCGTCTAATTTCTCCCGCAGACGCTGCAGACGCCACTTATTACCTACCGAGAAGTATCTCGATTCACGGCCTCAGACCGCAGACGTGGACGCGGGACGGGGCGATCATGGCTTGTGGGTTGTCCTTATCTTCACCCCAGAGCCGAGGGATTATAGCGTTTTGTCATCCTGTGTATTGACGACGCAGCATGGCAATAATTCTGGAATTTCTGCTCTTCCCCAGAGATTCGATCGGACCTGGCTCGGCTGGTTCCTTGAAATCGGCAGATAAGTCCGGACAGCTGGCAGGCTCGGCTTGGATACGGGCCCTATGTCCAGTCTACCCGAGGGGAACTTTTGTTGGAGCGGTTCTGTCCTCCGCAGGATCATGCATGCATCATTTGGAGGAGGCTGATTGCTCTCCGATATGATATCATGTAGCAGCCATCGGGATAAGTACTGTATGTACCTGACAGCACCCGCCTACTAACATACCGTACTTATGCAAGCCACACACGCCCGCTCCGGGTTGGCATCCCGCAATGGCCCATAATTCATAACTCAGTTATTAAGTTCGCTGGGCCTGGCGAGCCATTCAGATGGCTATAGTTCAAGGCATGACGTCCATTTATTTCCGCCTTCAGCCTCCTTTTAGCCTGAGGTGTGGGAACAGCATTTGCACAACCGTTTGATGGAAATTGAGACACAGCTAATTTAAGACATCAAGACTTGATTTTAGGATCAAAATAGCCTTTTTGGGTTTTCTCCCTTGGACGCCCGTAATGGGCAAGTGGAATGGAACCCGGAGAGTGGAAGGTGAAGTTTGCGGAAAAAGCGGGCAGAGCAAGCTTGCAAGTCCAAGTCATGAAGGATCAAGGGATGAAGAGCCGTTTATTTATGCGAATGCTACGAGTGGCAGTCAGGAGCTTCACGGGAAAGGCCGCAGATATGTCCAGGACGCTGCACTTCTCTGGGGAACGACTCAGGGGTACGATAGGGTGGCCGCTAGGCTCGGAGCCTCTGTCATATTAACATGGAAATTGAAAGAACTGTCTGTCGATCGCCGGTGCCCTTGAAATCAATATGTGGTTTGGGGGGCAGGGCAAGATCCGGAGACCGGGTCGAACCTGGCGAGGGGGGAACCATAGGTTTTCGACCAATCTCTGGTAATGCAAGACATATGCTGTGTTGAATGGAATAACGGCTGTTGTTGGGCTACCTTACAGCCCCTGCGGCATCCCTCCCGTCTAGATCCACTTGGCCGCTCTCACCTGGGCACCAAACCTGAAATTCACGGCTCTCAGCAGAGATAGTGACTTGTTCCATTGACTCTTATATTCATGGTCGGAAGGGCCAACCTGCTCCCATTATGTCCTCCAAAGCGCCGTGTCCCTATAATCGTATAGAGAGCCCCAACCAGTGTGCTGAGAAGTCTTCCCGGGCCCAAGTCCGAACGCCACGCCAAGAACCATAATCCGCTAACCAGTATGCATCGTACACAATCCAAATCCTCCAACAGGCCTAGGCTTTGTGGAGTCATGTTTCCTCGGTCAATGTATTATCCATCCAAGCGGAGTAGTCTTCCTCATCATCGTTGGGCAGAGGTCCAACCGGATCATCTGATGGAACCGCTGCGGTTGCCATCGTCAGTGACGATGGCTCGGATCCCGGCTCCCCTACAGCTGTTGGTAGAGCAATATCATCAGAATTCTCAACGTCTTCCACCCACGGTTGCATATATGACGGGCCATGCGAGGCGCTTAGCGGAGTTGTCGGTTCGGAATCGGCAGGTGCGGCGACCACGAGCATGCCATCCCCATCATCCGCCTGCTCGCCATGATAGTGGCGTCTCTTGGGGAGAGGGGGTGGCAATGGGTGTTGCTCGCTGTTCTGACTTGCGGATTCGTTGTGCTCTTCCATCGGCGGTGGAGGTACTGGTTTTCGCCTTGGTACCTGAATCGGTGCGGTCGCGGTCTTCTTGTCCGGCATCGGGAGAGGTACGCCGGGTGGTGGCAGCGGCTGCCCGCGCCCCATTGGCTGGTTGAGGTCAAGTGACGACGTACTATGTGTAGGCTTGCTGTAATTTGCGGCTGCTCCATCGTTAAGCCGCCGCTGGAAGGCATTCAGTCCCCACCGCTTTGCAGATGCAGCCGCGTTGGTCACGGCAGCTAGAGCAGTCCTCTTCTGCGACTCGTTATTATTGGTGCCAGGTTCTGACGCAGACGATATTGAGGACGCTGTCCCACGGCGGCCAAAGAAGCCCCTTGTGACAGAACTCGGCTGGCTGTGGGCCAAGTCTCCTGCAGACAGTGACGAGCCACTGTCACTGTGGTGACTTCCTGTAGATGAGGCAGTGTTCCGTCGGGCTTGCGGTGTCTTGTCTCTGTTTTTATCCGGATCCGTGGCCTCCTGGGATGATGCTGAGGAGTGGCTGTCTGTTTTGGAGGACTTGGACGTCACATAGGGCTTAAAGGCGTTCAAGTTGGCACTTTGAGCTGGGGACGGGGGGTGAGACTTCGCCGATAGAGTCGCCATTGCTGATGCCGCGGGGCTCCCAGTGGGTGGAGAGGATGGCTTAAAGTGGTCCGCATGCGTAGCGATGGTACCGACTGTAGGGGACGAGGGTTGGGCAATCGAATGCGAGAATATCGGAGGAGGCGAAACTGGCTCGCTCTTGGATTCGCCTTTAGGTTCACTCTTCACCTCTTTCTGCGGCTCGCTCTTGACCTCGATACTTGTTGAGGACGCCGAAGGGGACGCCGAGAGAGAAGATGCCAAGTCAGTCTTGCTCTTGCTCGACATCCTCCCAAAGAGGGTAATCGAAGGTTTCTTCTCGAGAACGGGCACGCTTTGGCTCTTTTCCATGGCCGGTAGCTCGGGTTCTTGGATTCCATGACTCTCTTCAAGGCGTTCCACCTCGGCCAGGTCCCCCATTTGCGCGGCAGAGGACTCGAGGTCGGTATATGGCTGCACTGTATCATCGTGGAAGATCCCGCCCCTCCACTTTTTGTGCTCGGTGCTGAAGAAAGGTGTGTCGTCCCAGAACGGTAGAACGAGCGTTTCTGCAACCACCTCTTTGATCCGACTTTCTATCTGGCGGAGTATGACGGTATAGGTGATCTGCCGGGAGCTGACAATGGGCTCAATTGTCATCTCCATCTTTGGCGCCTGCTGGAAGGAGAACCAGATGCGGTTGCTGGGTGGAGGTTTGATTTTGAATAGAGCGTGCCCTTCCAACTTCCGCAATACGACAGCCAGAACTATGTTTACCTCGCGGGCTTTGAAACGAGACCCCAAGTCTATGCGAACGGTTGCTGCCACCTCAAGCCTGAAATTGCCGGTGTAACGGATGTCAGCCTCGAGCCCGCACTCTCCCTCGACCGTCAGGTCCTTGAGGCGAGGGTTTGTGATGTATGGTGCTGAATCGCCCGTGTCGATGGCTTTGATGGCTATGTTGGACAGGAAGGATGGACGCTTTACTCGTGAAATCTTCTTTGTGAGCTTTGCCCGGATGAAGTTCTCAATGTCCTTGGTTTTGTAGACACCCAGGAACAGTCTTCCAATCACGGCATTTAACCACCTGGTCTGCATATGCTCCTCGGATGAATGGAGTTTCTGAACTAGCGAAATAATGTTCTTGACGTCAAATTGGATGGGCGTCGGCGCCCTGTTCTCTGCGGCAAACGTCTGCTCTTGATTCCGCAGCAGGGCAAAGTAGAAGTCTTCCTTGGCAGAGCAGTTTTCGGAGAACAGGTAGAATGGCTTGGAGACTTGACTGTCTGGACCTAACTCCGGTCCGTCAGTCCGCCGTGAGAGGCAGATGGCATTGCGTTTGATCCATAGCTCTCCCTCTGGCGTGACAGGCTCCCCCGAGTATATGCTGATATCGTGATGCGCGAGAGATACGACGTGGCGCACTTCCAGCTGCTCGTCATCGTCAAAAAGCATCAAATGTCCGTGTCTACAGGGACTGTCAGTAAGACCAAGCTGCCAAGGGCCTGCAGCGCATTGCATTGCATACCTAAGCACCACGTAGAAGACGTTTCCAGCCTTCTTCGGGCGTTGACTGACGCCATTCTTGTTGTCTAACGGACCGGGACCGGCTCTCCGATCAAAGATGCTGCGGTACATGGTCTGATAGACACTTGGGCTAGGCGCGGCTACCGTGGCGGACCCGACGGGAGTTGACCGTTCAATGGGCTTAGCGTTGATTCCCATGGGCGTGTACTCGCGACAGACGGCAAAATAGCCGGCCGCAACGTCGGAGTCATGGTGAAGTGCCCTTGCTCTGGCGCCATCCTTCTGTGCCGCCTTGAGAGGATCAAGGTCGTCGCCTGGCTGGATCAGGTCGTGATCGTTTGCCGAGGCTTGCGCTGCGCTGCCATCCTCACGGTAGGGGAGGGTGTAGTAGGCATGGGCGAAGACGACTGCAACAAGCAGCGGGATGAATGTAATGCCTCCGAGGAGGTAGGTCAGCAGGAAGGCAGTCCAAGTCCAACCCATGGCGATGATGCTAACGATTCGGAATCGCGGACACTAAGTAGCAGAGGTGGCTCTGCTACCTGCCCAGCCGAGCACGAGTTCGAGAAATCATTGAGCCACGCAGCAGCAATAGAGCTTCCAATACTTCGTACTAGCTGTGCACCGGGCAAAAGAAGGAAAGACCATTAATAAACACGAGGTTCGGAACGAACCATCTCAGCTACCTACCAACCGAGTCGCACCATTGATGACAGACAACCTAAACCGGACGGCGCGGGCAGCTTATTACATCAGCCACTTCCGAGCTCAACAAGGTTCAGGTTGAGTTGTTTCCCCGCACTGTGCGAAACGCCACTGACACAGCACTGCAGTGCATTGAACTGCCCGGTTGAAAACTTGAATGAGCTCAACTGAAGCTCCAATGCTGTATTTTTGCAGGCACGGTGCAGTTATTTTAACGTTGAGGCTACTGGCGCGGGACGCCCGGGAACAAATGCCTGCAGGGCTGCCAGCTTACTGGAGCTGTACCTACCTAGGTACCTAGGTATCGTACATACATGCACTTTGATACTGCATTCCTGTTGCAATTCTCGGTGGCATACTAGATGAACGCAAGGTGTTGAGTCCACTAGGCACTCCAGATGTTTCACCCTGAATGTGGCTGCCGAGAACTCAGTGATTGGGTTGGGCAGGAGTCCTCCGTAGCAGCTGGCGCAATCCATGGTGCAACAACTTTCCCATCGATGACATGTTCGCAGTCCAATGAGCTTCATCGAAGTTGCTTTTGTCTGTGGCTTCTACACTATAGCCACGGATCCCACCCACTATGTCGAAGCAAGCCCGTGGTCCTCGTCCGAGGCACAAGAACGATACCTGCTCCAGATACCTAGCATCAACACACCTCCCAAGAGAGGCGTCGGGCTCACGGACCCTGGTTGGGCATCCGGATGCACCATGCCGGATGGACGAGGTATTGTGAGCCGCTGTATGGTCATGCCATTGGTATTCGTTCCTATGAGCACTCCCGCATCCCAGACCAATAATTCATGCAGGAAATACCTTGCCGTGCCGAACGCGATGAACCCCATGCACAGAGAAAGAAGCAAGCCATATCTAACCCCGAAAACCCCAGCCCCATGCCTAGAATATCCTCAAATCGTAGTCTCGTAGGCAACGGGCGCCACCGTCTCGGGCTTGTTGTCGACAACCGAAATTGTCCGCGCCTCGCGGGGCATGGCGGGTTGTCTCTTTAGCTGCACGGGCGTGCCCTCGGCCTTGGCCTTCTTCTTGAGCTCAGCGTTCTCCTTGACCCGGCGCAGGAACCCCTCCCGTGACCGCGACGGCTGGATGTGCTCGATCCGGACGTTGATGCGCTTCTCGATGTAGCGGTGCTTGACCTTCTTGTAGATGATGATGCCGACTGCCGACTTGGTGACGTTGTAGATGACGCCCGTCTTGCCGTGGTAGACCTTGTGGGCCATACTGTTGGTGTATGGAGTCAGCGTCGAGCTCGATACTGCGACCATGCAAAGCCGCCGCCGCTGCAACAACCCATCTATTCTCCGGTCCATCCCCCTCAATTGCGCAGAGAACCATGCTTTTGCTTACCCCTTCTGGACAGCACCGTTGACCTTGATGTCGACGATATCGCCAACCCTGCCGCCAATTAGCGACCGAACACTGCATCCACCCAAATGCGCCAACATACTTGTATTGCCTGAGGTAGGTTGAGAGCCTAATCATACCCTTCTCCCGGAAATTCCGAGAGAAGGCATATCTCGTACCAGCCCGGAGACCTGCAGCGTGACCCATCTTGCCAGTTTTCGGGGTTGTCGGCGGGGATCGAGATGTCGAAGTCGGTGATGCTGTGGGCTGCGAAAGTTAGGGATTTTTTTGTGTGAATGCAATTCCAAGTCGGGATTTCGCGTTGGGTGACTAAGCAGGGCGCTGCGCATGGGCCCACCAGCTCTCCGTTAGGGCAAGCGAGGGGCGGCCATGCACGGACCACCACAAATCCCACTTCGTACCTCTATTTTGTCGACCAAAGAAGTCGCAACTTTTACTCTGAATTTCTGATCGACGACCAACCTCTAGATAGCCTCAACGACAAGATGGCGCCGCGTTCCTACTCCAAGACCGCTAAAGTCCCGCGTCGTCCCTTCGAGGCCGCTCGATTGTGCGTTTGATTCAAGTTTCTATACCTCCTCAATTGCAGCCTCTGCGCAGCAGCCTGTTGCCGATGCAGTTGCTCGCATGCTTGCAATCGTCACCGGCCACTGAGCAGGAGCTTGTCTCTGCTTACGTCGATAGTGATCATGGACTGACTTTCGGAACCCCAGGGACTCCGAGTTGAAGCTCGTTGGCGAGTATGGTCTTCGGAACAAGCGTGAGGTTTGGCGTGTGCTCCTCACCCTGTCCAAGATCCGTCGTGCTGCTCGGTAAGTGAGAACCTCCAGTGAGACGGAGTTAAAGCTCAATAACAGGAAAATCACGTTCCGGATGCTGATTTACTTTTACAAGTGAACTTCTCACGCTCGACGAGAAGGACCCCAAGCGTCTCTTCGAAGGCAATGCCCTCATTCGCCGTCTCGTTCGCGTCGGTGTGCTGGACGAGTCCCGCATGAAGCTCGATTACGTCTTGGCCCTGAAGGCTGAAGACTTCTTGGAGCGCCGCCTCCAGACTCTCGTCTACAAGCTCGGCCTCGCCAAGTCGATTCACCACGCCCGTGTCCTGATCCGCCAGCGCCACATTCGCGTCGGCAAGCAGATCGTTAACGTTCCCTCCTTCATCGTCCGTCTTGACTCGCAGAAGCACATCGACTTTGCGCTCTCGTCACCGTTCGGTGGTGGCCGCCCCGGCCGTGTCCGGAGAAAGAAGGCTAAGGCCGCTGAGAAGGGCGAGGATGGCGGTGATGAGGAGGATGAGGAGTAAATTCGGGCGATTTCTATTCTGGGAATGGTTGGGACTGCATGGGATGGGCTGCGAAAACTGGTCTGGGCTGGGACTTGTGACCTCTGCGTTATGCTCTTATGGCGTTTATAAGCAGGGAGTGGAATGCATCGAGATTTGCACGTACGATACAGCCTGCAGGTTACCAATCATCGAGACGCCGAATACCCTCTTCCATGACCGGCCAGTCCCTCTCTGTGCGTCAGGCGTCTGCAATCGTCGAATTGGTGGCATATCACAGTGGTAAATCCAGAATTGGCACACCTAGAGCCGAAAATGCGAGTGGACTGGAAAACCGTGATTCAGGGGTATCATTATCATGAGCCATCTCGAGTCCCCCATTTATCCCACGAATCAGCCTCCTTGCTGGCTTGCTTCCCCATCTCTCCTGTACAGTAACTATTTTTCACGAAGGAATGGCAACATGCATAGCCCCATTTGAAGTCTGACCACCAACTTCCCCAGACCGAAGTGTGGTTGTTGATGAAGACATCTTCGGGATACTTTGACTTTGCGGCCTTCCTTGGGGCTCCTTTGATGAGGCCGGCCTCGTCGTACTCGACGAAGGTCTCGGACTCGGTGATGGCCGCCTTCAACGCTTCGGGCACGGTGGGTTGCTCGCCATACTGGCTGGCGAGTATCTCGGCTCGTTTCCTCCGTTTGGCCTCCCTTTCTTCATTCTCCTTCTTCCGCAAAATCTCTCCCATAGTCGGGTTGGCCTGGAGATGCATAGTCGTATCGCCTGTCTTCTCTTGCTTCTCCCAGGCGTACCGCTGCGCTTTCTCAAACTCGGCCGCTTCGCCCGACGCTCGGAGGAAGCTCTCTTCGGCGAACAGCTGGGCAGACTTGTCGCCTATGGCACCACCATCGACAAGGGCGCGCTTCTTGGGGTTGTACTTGGCCGAGTCGGAGTCGAGGTTAAGCAGGTACTTGGCCGTGTCCTCACGTATTCTCATCGACTGTTTTACCGACCTATCCCTGCCCATCTCTGACTCCTCGGCGTACTTGAATCCTCCCTCGTAGACATCTTCCTCCTCCTTCTTGTCCCCCTTGTCACCCAGCAGTTTTCTGCGCGCCTCCTCGATTAGGTTATACTCCTCCACCACCTCCTGATACTGCTTCGGGTCGTATGCTGCCCAAATATCGCGTTTCGCCTCATAGCCCAAGTTCACGTCCCGCACGGTCCGATCGGCCTGAATGTCCTTGCCCGTGAACTTGGCGCCGACTTTACGCGGGCGCTCGAGACAGTCCTTCTTCTTGTGACCCATGGCGCCGCAATTCTCACAGGCGCCCTTGACCCATTTTGTTCGCGCAGGTCCAGTCTTTTTACCACCCTTGTCAAGAATGTATTTCTCCTCCTCTTGAGCTGCGCGGGCGCGTTGATGCTTGAGTGAATCGTCATGGTCGTCAAGGCCGCTGACATAGAAGGGCTGTTTACTGATGTACGAGGGAATGTAGATGTTGTCTTCTTTTCGCGCGGCGCCAGCACCCGACCCGCTATCTGTGCTGGCTGCTGCAGCGGTCGATGCTGGTTCTGGCCGTTTTGGGGGAGGCATTGCTGGCATGCTTCTTGACCGGCGAAGCCTGCGGGATGTGTTGCTGATGAAGGGGCGAAGTCTGGGCCGGAGACGGTCGAGAAGGCGCATTGGCAAAGGTTAAAGAACCCACACTCAACCCTAACCTCCACCAACAGCGTCTTGAAGTGCTTCACGTTGGGAGCAGGCAACCTCCCTATCTTCTTGACAACCTATTCTCACTGGCTTCATTTCAAATTGCAACCTGATGCCACCTTCAGATGCTTGGTAATTTTTTGGCCTTCTGCCTGGATCTTTCCGGTGAGAATTCACGTGATTTGGCGACTTAGACTCTTCGGTGCGACGCGAGTGGTCACGACACTGCAGTTCTAAGCGCGTCATGTACCGGATCGCTGGAAGCAATAAGGCAGAAAAATAAAGAACCGAAGGTCGTCCACCATATTGATCTCCCAGATAATGAATGTCTCTTGGATGCTTCAAAGATGATCATCCTCGCCAAAACTCGACACGACGCTCAAGATGGAGGTGTTCCGCGTCCGACTGAATTGCATCGACCACTACCAAGCCACGCCAACCCAATATGACCCTCCGCTGCGACGGGACTTTCGCTTTTCGCAGCTTGCAAAGCAGCCCAAGGTCCCCGTCATTCGCGTGTTTGGATCGACTGAAACGGGCCAAAAGGTGTGCGCTCACGTCCATGGCGCCTTCCCCTACCTCTATGTCGAATATCGAGGACCATTGGACAAGGCTACAGGTGGGACTTTTTTCCCTTTTCCTTCTTTATCGCCATCTTGGGGACTCAGCTTACCCGTAATGCAGTCTCCGAGTACATTCTCAGGTTGCACCTGTCCATTGATAGTGCCCTCGCTGTCAGTTACCGTAGGGACGACAAGCCACGCGAGCAGCGAAGCTTTGTTGCCCGCATCACCCTTGTCAAGGGCGTGCCGTTCTATGGCTTCTACGTTGGGTACCGGTTCTACTTGAAGATCTACATGCTAAATCCAGTCGTCATGACCCGCCTGGCCGATATCCTCCAGCAGGGCCTCATCATGGGCCGCAAATTCCAGCCCTACGAGGCCCACTTGCAGTATCTCCTGCAGTTCATGACCGACTATAACTTGTACGGCTGTGACTACATTGACGCTGCAAAAGTCAGATTTCGCGGCCCCGTCCCAGACCCTGCAGCCCCCGAGGATCCCCCGCTTCTCTGGGACAGCAACACTATCCCACCAGGCCTTATCACCGACGACCATAGCCTTCCCCGCGCCAGCCACTGCTCTATCGAGGTTGATATCTGCGTTCAGGATATCCTCAATCGCAAAGCTGTGAAGGAACGACGCCTCCACCACGATTTTATCGAACGGGAGCATCCTATCCCAACTGGTATGAAGCTCGTACACAGCATGGCTGGTCTATGGGCGGATGAGACAAGACGTAGAAAGAAGCTGATGGGCAGATTGAAACCCGGCGGCAGCCCCTTTCCTCCTGAGGCTTTGGTTTCCATGTCTGCGGATCCTCGCCATTCCCAACCGCCGGGTTGGATTCACGAAGACGAATACCGCCAACAAATTGATCAACTGATCGAAATGGAAAGCGGACAGGATCATAACCAGCTCGATTTCACCAACTACATCGAACCTCACCCATTTGAGGAAACCGTCCAGACAGCAATCCAGTCCGTTGAGGACTTGTTTCCACAGAATCTTCTGCCTGCTCTGGGTATCGAACAAAAGCTGCTTCAACGGCATCCAGAAGTGACCAGCAGCATTCAAGTTGATGAAAAGGGGATCCGTGAGCTTGAAGTCGCCCAAGATGATAACCAACCCCTTTTGGACGAGGACTCGGATGAAGACATCGCGGAGGAGGAACAGCATGCTGAAGGAGCTGCGGTGTTGGACCAGCATAAGGGTTTTGCAAGTCATGGAACTGTTTCCGCAGGACATGACGGCGTGCATGCCGCTAAAGCTCATGAATCTGCCAAGGCATCAGACGGTCAACAGCCGGGGGTTGTTGCGGATCTGAAGAGGAGCGTTAGCGGCTTGAGCGGTGGTTTCAATATTAGCGGACTGCGTTCCGGGAAGCGCCCATGTATTCCGTTATCTAGTGAGCTTGTTGCTGAGGCGGTGAAGCTGGAGTTGACCGGCAGGGACGACAACCTCGAGACATCGGACACGGCTAGACTGGGTGATCGAAAACACCGTCCCTCGGACTTAGAAGATTGCGAACCACCCAAGCGATTGAAGGTTGACGACCTGGAAGCAGCTGAGCCATCTTCTTGTGGCAATGCTATCCCTACATGTGAAGAATCTCAAGCATTGGGTGGGCCGAAGCCCGAGGGACGAGATGGCACGCCGTTCAAGCTGTCTCGGCCGTCTCAGCCGAGCAGGTCTACTCTGAAAGGAAGCTCAGGGAAACCGCTTGGGAACAAGAAGCTCAATTTCCCAGTGGTCAAAGATCCTCACGACCCAGACACAGTCCTGCGGCTCAGCCAAGGTACCTCACAGCAGAGCGACGATGCGGCAACAAAGAAACATGTATCTTTCGGGCCCCTGGTATCAGTTCAGGAAAATAGCCCCGAGGATCCTTCAATTGGGATATCGCGATCTCCCCACGAGTCACCTGTCGTACCGTCGAGGCCGCAACTCTTGTGGACTGGCTCGACCACCATGTTCTTCATCGGCAACGGACCGCCCTCCGCAACAGAGGTATGCTCGACAATGCAGTCCTATGGTTTACCTGATGTTATCTATCAGGACGCCTTTTACAGCAATGACAACGATGTACCGCCACGGCCACGGGAGTATGCAGGCAGGGAATACCGATTAGATGGCAATACCATACCATATCTGCCAGTATTCGACCCAACCGGCCAGTCTCCGGCTACGTTCGGTGTAAAACCGGAATCAGGCCCCGATCTAGCCGAGATGGAGTTGGCCTATCGGAAGCAACAGAGTCGGTGCACTTTGAGAAGCTGGGAAATAGCTGAGCCGCCTCCTACGCTTGCGGAAGTAAAGGGGTGGTGGGCTGAGAAGAAGAAGAGAAGAAACCAGCGGGGACTTAGCTGCACCCGGCCCCAGCCTTTGACTCAACTGGGAAAGCCTGAACTCTCTCAGATCGTCGGGGCAACACCAAAGAACGCTCATGGCTTCAAGTATTCACAAAGACAAAAGTCTACTAGCATCCAGCACGAGGCCCAGTATATGAGCACCATGAGTCTCGAGGTTCACGTCAATAGCAGAGGGAAACTGGTTCCAAACCCTGAAGAAGATGAGGTTCAATGCATATTTTGGTGTCTGAGATCTGACGAGCTGTATCTCTACGGCAGCCAAGTCCCAGACAGTACCATGTCTGGAATCATCGTTCTTTCCAGGGACGGCTCACTCGCTGAGAAGATCCGCAAACAGACGACTGTCGAGGTAGTGGAAGAGTCCTCCGAGCTTGACGTCATGGTCAGAATGGTGGAGATCGTGCGGGCTCATGATCCAGATATCCTCACGGGATATGAGGTCCACGGCAGCTCCTGGGGTTACCTCATTGAGCGCGCAATGCGCAAATATGAATACAACCTGTGCAACGAGTTCTCTCGCGTCAAGATGGCGTCTAGTGGCAAGTTTGGCAGGGAAGACGACCGATGGGGCTTCAATACGACGTCCATGATCCAAGTGACTGGCAGACACATGATCAATATATGGAGAGCTATGCGAGGTGAACTCAACCTGCTCCAGTACACTATGGAGAACGTCGTGTGGCATCTCCTCCACCGCCGTATACCGCATTACTCCTGGCGGACCTTGACGGACTGGTATACGAGCGGACGGCCGAGAGATCTCGGCAAAGTGCTCCGCTACTACCTCAAAAGAACGCGCATGGACATTGAAATACTGGAAGCCAACGAGCTTATCCCCCGAACAAGCGAGCAAGCGAGGCTTTTAGGCGTGGATTTCTTCTCGGTCTTTTCCAGAGGTTCTCAGTTCAAGGTCGAGTCGATCATGTTCCGGATTGCGAAACCTGAGAATTTTCTTCTAGTCTCACCCAGCAGGAAGCAGGTCGGTGCGCAGAATGCCTTGGAGTGCCTTCCTCTGGTGATGGAACCACAGAGTGCATTTTATCCTAGCCCCTTACTGGTCTTGGACTTTCAAAGTCTGTACCCCAGCGTCATGATTGCATACAACTACTGCTATTCGACATTCCTTGGACGCATTGTCAACTGGCGGGGAACGAACAAGATGGGCTTCACCGAATACAAGAGAAGAGAGGGTTTACTACGGCTCCTAAAGGACCATATCAACATCGCCCCGAACGGAATGATGTATGCAAAGGCTGAGATCCGAAAGTCGCTCCTTGCGAAGATGCTGACCGAAATTCTCGAAACGCGAGTCATGGTCAAGAGCGGCATGAAGCAGGACAAAGACGATCGAACCCTGCAAAAGGTTCTCAACAATCGGCAGCTCGCGCTGAAGCTGCTGGCCAATGTCACCTACGGGTACACGTCGGCCTCCTTCTCTGGCAGAATGCCCTGCTCCGAGATCGCCGACAGCATCGTGCAGACCGGCCGCGAGACACTCGAACGAGCCATTGCCTACATACACTCCGTCGAGCGGTGGGGTGCTGAGGTTGTTTATGGCGACACCGACAGTCTGTTTGTTTACCTCAAGGGGCGGACACGCGAGCAGGCCTTTGAAATCGGTGCCGAGATTGCCAAGGAGATTACCGACATGAATCCACGTCCAGTGAAGCTCAAGTTCGAGAAGGTGTACCACCCATGCGTTCTCCTTGCCAAGAAGCGCTACGTCGGTTACAAGTACGAAAGCCGAGACCAGACGGTGCCCGAGTTCGACGCCAAGGGCATTGAAACAGTCCGGCGTGACGGCACGCCGGCAGAACAGAAGATTGAGGAGAAGGCGCTCAAGATCCTGTTCGAGACGGCTGACCTCAGCCAAGTTAAACAGTACTTTCAGTCCCAGTGTTCAAAAATCATGCGCGGTTTGGTCTCGGTGCAGGACTTTTGCTTCGCAAGGGAGGTCAAACTCGGCACGTACAGCAACAAAGGCCCAGGACCGGCCGGGGCCCTCATCAGCACGAAGCGCATGCTTGAAGACGCCCGGGCCGAGCCGCAGTACGGTGAGCGTGTGCCATACGTGGTCATCTCGGGCGCGCCAGGGGCGCGGCTAATCGACCGGTGCGTCGCCCCAGACGACCTGCTCAATAGTCCGCACGCGTCCCTCGACGCTGAGTACTACATTTCCAAGAACATCATCCCCCCGCTTGAGCGCATCTTCAACCTCGTGGGCGCCAACGTCCGCGCATGGTACGACGAGCTGCCCAAGGTCCAACACATCCGCCGCCTGGACACCACCACCGGCGGTTTGTCCGCAGCAGCGCTTGGCAACAACGCTGCCGCCGAGAACATCAACAACGGAAACGGAAACGGCAACAGCAAGAAAACGCTCGAGTGGTTCATGAACTCCACGTCATGCATAGCCTGCGGCGTCAAGATGGCCAAGTCGGACGACAACAACAACAATGGGGAGAGGCTCCCCATCTGCGGACGCTGCGCCGCCGACGCGCCCGCGACCATGGTGTTGCTCCAAGCGAGGCTCAACGCCGAGCGGCGTAGGTATGCTGATGTCATGAAGGTGTGCCAGACTTGTGCCGGGCTGGCGCCGCTTGAGGAAGTGCCCTGCGACAGCAAGGACTGTCCTGTGTTTTACACGCGTGTGAAGCAGGGGACTTTGGTCAGGACTGAGAGGGCGGTCGTTGAGCCGATTGTTAGGAAATTAGCGGGGAGGGTTGACAATGGGAAAGGGGATGGAAGGGGGAGTGGGAGAGGTGCCCCTGGGCGGTTGGATTGGTGATTGTTACTCCTGGTCATGTTAGGTTGTGATGATGATGGTCATGGATTATGGATTATGATGACGGCTGGTGGTGGTGATCGTGATAGGGATGGGGTTTCGGGTGTGCATTCAGGATGGTATGGTGTGTTCAAGCATTGGAATGAGGCATATGAGATAAGTGCATGAATGATGGGTTGTATAGCACTTCATGGCCGGTGTTTGTGGGGCGGACGGATATAACTGTTACACTTTGTTCATCCTGATCCTGTCACAGATGGTTGTGAGGGCTTGTACGGATACGACGATCGGTGTTGTGTATGGAGAAGGATACTTGCTCAATCGAGGGTGTCTACGAGGTCGGGTCACTGCGTCCACCTGAGTCGTTGACTTAACCTTGAGTGCCACGTTCCTATTTCTCATTGCTCCTGGATTGACTCGGCCGTAAGGGAACTGGGAAACAAGTCCTCGTCACAACATCTCCCGCCTTACACTTCAAGTTCATCGTTGCAAGGCTAGAATAACCCTTTCCCTAAAGTCCCAAAATGCTAGCGGCGCTGTCTGTTGTGCCTGTCTGGCCTCTGGCTGTGGACGCGTCATGGTTTCGAACGCTACACGAAGTACACTGCTTCGTACGCGGTGGCACCATCGTGTTTCGTAACGCGAGGACCGAAATTGAGGATAAGCCCGTCGGGCACCGGGATACCCAGTGCGCCAACCTCAATCATGATTCAGGTCAGGCCGCATTGGATCGCTAGAAAAGCCTCTGAGACCCGATAGGTTTAAGCTAGAACACCGCGGTGAGACTGCTGATACCGATTGGTCAGTCCCCCTACAGCATCGTTCTGTCCGCTTATTAAGTACGTATTTGTAGACTTGGACTCCAAAAGACCCTTGACGTTGGCAGTCTCCGTTCCCGAGGTTGATGTAAAATTTGTTGTTCGGCTGCCCTGCAGAGGTGGAGCTCCGGAATTACCGCCGTTTCATGTTCGATTCTTGGTCTATTTTGAAGGAGCTCCACCGTACCTATGCTGTAAGTCAAGTCAGGGATAACGCTGTCTTGTCGATGGGGTACATAATAGTGGGCATGAGGATTCACATACCGTCTCCAACCCTTTGTTCAAAGGTTCTAGGTCTTCCCAGAGTCCTCCTTCAAAGGGACAATACGATTGAGGATGGTCCGGTCGTCCGTGCTGTCGGAATCTAGGGCCTGCCAGTGACATGAGCATCAGCATACCGAACCGCTGGGGGCAGGAGAGGTAACACTCATACGAAGTAACCAACGCGCATTGCCTGGAACCGCACACTCTCCGGTCCGACCTCGCCCGACTTCTCGCCCGACTTCTCGCCCTCCGCCGCGGGCCATGGTGCCCGGCGGCGAACCTCATAGAAGCCGGCATCGATGACTGCATTCGGGAAGATGGTCTCACTGTCTGGCCGTATATCGTTCATGAACCCGCCTGGCGCCGACGCAGGCTGGTCTGAGTTGAACAGGGCCGTATAGATGCGCACTTCGGCGCTGGGCGAGCCGTCGGACACCCACTGGATGTACGTTTTGGGCTTCGCTCCAGACCTGTCGAATACCGCCCTGACCTCCTTGACAAGGCCGGAGACGTCATCCTTTGTAAACGAAACGGCTTTGACGGGAAAGGGCATGTGCAGAAACCCTACGGTCTTGCCCGGGGCGAGACGGAAGTAGTCTTTGCTGTCAATTTCGCGGAAATCGGTGCGTTCAATGTACACCTTCTTGTCAACCTGATCTTGCGGGAACCCATGCTGAAGTCTTTGGGGGAAAGGGGGACGTCGAGGTCCTGCTCTTCCGCATCTTCTATGATTACCGGGAGGGGATCGAGAACGAGCATGAGGCGAGGAACGGTCCTTTCAAGGTAGCACCGAACCGACTGTTCGAAACGCTTGATTTCGATGGAAGTATTGGCTGTGGTAACACCGAGTTCGTTGATGAAGGATAGCAGTGCGCCCGGTGGTATGCCGCGTCGCCGGATCGCCTTGAGGGTGTAGAGCCGGGGGTCATCCCAGCCGCGGACGACGTTGTTTTCGATCAAGCTTCTTATGTCTCTCTTGCTCATGGCCGTCCCCTTGAGGTTCAAGCGGCCGTACTCGCGCTGCATAGGCTGGTATTCCACCAGGAGTCTGGCCATGTTAGCAGATGTCAGCCCATATCTTCACCATCCAACCTCCCAGCTAATCGGAAAACATACTGATTGAGCCATTCATAGCTCTCTCTCGACATAAAGAACTCGGTGGTGCACAAGCTGTGCGTGATGCCTTCAAAGCTGTCGCACAAGCAGTGAGCGAAGTCGTAGGTCGGGTATATACGCCACTTGGTGCCTGTCCGAAAGTGCGGCTGCTGGTTCTTGGGGATCCGGTAAGCTGCAATATCCCACATTTGAGGATTGGGGTTCTCAATGTCCTGCTTCATGCGGAGCCAAGCCGTCTGCGGCGCGTACTCGCCGTCTCGCATGCCGCGGAATTTGCTGAGGTTGGTCTCGACGTCCTGTTCTGCATGTCCGCACCGATATCGCGACGTTGAGCCGTCCTCGCCGCCGCGTTGCAGTTTGGTCTTGCTTTCATTGCAGTGGCACACGTACGCCTTCCCCTTCTTTATCAGTTCTTCGGCAACGTCATACAGACGCTGGAAATAGTCCGAGGCATAGGTGATCTTGTACGGGGTGAACCCTAGCCACCGGATTGTCTCTTCGATGGCCACAAAGTACTCCTCCTTCTCGGCGTCAGGGTTGGTATCGTCAAACCTAGGGCGGTAAGCGTCAACAGACGCCATGCAGTCTACCATGTTTTTGGGAAACCGATCACTTCCATACCTGAGAATCTACGAGGGGAGTTAGCAATGTCTATCTCAAAACACGCCAGAGATAGACTCACGGTCTTGCCGCCATGATATCTTGCAAACCCGAAGTTGATAGCAATGGCCTTTGAGTGTCCAAGCTAGACAAGAGTGTTATTACCATGCAACTACAAATACAAGGAGTCAGGGCAGTTAGTTACATGGAGATACCCATTCGGCTCCGGTGGGAAACGGGTGATAACTTCTTTGGGGAGTCGCAGCTTGAAGACCTCGGCAAGAAAACCACGCTTGAACATGGCATCCTGGTCGAGATTCTCTTTGGCCTCAACGGTCCTGCCCGTCGATTCTGGTGCTGGCGTCGGCTGGGCATTCCTCGATGCTGCAGTAGCGGCTTTCTTGGCCCGCTTCTGCATCCGCTTTTTGAGTTCATTCTTCGAGACCATTTCGCCAGTCTCTTCGTCAAGCTGCAGCTTGGTGGTTTGTTCGGTATTTGTATCCGCCATGATGATCGGTCTGCGAGATGCTTGCTGCTGAATACGTATGGTGGTTCCAACCTAACAGATCAGTGGCTTCAAGTGGCATGAAACAGAGATTGGAATTCGAGGCATTGAGTCACAAAGGCAATTATAATCTGCCCCGCCAGTGCAAACAACTTGCACCGGCGCACAGCATTCAGTCCGATTAACAACATGATTACGAGCGACCAGCGTGGTTTGGCCATCTCACTGTGGCATGTGCTTTCAAAGTGTGGACTTAATTAGTGTAGTAGAGGATTCCTTCTCGAATCGTCCTTGCAGGGTTCGTGGCAATTGAAGCGTGGGTCGGCTGGCATTGTCCAAATTGGCCGAGCTTATTAGGTTCCAGGTTGTTTACATTGACGACATGGAATGTTGGGTGAAGCACACGACAATAACAAAGCTAGCTACTTAACGTTACCTTAATAACACTGTCAGCCAATGTTGGTTCAACAGCAAGATCTTCACGACATAATTGGAATTGTTTCACTGTGTCGTTCCTCGTACAAAAGCACAGTCACAAGCACAGCAATTGAATCATGATACATGATACCCGTAGACGCTATTAAGTGAAGTTGCTGCCCTCTCTCTATTTTTGACTTCGGACGAACCAGGTTCACGAGAGACCCTGGCCTGGCCGTTCATCTGGAAGCATCCTGGAAGCAGCGGGGAATGACACCAGCTGGGAGGCTTGGCGCGCATGGTGGAGCGTCATTCCTGCCTTAGGCGGAAAAAATTCGCAAATTGACGGGTCCCCAAACACCCAAATACCCCTTGCGCCCCCCTTCGTTCCGAATTGTTCGCCCCTCTCAAGCGCCTCGAGACGTCCAGCAGACTCCTGCCTTCCGCGCTGCTGGATTCGACCCTTCCTCTGTCCTTGCCCTGTCGTCGCTCCAAGATTTTTCATCTCGTTTCTTTGACTTCAAACTAATTATTTTTCGGATCGCAGCAGCCCGTCCTCACCAGGTGCAGGCGCGGTGCTTGTTGCTTTCCTTTTGGTACGGTATTTTTGCTAGGAGTTGTGGCTCGTCCTGTGATTTGCTGGCCTCGGCGCGTCACACCTCAGCAATTAAAGTTCGCTGCACGGGGTACGAACACCGCAGTGCAGCGTCCAAAGTCAACAACAACATCGCTGCGGGTTCGCGTAAATCTTCCCGCCCGAGGCACAATACGCAACATCCACGGCTACACACCGGCGCGTTGTCTTCGCTCTTTCCCTCGCTGCGCCCGTCCTTCGTTTTATTTGCACCACATAATCTGTACTAATCTTCTTTATTCGTTGCCGACGATTTTGTCTTGCGGTTGTTATCTCGGTCACGGTTCTTAACACTCTGCGTACCCTCCTTGTTCACTATCCTTTCTTTTTCCTTTTCCCTTATTACACTACTCTGCCTGTCATTCTCTGGGCAGCCCGGCCTGTCTCCACCCCCGCCGATCGTCGATTGATGTTGAACTCTGCGAGCTGGAGGAAGTTGGATAGCGCACCTCAGCTTTCCTGCCATTTGCACCTTGGTACTAGGCAGAGTTTCTGAGATATCTCGGAAACCTGCCTTCCCAACAACTAAGCCAGCCGATTATGGGGACGTCAGTGGGTTCCGACGAGCCCGTTGTGGCTTCAGTCGCCAGCGATGCCTTCGACCCCTTTGTCACGAGCCCTTCAGGTCCCACGCGCCTACGGCACTCCACTTTTGACAGCCAACTCTTTTCCTTGGCACCTGGATCCTCTGCCGAGCAAGTAAAGCGCGCTATTGAGGCTCATTTACGAGACACCGAGCGGCGGATGGAAGAGGCTGGAAAATTAGGCACCGCCCTAGTTCAGCAACAAAAGCAGCTCACCGAGAAGCTCAGGGAGGTGGAGCAGCTACAGTCCGAGGCGGAGCTGAACCCGGAATTGCGACAGCGACTCATCGACATTGAGAAGGATTACAATGAGGTGGCTAGGGAGAGCGCCCGGGCCCTGTTGCCCAAGCAAAGAGTACCTAGCAACGAGGCCCAGGGTTCTCCGTACGCGGTAGAAGGCAAGGCTGCCAGGGTATGTGTCTCTCTAATCGTTTGCTGCCAGTTCTCAGACCGAGACTTACCTCTCCTTTACAGCGCTCCGTAAGCCCGTCCAAGTTCGAGAGCCTCGCCACGCCATCCCCGACCAAGTTCAGCATACCGAACCGCAAGGTCCGCAATCAGCCTGCTAGCCGAGTTCACGACATCGAGTTTGCTGCCGAGATCAGCACTTCCCTGATTGCCCAGGTCCGGAATTTGCAAGCCGTGCTTTCTGAGAGGGAAGAGGAGCTCAAGGACGTCAAGGCTGAGAGGGCAAGGCTCGAGATCGAGGCTGAGGGATTCCAGCAACGCCTAAAGAGCTTGGACGAGAGCGAAAACCGGTACAAGGACGAGAACTGGAATCTTGAGACCCAGATTCACGAGCTAATCGCTGCGCAAAAAGAGGGAGCCGAGCGCGAGAAGAAGCTCGCGCAGACTCTGAACGTCATCCAGTCCGAGAAGAGCGCCGTTCAGAGAGAGTTGGAGGAGACCAAGCACATCCTCGCCAAGCAAGACGAGAAGCACACGGCCGAGATCAAGAACCTTGAGATTGAGCTTGGCACCATCCGACGCAATGCTGTGGTTTTCGAGACTGAGCGCTCTGTCCTGCAGAGGAAAGTGGATGAACTCACGGGCCAGAACCAGGAGCTGGCCAAGGCATTCTCCTCTCTTCAGCGTGGACGCTTGTTGGAACGTGAATCCGGCCTCGGTGTGAGCGAAGAGGATTTCCACTCGGCCCCTGACCACAACACCCCGGAGCACTCGCCACCTCCGTCGCCGATGAAAGCAACCCCTCGACACTCTGCTCTTGAGTCGGAAACCCTGAAAACGTCACTGGGCCATGCGCAGCGGACCATCCAGACCCTTCGGACCAACATTCATCGGGAAAAGACCGAGAAGCTGGAATTGAAGCGCATGCTTCAAGACGCGCGGGATGAGATTGAGAAGCTCCGGAACGACCCGCATCCTCACCCTCCGAAGAAGAGTCGAAAGATCGAGGCAAGGGAAACCAAGAAGCCGCTCTTCAAGTTGACTCAGTTGGGCAGCGTACGACCGAGTAGGACCGAAGTCGTCGAAGATCCCGAATGGGAAGACCAGTCCGAGGTCCCCTCTCCCCGCCCATTGTCGCGCCGTAGCTCGACACTACGTCTCCCCGCAAACAATGCCGTGACCCTGGAGTCGAATAGCGACCACTTCGAGACGGCAAATGAGACCAGTGACGCGGCTTTCGAGACTGCACATGAGCGGGGGACTGAAACTGAAGACTTCCAGACTGGCGTCGAAGACCTCTCTGACGACGACGCCGCGACAGAAACAGAGGCCGGCCCATCGAGAGGAGCCAGCTCAATTAAGCGTCCTCCACCGCTGCCGCCGCATCAATCTAGCAACCATTACTCTTTTGACAGCACTGCTTCAACATCGAGTGACGAGGATGATTATCCGTTTGCCTCAGAAATGAAAACGCCATCTGCTTCGAGGATGCGAATGCGCGTCAGCCGCGGTTCGCTCGGCTCTCGCCGTTCTCGACAGTTCAGCGAAGGACCTAGCTTCCAGAGCAGTCCTGCAAGCGTGCATGCCAACAGCGCATCCGCTACGCCGGGCGGACAGAGCCTGTTTGCCGAGCTGAACGAGTTGGATAACAGCGATGAAGAGTCCCTCCCGGGCGCTGCTACTCCTGGCCGGAGAAGTATCCGGTCCACGCCCGCCACGCCGCGCAGCACCGTTCGAGGCCGATCCCCGCCGCCCGAGGTTCCGGCGCTGCCGAAGGTCATGGTTGACAGCGGCATGATGACCGAGCCAGTGTTTGTGGGACCAGTATCCGCAGATGCCGAGACTCAGGGAGAGCGCGAGATAGTGGCTTTATCACCCCGGAGCGACACCTTCCCAGAGCGACCAATTTCGATGCAATCTGTGATTGGCCCTCGCACTTCGCATGCCTCGACGCAATGGCTGGGAGACGAGCTGAAAGACGAGTCGTCGCGGCCCATATCTGCCTTCTCCTACAGCGACGCCAGCGTTCAGAACGACTGGGATTTGGACGCCAAATTGGCGCAGTTCCCGTCGCCTCCTGGCTCACAATCCGTGCCTCCAACCCTTAGCATGACTTCCATCCACGCGGAGTTCATCGAGCCCTTGTCTGAGCCCGAAATTCCATCGAGCCCGCCGTCGCTCAGCGTTTCTTCAATCCTTCATGAACAGACTGAGCCAGCACCGCAAGAGGTGCCCCCGCTTGAACTTCCAAACCTGTCCGTGTCGCCTCTAATCTCCGAGCATGTGGAACCCCGGGAACCGGAGGCCCCGTTGCTTAGTATCCCTGCAACTGTTGCTTCTCAAGATGTCGAACCCATCCCTCCCGCGCCAATCCCGCTGTCATTGTCGACTGTCCATGTGGAACAGGTCGAACCGGTTGCCGAGGTTGAGACACCCCCACCGCCACCAGCTGCCCTCTCATTCTCGACGGTGCTTGAGGAGCAGGTCGAGCCAGTTGCCGAGCCTGAGATACCTATGGCCCTCTCATTCTCAGCCGTTGTTGAAGAGCAGGTCGAGCCGGTTGCCGAGCCTGAGATATCGCCACCGTCGCCCGTTGCCCTTTCATTCTCGGCTATCGTTGAGAAGCAAGTCGAGCCGGTTGTCGAGCCTGAGCCTATTACTACTCTGTCGCCTACTAATCTCACGTTCTCGGGCATTCTTGGTGAACAAGTCGAGCCAGTCGAGCTGCCCGCGCCTGCGGTCGACGAGACCCCAGCGCTCAGCATCGGCATTCCTCTGCCTGCTTCTCTAACCCTCTCGTCAATTATCTCCGAGCACGTTGAGCCGCAGAGCCAGGATCCACCTCCTGTCCCGCTCTCTCTCTCACCCATCAACGTCGAGGAAGTGGCGCCCGCACAAGAACCGGCATCACCTGCTCCTGTGTTGGCATTTGTGCCTCTTCAGACACAGCATGTCGAGCCTCTCGAATCCTGCGCACCGCCTCTAAGCCTGTCATCTGTTGAAACTTGGGCCGTTGAGCCTCTCGACGCTCTGGAAGCCCCTCCTATGCTCTCGCTCTCGGCTATTGAGGCTCAGGTTCTTGAGCCCATAGAGCTAGATGAACCCTTGGTCGCTCCAGCGCTGAGCGTATCCGCGATATCGTCACTGCATACTGAGCCTTCGGAACCTCGGAGTCCAAAGAGGAACGCATTCATCATCCCGCGCGACGTGGAAGATGATGACTCGCCTGCGCAAGCATCATCTCGGGGTGTCTCGAATGTTCCCGTAACCGCAGACCAAGGAGCTCAAACTTCCTTGACAGCAGACGCAATCAGCCAACTCTTCAGGGAAAAGGCACGGAGTTCGGAAATAGGTGAACTCGACGGATCAAACTCTCTTCGCAGCATGGGTACTCCATCCACGGTGAGGATCCATCGACCTCGCCAGGAAAGCTTTGACGGGACGGGGCGGTCAAAGGGCAAAGCGGTCGACGTCGGCACCGATGCGTACGAGGCGCCACCTCTCCGCAGAATTGGAAGCTCTGCTAGCGCTCTTGGCGGCTCTCTTGACGACGTTCCGCCACTACCGCCAAATCACAAGGAAGTTATTGAGGCAGCTAGGAGTGGTTCTTCGCAAGGGGGCCAGGGAACTATCGGCAGCATGGGCCCGCCCTTGTTCCCTGCTTCGGCGCTGAAAGCTCAAAATCAGCCTTTCCGGCCACGAACTCCGACAGGCGCGAGGCGGCCCCTCTCTCCCATTTCTGTTGCGTCCGGCCGCGGGACGCCGACACCCCGTGCTGCTACCAAGTCCGGCTTTACTCCCGCGGGTTCCGAGGTGCAGTCACTCTCGAAGATGACGAGTCGCAGCCGCAAATCCTCCATCTCGTCGTTCACGTCCGAGGTGGATACGAGGTTCAACATGCATTCCGACGGCGGATTCCAAGGGCATGGGTTGGGATCCAACACGGATCCTCGCATGATTCAGGCGATTACGCAGACGATGATCGGCGAGTACCTTTGGAAGTACACACGTAAAGCTGGACGCGAGGAGATGTCGGAAAACAGGCACCGGCGATACTTTTGGGTTCACCCATACACGCGAATGCTGTACTGGAGCGACCGTGATCCTTCGACCGGTGGCCGTCATGAAGTCAAGGCCAAAAGTGTCCCGATAGAGGCGGTGCGTGTTGTTGCCGACGACAATCCCATGCCTCCTGGCCTACATCGGAAGAGCCTCGTCATTATCTCGCCGGGCAGGAGTGTCAAGTTTACCTGCACGACTGGGCAACGCCACGAGACGTGGTTCAATGCTCTCTCCTATCTGCTTCTTCGGACCACTAGCGAGGGTCAGACTGATGCCGAGGAGATGGCTGGTAACATCACGAGAGAAGACGTGGAAGAGTTTAACCCTTCTTACAGGACCCGACGGGCTAATGGTAACCGAATGGCACCTTCGTTGTCATCGTATAATTCACAACATACCCCGCGCGATTCTCCCACCATGGATATCACGCTGGATGTGCCTACTTTGACGCCGTCCCGTTCCAAGGCCTCGCAGGGTCGCACGTCGTTTGGCACGCTGAGCAGGATCAGCGGGTACTGGAAGGAGAGCAAGGTGCTGTCTGGGACTTTTGGCGGTCTGAAAGCCCGGAGCGTTTCTGGCCGGGATCCTGTCAGCGACATCTATGAGTCCAGTGAGGTGCAGGATAGCGCCGAGGATGTGAGACAGATGATTGAGCGGCAGGATCGCGAGGCTGACCGCCTTGAGAATGTCCGAGCATGCTGTGACGGTGAGTACTTGACCGATCTTGCTAGACAACGATGTGCGACATGGATTCTGATTCATTCTAGGAAAACACGACGTTGGGACCCTGACCAGCAGCGGGAAACGTGGACGCCATTCCCTAGCGGTCATGCACACGCCGTCGACAACGCCGACACCGACCCCCGCTGGGACTATCAGGTCTCGAGCGTGACGCGGTTGTCCGGGTCCATGTCCGGTTTCCTTGAGATAACATGGAGGCCATATCTACTGGGCATCGCTTCATAACCTTCTCGTCACTCGCTACAAAAAACCTTTCTTGAATTGGAGTTTCTCTCGCGGATACACCAACCTTCCACTGCGGATTTTTTACTTTATGACTTGATGAAGTTTCCTACGCGTCTTCCTTTTTCATCGTCGTCGCCTGTACCACCACCACCACACTCATCCCAACCGCATTCTGCGATCTTAATAGTCGCTATACTGTGACAGCGCGCTACAAACAATCGCAGTGTGTCCACCCCATACCAGCCGTTCGCCATCAGTCAGGTTCAGCCTGTGCATCATTCCTGTCTTGGGGACCACGGCGTTGAAGCATTCGAAACTTGTTCGCGCATGGCTTTGGCAGGTGTTTGGGTGCATCGAAGTCTTTTCGTCCAGGTGCTGGGTTTGGTTTCCTTGGTGGTTCAAGAAGAAAAATCGAAATCCCTGGCAAGTTTACTGGCAAACGGAAAATCGAAGAGAGAGCATTCGTTGCTGGCTCATAGCTGTTAGACTGCCACTAGCTGATCCGTGTTCGAGACGGCAAGGGGGTAGGAAATAGTCGGGGTTGTAGAAGAGTGGATGCGATGAGAGACAGCATATGATGACTGAATGAGAAAACTAAATTGGAAAATCTGGTGGTTTGGTGTGTTGTATGGGAAGTCATATGCAAACTTAGGTGGTTTGGTTTCGGACGCTCAGTTGAGGCACTCCATGTTGAAGCCGGGGAAAGATCCAAGTTCAACGTTACACAGCAGTTAGGAACAACTTGGATCCAAAGTTCTAGACTCGGCTCTTCCTAGGAGCTCGGACCAATCGAAGTATGACATAAGCCGGCAACTCGAACCGTTTCTGTATTTGTTGGTAACCTTCTTCAACATCTTTCAAACCGCCACCATACAACATTTCTAAGACTCCAAAATCCTGAAACATCATGACGGATACAGCTACAACGTCCGGGAATGCGACAGGCGCACCCATCGCGCCAGTTGCCATATTCAAGAAGCGTGGCGAAAAGGGCAGAGCAAACCTGCGGAAACGCCCTGCAACACCACCCCCGGCAAATGACAGCGACGATTCCGATTTCTTTTCCTCCGAGGACGAGTCGGGCCAGAGGATCAAGCGCAGAAAGAAGAATCCGGCCACTCTGGTTGCTTCCTCCAAAGACAATGCCGCCACGCGCGAGAAGGACGAGGTGCTGCCGAGCACCGTCTTCGAAGCCGACCGCAACGTCTCGCTCGACACAGCCAAACGCGACGCCACCAAGCAGAGCAACTGGTTTGACGTAGAAGCCACTGGCGACGACGACGACCTCTCGTCACGGAACCTCCTCGGCTCAACCCGCGCAATGCCATCCTCATCCAAGGGTTCCAAGACCAAGACGGAACAACAATATCAAGAAGACGAAAGCCTGCCAGACGGCACGTACAGGGGCCTGGCCAACCAGACGAGCTACATCCGGCGCAACCCGGACGCGCGCGCCGTGGGGCCCGTCAAGGCGCCGCCGAGCCACATCCGCACCATCACCATCACCGACATGGCGCCAGACGTGTGCAAGGACTACAAGCAGACCGGGTTCTGCGGGTTCGGCGACTCGTGCAAGTTCCTGCATGCGCGCGAGGATTATGCGCACGGCTGGCAGCTCGATCGCGAGTGGGAGAAGGTCACCAAGGGGAAGAAGGTGTTGGGTGGCACGGTGGTGGCCAGCGCCGAGCGGAAGGCAGCAAGGAGGGATGGGGGGAATAAGGATGGGGAGGATGATGATGAGGAGAACGAGGAGGCTATGTTGGATAACATTCCGTTTGCATGTATCATATGCAAGGGGCCCTACAAGTCCCCCATCGTGACGCGCTGCGGGCATTACTTCTGCGAGGCGTGCGCGTTGAAGCGGTATAGAAAGGACCCCGGCTGCGCGGCGTGCGGGGCGGGTACGAATGGTGTATTCAATGCGGCCAAGAGACTGCAGAAGCTGCTGGATAAGAAGAGGGAGAGGGCGGCAAGGAAACGGCAGGAGGCTATAGAGGCCGGTGAAGAGGTCAGTGAGGAGGAGGAGGAGGAGGAGGAGGAGGAAGAAGGGGGCGGGGATTAGCAATAGCAAGACTCATGAATGGCTCTCTGCACGGTCAATCTGTGGTGCTATTGTTCTCTTATACGGTGCTCTTCTCGGTACTATGCGCCCATGCTCCGTATCCCCGTCGCCGCCGCCGAATCATGATCTATACCTCATGGGATTTGCAATATGAACCGGATAACTCCACGTACAAACCCAGAAAGAGCCCCATGACAAACAAACTCAAGATATCAGCTAGACCCCCATCGTGAAATCATGCTCAATCCCGGGGGTTACACTGGCAATGAACTAAAGCGGAAGGCAGCGTTAGCAACGTGTCCTCGCATCGGCCGGGGCAGGCAACAAACATACCTTCAAAAACACCACCAGATACTGGTCCACCCGGATGGCCACTTCCTGGTCAGCTACGTCGTGCTGCACCTCTTCCCACTCATCGTTGTTATCGCTGCCGGCAGCGGCGTCACCTCCGGCGCCGCCGCTGACCTTGAGGCTGTTGAGCTCGCCCTCGAGCCCCTCCAGCCCCTGACTGCTGGCGGCGAGGAGGCCAGCCCTCTGCTTTTCCCTGCGCAGCTTGAGGGCGGCATCGGCACGGTCGAGGAGCGTCTTCATGACGGATGCGTGCTTGCACGGGTGCACGCTTGCCATCTTGACGTTGTTCTCGAAAAAGGGGAAGTTCTCGAGCGTCACCGTCTTGTCCTTGTAATCGCCCACAATGTCCTCCATCATCAGGTGCGGCGGCAGCGGCTGCCCGTTGGGCAGGTACCCGGACATGTACATCCGGGGCGTCCTGTAGTAGGGCGAGTAGACGATGTAGAGCGAGTATGTCCGTCTTCCGCTGTTGACAATTAGTCACGTCGCTTGGTCACGAAACATTCATTCGGTATTCCATTGCTTACCTATTCTTGCCATCCCCCTCGGCATCACGAATAATAGCCTCATCGTCCTCCTCATCTTCCATATCCGGAATATCATCCTCATCAATAACTTCCCGGTCGCCGACGTTACCCGCATCGTCCACGGTGCGCACCTCCCTGACCTTGAGCGGCTGTGAGCTAGTCAGGCCGCCCGTGCGCAGCCAGCCGTCATCGTCGTCGCCGCCGTTCTTGGCGCCCCCGCCTTCAACTACAGCCTCTTCGTGACCCGCATCGCCCGCAAAATCATCGTTCAGACGCCGGTGACACGGAACGTGCCGCGTCACCAGGTACTGCTTCCCCGGAGGCAGGTGGCTGATGCGCTTGGATGGTGTTTCGGCGTCGGCCCACGACCATGACGGGAACTTGAAGACTAGGTAGTCGCCTGCCGCAACGAACTCTTCGGGCGTGATTTCGCCCGTGTTGCGGAACGTTGACGTGTGGCTTGCGGGCGTGTACCTGTCGCGCAGGCTGTTGACGGTCGAGTAGATGATGTTCATGGTGAGCGTTTGGTCTTATAGCAGTTGGAGTGAGGAGGGAAGCGGGGTGTGGGGTCAGCTTGTAGTGTAGCTTTGGCGAGAGGCGGTGATGGCGAACCGTCGCGATATAGCAAGGTCAAGTTGCCCTGGTGCAAGTAGAAGGTGGAGAGAAATATGATGTCCAGATAGAATGATGATATACCCTAGGCCTTCTGCAAAGAAGACTGCAATGTATCAAGTGACTGTGCCGACGGAGCCTCGTGACAGCCTTGCACCGATGACCGAAGGCGGCCAGATAGCTGCGCATGCCTGAAGCACGCTTGGCGGGGCTGGGTGTCAGCGGCCCCGCTGTGCTGGGGTAGGAGGGCTGCCCCACTTTACAGCACACATGATTACATAATGCCTAGCTAACCTCAACGTTTACTCGAACGCCAGGTCCTCAAGCTCATTTACAGTTTTTCACTACCGGATGCACAGGGCTTACTTGGAATTGAAGAGAGAAGCTTACGAAGGACAGGTACGGTAAACGAGGTTGAACTCTATCCAACAGAAGGACAAGGTGGCTGGGTCTGTCAAAACTCAAAAGACTCCCACCGCAAATAACGCTATCTCAAGCAAGCGTCTGTTGATCAGACTTTAGAAGAAGAACGTCCCCCAGGACTGGTCCCTTGTGGTCCCCGGCATGCCATAGTACCCTCCAAAGGCTTTCCGTTCCCTGCTGGCCTGCCCACAGTATACCCAAGTCTGGTCTATCAAGCTGCCCCGGATGATAGGCCTGAGCTTGATTTCGCCCGACAGCCATGCCTCGACTGTTACATCCAAGTCTCCTTGGTCTTTTTCCCCGGATCCAACTATCCTGACTCTATCGCCATCCCACTCTTGCACTTGGTGGAGGTGTACAGTGAACACGGCCTTTAGGGTCGACTCGAATGCTTCCGCTTTCTCCTCTGTACAAGTATGCACCAGTCCAGTCGCCAGTCACCCACTCCTCCAGCTTAGCGCGGTTTCCAAAGACCGACGGCGAGGTATTTGCGCATAGCGCTCGATGCTCCTCCAATACCGCCTTAATCTTTGGATATTTCTCCTCCTTGGCCACAGCAATGGCCTCGTCGTAGTGAATGCCGTCTCGAAGACCGTCATCGCCCAGCCCAGCTATCAGCTCTAACAAGGGCGTTCGCTCCTCGTTCATTGCCCTGAGCATTGCCGAGCCAGCGACCCTGTCGGTGCTGCCCAGTCCATCCCACTGGCCGGGCCCGAGGCTAACATTGATCTCCCTCATCAACCGCTTCAGGTGGTCTCGAGCTTCCTTGTAAAGTCGAGCGGCATTCGGCGCATTCCCGCTCTCTTGCTCTTTCTTGGCATAAGCTTGCGTGGCTATAACCAACATTGCAAGGGTCACCAGAAAGAACGGATTGACGGAATATATCCTTGGGTCTGGATATATTGGAACTCTCTTGAGCGCATCCATGCCAAGAAGTTTCCATGGCTGCGGCCGATTTCTCGAGGTTGAATATGGGTTCCGGCGGTGGCCAAGGCTGGTTAAGGACACTCGCGCGAGCTCCATTGTGCAAAGTTTTCGCATTGCGGTATGCTTCCGCACAGTTCCCCAGCTTCAGCTCTACTTGTACCATTTGGGGGTGCAACTCAGGCGTCGTGTCCGGGCCGTGCCTCGCTATGGGGATTCTCTTCAGGCGTTTAGCCTTGAAATGCTCGAAGACCTCTCGAGCTTCGGCGTATCTCCCCGCCAGGAAGTATAGCAATCCTAGGGCTTGAAGAAGCATCATGATTGGAGGCGCACCAGGGTCAACTAGGGCTTCCATGTCCTTGATTGCTGATTTGAGAATATCAATGCCTTGAGAGAATTTCCCCTCCCGCAGTAGACGGTGAGCTGTCCTTTCGAGCAGGAAACGGTATTGGGGTGGTTTGGGCCGAACATGGCTATGAGTTGTGGTCCAACTTGTTGGAGGAGTTCCTCCGCCTGGATGTGATAGCCCTTGACAGCCAAACAGTCGGCGAGGGCAACCCGAACGATCGAAGTCACAACGTGGTCCTTGACGCTCGACTGAGCAAGAGTGGCTTCGGTTTCTTTTAGCCGTGAAGTGATCGCCGGGAGCCCTTGAGGCATGATTCTCATGAAAGACAGGGAGCGGTACCCCTTGACCAGTAGAGCATCACGATGCTGTGGGCCGTAGTCCTCGTCCTGTTCCAAGACTTTTGCCATCTCGTGGGCAAAGTCGATCGGGGCGAGCGGATCATGGCTCATTTCGAGCAGAGAGAGGAGCGTCCACTTGAGGTTGATGATAGCTGGGTGGGTTCTTCCCAATGCAGATTCCATCCTTTCAATCTCAGCCCGACGCTCGCCGATAATTTTCTCTTGAGTTTCGGGCGAGCTGATGGTCATATCTATGCCTTGATGGATAGGCGCGATGATGCCATTTCTGTAAAAGATGCTGAGTTTTTCGTTCGAGGGTTTTTGGAGAGAGCTACTTTGTTTGATTTGCGACAGCAGGTTTGTTTCATCCATCGCCAACTCAAAGCTGGACGACAGCTGCTGCAATTCCTTTGCTTCTTTCAGGTGGAGAGCGGCTTGCTCAGGATCCCGGCTGGTCCCAAAGCCGATCTGCTTGCAAACTGCCAGCTGGAATGCCAGTCTTGACTTTGCTTCCCCTTTTGCCTTTGAATACTCCTTTTCGAGAAATAGAAAATAAACTCCCGTACACGGAAGTCCGCGGAACACGGTGTTTGCAGAGATTTGAGTATCTAAAGCAACGATCAGCATTTGTGCTTGCGATAACAGCAACCTATCGAATTTGGGTCATACATCGAAGCTGCTTGCTGTTGGGAATGACCTGTATGCGGATGAACCGTCTCGGCGGTCACTTTCTCCTGCCGAGTCTCTGCGTATCAGAGTGAATGAATCGGCGGGACTGGGTATGTTCTCGGTTAGCATGGCAGTATGCGGTAGGGGTCCAGATACAAATGGCAAGAACTCTTACCTTTGATTGCCAAGGAACCGCATCAAGTATTCAACAGATTGGGCCCTCTTTTCGGTGTCAGTATCGAGTGCTGACATGAATAGTTGTTCCAACCTCTCCTTCCACACCGTATGGGGCAGTCCGCTAACAAGCTCAAGAGCAAGCGTCTTTATCTTATTTGTCTCTTTGGGGAATGTATTATGAGCGCCGATGATCTGTATATCCGGAGAAACGTCTTGGTCAACGAAACCCAAAACCCGACCGATTGGCTTGAGCACCCCAGACAACGTAGTCACCGCTGAAGCGACCAGGCCCTTGGGCGGAAGCGGTTTGGTGAGGTCCTCGCCCCTTTTGACAAGCTCCTCTCGGAAAAGGACCCACAAACACAGAATTTCAAAGGAAAAGATGTCAGACAGCTTCGCCTGATCAAGAGTGTGAAGCCTTCGAGATCTGATCTCAGGAGCGAGCCAATGTTTGGTTGCCGACGATTTCGATGAGCTTGTTTGAAGCGAAGGCGGCAAACCCAAAGTCGGCGAGCTTTGGAACAGGGCCGTTCTCTTCGAACATCAAGAATATGCCTGAGTGTGCATATAGGTCGTTAGTCAGTTTGGTCGGATCTTTGCGGCAGATTCGGAAACTTACCTTTTCGATGAGAGAAGGCAATGGCTGAGGCAATGTCGCAACAGATCTTCCCCCTGTCTTCCAAGGATAGGGCCTTGCCTTGGTCGCTCTTCATGAAATCCCCCAAGGTCCCAAGACCGGCCTTCTCAAAGATCAAGATGGGCCATACACGCGTCGTCTTGCCGAGGTACCAAATCCTGCCCCTCTGGATCTCCCAGCCGACTGCTAGAAGCTTCATGATATTGGGATGAGAGCGAAATTTGGGCTCCCCCAAAGCTAGGATTTCCGAGGCGATGGCACGGTAGGTCAATTCAATTCGGTGTCTGATCAATGTCACAATATGGGGTACGTACAAATAGCTGCCAAAGGGTCCCAGTAATTCCGAGTCGTGATACGCCTGAGCCTCCATGCACGTCGCCAGAAGCCACGATGCCGTCTACACGCGCCAGTATCCTTGCCCAGGAGATCAAAGACCGACAGAAAACGAATATTGATGGCCACCAGTTTGTTCCCTTCGAGTGGCTAGTGGACTTGTTAACACTGGATGTAATTGAGGAAGTGCTCAGTGAAGGCAAGATCGAGCTGTACGAACGACGGCCGATCGCTAAGGCCGTGGTCGAAAGTGAGCGGAAAACCTTCGCCACGCTGGTCCTTGTCGGTGAGCCAGACAGAATATACGATTTCAAGCGGACCGACCCGGGCGTGGACGAAGGGGGCCCTGATAATAAGTTGCCCCTGACGATGACCCATCTGAGCCATGTTTTCGACAGGCAAGAAGTCGGAGATGCTTTCTTCGAGAAGCAGTTTCTCTTCCTCGTTCCGACGTTTCCGCAAGGAGTACCTCACCGCGTCATTCCGGACGAGATCCGACTTCCATCTCTCAAGCCCAATGTTGATCCCAACGCCAAAGGGGCAAAAACCCCAGGAGGACATTTCGGCGTCGTGTCGAAGGAGAAGCTGCCGCCTCCGAAGTACGGCCAAAGTGACGAAGATGTAAGGAACCTCCTATGCCTGCTGGTTGTTATTGCACCCGAGTAATCCGACGACTGAACTGACCTCTCGACTAGTGCATGACGCTGGTTCGAAAGATGTTGAAAGCTAAGGGCGGCGATGGCTACAAAGGGGAGCTGCGATGTCTCCATCTCCTTAACGAGATCCGGCATCCTTGTATCCTAGAGCTTTGTGGATCGTACACGCAGCAGCAGACGCACAATTTTCTGTTCACCGAAGCGACGGGTGGCGATCTTTACGACCTGCTCAGGAAGAATGAACGCCCACCCGAGTTTCGGACGAACGAGGCCATGTACCTCGCCATCTGCGGCTTGGTCTCGGCGTTGGAACAGCTGCATTACTATACCAACGATGACCTCAAGATCGAGCTTCTGGGATGCCACCACGACCTAAAGCCGCGGAACATTTTGGTCGACGGCGGGCGATTCATTCTTGCGGACTTTGGGCTGACCATCATGACTACAGTTCAAGACCTTCAACAGCTTGCCGAAGACCGTGACTTGTACTTTGATGCACCCGAGAGGCTCGACTACACCCTGCCGCAGCCAGTCAAAAAGGAGATTGGGCCTCCGAGCGTCATATGGTCTCTAGGCGCAATCCTTGCCGTCATCTTCGCATACATGAGAGGCGGCCCAAATGAGGTCGAGAACTTCAGGAACAAGCGGACCTTCTTTTACAAGCCCCAGGAAGACGGGGGGATGATCATCCTCAAATCATTCCATGACCGGGGAAAGCCGAACGACGGAGTGGAGGAATGGTTCGCCACCAAGGATAAACCGAGTACTGTCGTCGAAGAGGACTTGGTTGCGCTCATCTGGGACATGTTGAAGATCGAGCCTGCCAAGCGGCCAGGAATCCGTGCGGTTCTTAGGCGCCTACGATGTATCGCACTCAAGGAAGCCGCCAAGCCGATAATGGACCATCTTCTCGAGGCGCCTATTGAGCCCGGAAAACCTCGTGAACCGCTCGAGTATGCTGTGGAGAGGCAGGTGTTTTTGGAATGGCTCACCATGGTCAGCGACGCCTCTCGACTGGACAAGCTCGAATTCCTCCACACGGATGAGATGTTTGACCAGGTCCATCGCACCGTTTCCGCCATCCGGAGCGAGTTTCAGCCTCTCTCTCAGGCAGCTCGGGACGACTCGCCTTTGTTTGCGCGACTGCGGCGCCTCAACGACCAGCTCCTTGCATGCTTGGACGAGGCCGACGAGTACAGTGCTCGCACCAGAGCCGAGCTGAAGGTCATGCCTCGAGCGCGGGAGATTGCCAAGGAGGGCGGAGTATCAGGCGCTGGGCGTCCGCCCGCGGCAGTCCCAGAGTCAGAGAGGGAGATGGAGCCATACAGACTGAACGAGAAGGTTAAGTTACTGCTATCAGTCGAGAATGTCATGCATCTCATGACTGAGTCTAAGAGTAGTGTGCGAAAGCTGGATGCGAGTAGTATATCACGTTTCAAGGATGAAAAGAGAGAGGATAACGGAATAAACGAGGAGGAAAAGGAGGAAAAGGAGGACGACGACATGGATCCTGGCGAGGTCCATGCTTTTTGGACTGGCACGCTTGTCGACGACAATGGCTCGTCAACGCCCGTCATTGTCGAGGATCTGGACATAGGCCCAGCATTCAGCGAAACAACTACCAGCGAGAAGCTGTTCGAAGGGCTGGAACAGGTCCTTGTTGGCTTGACGCCCGAGCTGGCTACTAGATTCCAGGTTCTGAGTTGCGCGGGAATCTATCATGACATCAAACGCCGGAGAATCAGACTCACCTACCACTACCCCAACACCGGCATCCCCCTCGCTGTGGCGCGGCCAAGGGTCCGAGATCTCGCCCAGGTTCTCAGAGAGCACGCGGATCCATTCGACTACGAACAACGTATCATCGTAAGCCTCGACGACCGTCTGCAGCTGGCCCACGATCTCGCCACGGCCGTGTTTGAGTTCCACAAGATGAACTGGTGGCACAAAAACATATCGTCGTACAATGTTCTCTTCTTTGGCGAAAATACCTCTTCCCACTCGATCGCTGACGGAGGGGAAAGCGTTGTCCGCAAAGTGAATTTGACTCGCCCGCCTTGATTGGATTCTCACACAGTCGACTCGGTGACGCAGACTACTCCAACAAGATGCACAGTGAGGCTGCCTGCTTCGCGTACTGGCACCCCGACTATGCCGGCGCTGATGCAGCCGATATGCAGACAGCGTCGGGTTATTTGGCCGAGTACGACTACTACGGGCTTGGACTCGTTCTTCTGGAAATCGGCATCTGGTGCCCCTTGTGGCGTATGGTGAATATCAACACTACGGAACGGGGCGAGATTAGGGCTCAGCTGCGCAGTCTGTGGGTGCCATTGTTGGCCTCGGCCGTAGGAAACAAGTATGCGCAGGCGGTAGATGCTTGCCTTTCGGGAAAGCTGAGCGAATGCCAGTCCGGAAAGGTGACTGACAAGGAGAAGGTGGATCTGGCATTTGAGCAGCTTGTTCTGCGGCCGTTGGGTACGCTGGTGGGGAGTTGAATTGGTCTCGAAACCACCTGTGTGCCTCGATAGCTTTCAAAATGTTGCTGCACCATCCCTAAGACACCCTGCACGCCCTCTCTTCTGACATCTCCCAGACAGAACGGTAGGCAGACCCTGAGTCCCACAGATTCCCGAGCAGGGAACCATAGGCCGGGTGGTGGTCCTCATTATTGAATACCGACACCGTTGGAAGGAATCCGGCTTTCAAGTACCTCTCTCCACAAGGAAAGACCTAGATCCATCCGTGATGCTGCTGGCAAAGACTTGAGTTAATTTGGTTAGGGATTTGTGTCAACCATCTCAAAGGTTAGATTGGTGATTGCGCAAAAAAAAGGTTCAGTTGGTGAGACTGAAGAACATCATGGTCTCCAAAGCAGGATCTAATTGGACCACCGGGTACACTTGTGGGTCAGATGGGCCCGGCGCCGCCGACGGGGCACGAAGAGGGGATCAGTCAGGCACCGGGATGGGTCCAGTAACTCTGCGAATAACGTTGCGGATAAACGGACAACGCACATGCGGTGCAACTCCATAGACAGGCTGACGACGACGAGGCGAAACCGCGTCAGGCTACACGCTTTTAATTCTTCGCACCTTCCTTCTGTCGCAGCTCATTCCAGGCAGCTAATTGAATCTCTTGACCTGCTTATCGCTATATCTTGCACCGCCGTTGCTGCAGCTCGCCGACATTTCCGTCCACTGCTAGAAGCCGAGCTCTCCCGTCACTCCGTCCCTCCGTCCTCGGCCGCGGTCATTGGTGATTTGACTTGTCCATGCCTTCGCGAGCCCCCTCGCTTCCCTGAACCCCTCTCTGATTCGCACGCCCACCAAGGAAACGCGGCAACACTCTATAGGCGCCCAACATGGCCACAATACGCAGTCTTGACCATACCAAGTCCGTCCACTTCCGCATCGTTCCTTGTCTGCCGTTTGTGCCGCCGAGAATCCAGACTGACCATGATGCGGCGCAGGTCTGAGGCCGAGTTGGCCATCAACATCAAGAAGGCGACGAGCCCCGAGGAAACGGCCCCAAAACGCAAGCATGTCCGGAGCTGCATCGTCTACACATGGGATCACAAGTCTTCCCAGTCCTTCTGGGCTGGCCTCAAAGTCCAGCCCATTCTTGCCGACGAGGTCCAGACCTTCAAGGCACTGATCACCGTTCACAAAGTCCTCCAGGAGGGCCACCCGGTGACTCTCAAGGAGGCCATGGCGAACCGGGGGTGGATTGACAGTTTGAATCGTGGGATGGCCGGCGAGGGCATGCGCGGTTACGGTCCCCTGATCAAGGAATACGTCTACTACCTGCTGGCAAAGCTGTCATTCCATAAGCAGCACCCTGAATTCAACGGCACGTTCGAATACGAGGAGTACATCAGCCTCAAGGCCATAAACGACCCCAACGAGGGCTACGAGACCATCACCGATCTCATGACGCTGCAGGACAAGATCGATCAGTTTCAACGGCTGATCTTTTCTCACTTCCGCAGCGTAGGGAACAATGAGTGCAGAATATCCGCGCTCGTGCCACTCGTTGCCGAGAGTTATGGCATCTACAAGTTCATCACCAGCATGCTGCGAGCCATGCATTCAAGTAGGCCGCTGGTCCACACACCCCGATGTTGACTCCGCTGACCTTGCCCAGCCACTGGCGACAACGATGCCTTGGAGCCACTCCGTCAGCGGTACGACGCCCAGCACTACCGCCTTGTCAAGTTCTACTACGAATGTTCGAATCTCCGCTACCTCACGAGTCTTATTGCCATCCCGAAGCTGCCCCAAGACCCACCGAGTCTTCTAGCGGAAGACGAGAATGCGCCGGCGCTCCCGGCACGCCCTAAGCAGGAGGTCGAAAAGCGGCCGACTCCGCCGCCGGCGCCCAAATCAGACGAACCAGATGAGATCTCCGAGTTCTGGAAGAGCGAACTTGATCGGCAGAACCGGGAATACGAAGAACAGCAGCGTGTGCTGGAGGCTCAGCAGCAAGCGGCACTTCAAGCGCAACAGCAGGCTCAACTCCAGGCTCAGCGAGATTTTGAAGAGCAACAACGGCGACTACTGGAGCAGCAGCAGCGGGAGCAGGAGGCACTGATGGCGCAGCAGGCCCAATGGCAGACGCAGGGGCGGCTGGCCGAGCTCGAGCAAGAAAATCTCAATGCGCGCGCACAGTACGAGCGCGACCAGCTCATGCTTCAGCAATATGATCAGCGGGTGAAAGCCCTGGAAGGCGAGCTGCAGCAGATTCAGAACAACTATGGCCAGCAAATAGCTAGCAAGGATGACCAGATCCGAGCTCTCCAGGAGCAGGTCAATACCTGGAGGACCAAGTATGAAGCCCTTGCCAAGCTGTACTCACAGCTTCGCCACGAACATCTGGACCTGCTCCAAAAGTTCAAGTCTGTTCAACTTAAGGCTGCTTCTGCCCAGGAGGCCATTGATCGCCGGGAGAAGCTGGAACGTGAGCTCAAGACCAAAAACCTTGAGCTTGCCGACATGATCAGGGAGCGAGATCGGGCCCTGCACGAGAAGGACAGGCTACAGGGTTCAAATAAAGATGAGGTGGAGAAACTGAAGCGCGAGCTCCGGATGGCCTTGGATCGCGCGGACAACTTGGAGCGGAGCAAGGGCAATGAGCTCTCCACTATGCTTTCCAAGTACAATCGCGAGATGGCAGACCTAGAAGAGGCGTTGCGGAACAAGTCGCGAGCGCTCGATGAGGCCCAAGCCAAGCTGCGAGATGGCAACTCGGACCTCGAAGCGCTTCTCCGTGAAAAGGAAGAAGAGCTTGAGGTCTACAAAGCCGGCATGGACCAGACACTGATCGAGCTCAATGAGCTGAAGAACAATCAGGGCGTGACGGACCGTGCTCTTGATGGCCAGATTGATGCCCTGGTCCTAGCCCAGCTGGACAAGATCAATGAGATCATCGACTCGGTGCTCCAAGCTGGAGTACAGCGCGTCGACGATGCGATGTACGAGCTGGATTCTACCATGCAGGCTGGTAACCAGAATGCTTCTCCCTCGTATGTCTTGTCGCAGATTGAAAAGGCGTCTGCCAGCGCCACCGAGTTCGCAACGTCATTCAATAACTTCATCGCCGACGGACCCAGCAGCAACTATGCAGACCTCATCAAGAATGTCAACGTTTTTGCCGGCGCTATTGCAGACGTGTGCAGCAACACCAAGGGTCTCACCCGCCTCGCCACCGACGAGAAGAAGAGCGATGCCTTGATCAACGGTGCCCGCCAGTCTGCCCACTCCACCGTCAAGTTCTTCCGCAGCTTGCTGAGCTTCCGGCTTGACGGCATGGATCCCTTACAAAAGACGGATGTCGTTATCAACAGCAACAATGATGTCCAGATGAACCTACAGAGGCTCAACAAGTCGGTGGAGACGTTCGCTCCTGGCTTTGGCAAGCTTGCCAACAAGGGAGATCTGGGTGAAGTTGTCGACCAAGAACTCAGCAAGGCGGCCGATGCTATCGCGGCAGCTGTGGCTCGCCTGAACAAGCTCAAGAACAAGCCACGCGACGGTTACTCGACCTACGAGCTGCGGGTGCATGACTCAATCCTGGACGCTGCCATGGCAATTACGACAGCCATTGCACAGCTCATCAAGGCTGCCACGGTTACACAGCAGGAGATCGTGCAAGCCGGGCGGGGCTCGTCGTCTCGGACGGCCTTCTACAAAAAGAACAACCGGTGGACAGAGGGCCTCATCTCGGCGGCCAAGGCGGTCGCATCGTCGACCAACACGCTCATCGAGACGGCCGACGGGGTTCTTTCCAACCGCAACAGTCCCGAGCAACTCATCGTGGCGTCCAATGATGTGGCTGCTTCCACTGCGCAGCTGGTAGCCGCCAGCCGCGTCAAGGCCGGCTTCATGAGCAAGAGCCAAGAGAACCTGGAGCAAGCTAGCAAGGCGGTTGGCGCTGCTTGCCGCGCTCTTGTCCGCCAAGTACAGAACATGATCAAGGATCGCAACGCCGAGGAGGAGCAGGTGGACTACTCCAAGCTGGGGGCGCACGAGTTCAAGGTCCGCGAGATGGAGCAGCAGGTATGTACATTACCCGAGTCCACCCCTGTTCGTTTTGCACTTTAAACCTCGACGTGCTGTGCTAACCGTGTCTTCAATGTAGGTCGAAATCCTCCAACTCGAGAACGCACTTTCCGCTGCTCGTCACCGGCTGGGTGAGATGCGCAAGATCTCGTACCAGGAAGAGTAAATTTGTCCATCACGCCGAGGGTGCATGGGAAGTGCGGTGGGAGGCAGTGCTTACCTACTCTCTGTATGACAGTATTAGCCTGTAATCATCAGTTTGACAGTTCTCACACTCTCTTTCCGTACTGTTGATTTACTTCACCGCTGCGCCGTTGCATCGTTGTTCCTCACCAACGCTATGCATCTGGTAGATGATGTTCCTGGTATCTAAAATATATCTAAAGTATCTGTATAGTACATTGTTGAGAATGGATTGAAGTGCACAATGCTCCTTTAACGTCACTCTTCACGTTAAGAGCGTGCAAACCGACTTTACAGCTATGTAAGGTAACCTATACCTCGACTCTCCAGCGCCACCGGTTTTCTTAGCTTTCACTCCTCGTCAGGGCTTCTTAATAGCCCACCTGCCCCGCTACGAGTACCCAACCCTAGGGTTTCGTCTGCGAGCTGTCATTTTCATCATTTTCTCGGATTGGCCGCATCAATTGTAAAGCCAACCCAACTTTTGATTGGATGCATCCAGCTCACTCCACTTTTCCTGATTCGGTGCATCGACAGCAGCCACATATCCTCTGATTGGGCGCATCCAGAACCAAAAATTGTTTGTGGTTATTGCGGGGTTTGCGATGCTGCACCCAATGGTTGCCATGGCTGCCGTCACATTCGGCAATTGCCCTTTCATGGAACCCATTGCAGATCTGTGATGCATGCCAACCTGGTACATAACTGCCGAGTCCCTTGCAACGGGAGGCTGCATGGCAGACAGTGCACACGTGCCTGGGAAAAGCGTTCCATTAATGGCCAGGGAGCAGGTAGGTACCTAGCATGCGAGTGCACCAGTTCGTCCTGCTCAGCCTGGGGACGGGAGTTTGCAACCCGCATGCATCAAGCAAGTTGATCTACACTGTATGTAACTACGAAAGCCCCGAAAATTCCATTGATAGTTTTACTGGCTCCCATGATTTGCGCCCCATTCACGTCACACGACGAGTGCCGAGGGTTGCAGACCCAGTTGGCTGGTGAAACTTCCCGTTTTGTCTGAGGCTGCAGCAATACAGCAAGCCGCTCCGTTACCTGTCATATTTGGTGTACGCACTTTTGATGATCCGTGGGTAGCGACTGTCTTCCAGGTTGTTGGTGCATTGCTGAGTGACTGCCGGGCAGCCATCCCTAACCCAGTTTCGTTCACCGTGTTGTCTTCGCAAGCCAACCCACAAACGGCGGCCCCCGTCCGATTGGTGATGCAAGCGCTGCAACCCTTGCATTCCTCAGTGCAACGCTGCGGCTGAGCCGAAACTTTGTGGGGACAGGACGGGGAGACAGGCGGCATGCATCATTTTTAGCGCGTGGAGACATGCAGCTTAAATCAACGTCTGTGGAATTCCATTTTAAAGACTAATAACGATATTATTTCCATGCGCGGACAGAAGGGAATGGGGTCTGTTGACGTGGAGAACGCGAGACCTTGTCATGGATCTTCAATCCATGGGGACCAAAACCTCCCTGTTCCTCCCGTTGTTCCTCCTTGTACTCCCCGCCACGGACCAGTCTTTCAACGCATTGGTTATTAACAAGACCTCCTAGGGCCTATTCTCCACAGTCTTGTATGTTCGGTCCTGTAAGCTGAGCTGTCTCAAATCAAGCTTTCTATATTTCAATGCAGAAACTGGTTAGAATTTTCGCCTGTTTGTAGTACGCTTGTATTTAATTGAAGTCCATGTCTATCCTCTAGTTAGCCTCGGGTCTAGTTACAAGTTAGATAAGAAACAATCTGCTCTTACCTTCATCGCCCACGGTATAGTCGCGTGTGCCTACGATATAGTAGTTGCTTTTAGAGCCTCCATAGCGGAGAAAGCTATCCAGCATAGCATCAGCTGGCATGCCATCTGGAGCGTAGTGTGTGGTAATGCCCTGAGAGACTATGGGATTGCCTAGAGGCATATCGAAGAGAGCCGACATCGTAAGCTGGGGGTTGTTCTGGGCAAGCCGACGAAATCCATCCATAGTATTGAAAGTCTTAGCGGCGTCTCCTCCAGGCTGACTATTGATGCAAATCACATCCTTGGCGGCATCTATAAGCTTGGCAACAATCGGTCCAGGGTTGACCACCTGTAAACCCTCGTTCAGGCATTGTGTGAACAGACCGAGTACGTTCATGGGCTGCCGAGAGCTCTGCAGAGGCGGCGCCGCGCCGCGCTGGAGCGTATTCGTGCCGTCCTCAAGCTGGACCATTTCCCAGCCAAGCGTAGCCAGGTAGCTATCGCGGGCAACAATGCCCAGAGGCTTGACGGCGGCCTGAATCCAGTCTTGCAGCGAAATGTTTTGATCCTCCAAGAGATCGCGGATTGCCGAGTAGACCCCGCACATAAAATCCCACTCTTTGTGGAAGGGATCCTGCTGCCAAAGCATGGTCATGATAGGCGACCGCTCCGCCTGCGTGAATTGAGTGAAGAGAGCAGAGTAATATGCTGAGCAATATTAGCAACGTAAATTAAACCCTGAAGTAACATAACTCACCCCGGAATCCCATGAATCCGTTGACCTTCTTCTTGGTAGACGATCGCTGATTCTCACTCTGCATCATCGTGGTGAGCGCTCGCATTGCGGTTTCGCGGTCGCCGTTTCCGAGACCTTCGAAGGTCTGGATAATTTGATTAACGCCAGACATTACACTGACGGCCCGTGGGAGATGGAGAGAAATCAGAACGAAGTAGGAAATTGATGCTTGCCAGAGAATTCCGTTTGCCCCAAGGCTTCTTCTGGGCCGGAAATTCTTTTGTTTGGAGGAAAGAAGATTTGTAAATCCGCGTAGAGAGTTGGGAATTTTGGCTTCCGCAGAGGGGCGTGAAAGAAATCTCAAACCGCGAATTTTATTGGGGGAGAGGGGGGAAAGAGGAGGGAAGTATCCGTATGGCCAAGCTTATCTAAGCCCCATCACATTTCTTTGTTCTGGTGGATTATCATTTGGATAGACCAATTATGTGACTGAGTTAGCCTTCTCAAGGCGCTACTAGAGGCTCAAATATCACGGAGAATGAGTCCGTATCTCATATCAAGGCTATGCTAAGCTTGGTGATAACGTGATGTCCTTTCCTTCAGGCGTTCTGAATCCGCTCTTCTCAGCACCCCGCTCCCATGTTGACAGAACATGTCAGAACCTCGCGTCTATGCCTTAATCTCTGCCGCCAATCCAGTACGTGACCGGGTTTCCCTCAGGGAAAGCTTTAATCGGGGGGATGTCATTCCCCAGCAACGCGATCCCGGCCAACCTGTGATGGTTTGCCCGGGCATTGAGTACGTCGAGGCGGAAGGCTCCAAGGCTCTCGTACTCCGGACGGGCAAGCTAGATTATATGACTCGAAGTAAGCGTCCGCCTTAGATTCACTCGGCCTTCTAGCAATGTTGGCTTACTAGTCTCATGTCTTCATTCCAGAAAACAACCGATTTATGGTCATTAACCTTCTCTCCCTCGAAAAGGGTAGACAGACGGCGTTGGATCCTGCGCATAATGGACTATCTCTGCGTCAGGCCTGTTTCTTATAAAGGAATTATGGGGGGTATCTACGTTTCTGACATCGTCTGATTTGCGTGGGCCAGGCAGTCGGTTATGCTAAAGTCATGATCAGCGCACTGAATTGAAGATACTCAATGTAACTCACGTTTTCGAAGTATTGGCGATACTTCTCATACTCAGTTCCTGTTTCGTCCACCAGGAATCCAAGGGTGGTTGGGAAAACAATGATGAAATTGGGTTGCTGATTGTTCTCCCTGAATAGCGCCGGTATGTACTTTGGGCCCGGTTGCAGGTTGCCGAAGTACTTGTGCCATTGCGTGCCAGGTACGTGTCTGAGTGGATGAAAGAGGTGCTCTCCATGCCAATACTTAGCTGCCCTCGAAGCGGAGACATCAACTCTGTGCGGGTCAGGGGCGTTGATCGGGATGACACGGTTGTGTCGATGAAACACAGCTCCACCGAAGATCATGACATCCTCTTTTGGAAGCATTCCGATTTCTTTTCCCGGGTAGCCTTCAGCCCGCTTGAAAAGAAGGAAAGTCTGAAGGAATTTCTCGACGAATGCTTGAGCTGCTTTGACCTGGCTTTCTAGGGAAATGTCAACCCCTGATGGCAGGCCAGTCTGCTGAGCTTGGAAGTCCAGAAACTCCAGGATGCCGTTAGACAACGCGGTGAAGTGGCAGAGAAGGTTTAGCAGAGCATCGTCCTCGGAAAACAGCAGGAAGATGTCTTCCTGAAAATCCTCAGTTGCTTCCAAGAATGCCGTAGCAGTTTGAAGGACCTCGTCAAAGCATCTCTCGAAGGCTTTGATTTCTTCCGCAATTGCAGCCCGAGTCTGTCGGGCCTGGAAAAGCAGAACGACCTGGAGCATTGATCACAAAACGTGTCAGCGAATCCTTTTCAATTCCGAAATGTCTCTCATAACTGTTGAATACCTCTCCAAGTGCGCGACGGTCCATTTCTGCTTTTCAGGCGTGCAGGGCTTCGTTTGGGAACAGACTTCTTGTGATGCAAGACAGGTCCTGGTTCCAGGTTCCTTCACAGGGAATTAAAGTCGCTAGCAGTGGAGGAGGAAGGGCTCGGGATTGGTGGATTAATCCAGGCCTTTTAGTAGTAAAGAAGAGTGTGTATGATCGAAATCATGCGGTTGTTAAAGTGGGCATTCCTGATTCCTATTCTTCGCTGTCTTAGTATTGTGCCCATTGTATGGGTCTAGCTGACTATTGTTCTGTAAACCAAACAATACTGCAGCCTGCAGGTATAATACTAATTTGCCTCTTCCTGCCTTCATCCGAAGGCACGTACAAGTCTACAACCCTGAACATTTCGAATTTCGCACTTCAGCTTGCCCTTTTTATTTTTCTTCATTTTTCAAAAAGGTGCTCCCTGGAAAATCTTCTGATCTCTTCTTTCTCGTGCTTGAGTTTGAGAACAATTTTCTCTCTCAACCACTTTTTCTGCTTTTGCAAAAATCAAACTCGACCCTTCTTCCCCAGCCTCTGAAGCTGCCAAACCAGACCATATCAACCATTTGGCTCTGAGCCTTTCAGAAAATATCAAGCCGCATTTATTCCCCAAGACCATCACACCTACAGGCCGGCCCCATCATGGCATCATCCAACCCGCCTCCTGTCCAGCGCTGGGTCCGCTTCATCACTGGCCTCGACAATGAACTGAACCCCAACAATGAACTGATTGTGGAGATGTGCACCAATCACGAGGACGAAGATCTTTACCAAAAACTGATCAGTGTGATGAGGCTTTATAAGTATGTTTATTGTACTTAGTGACTACTTAGAGGCACCGTATCGCTGACAAGCTCTAGGGAGTTCAACAATGGGAACCACGCTTCTCTTCTCCGCGTCAGGAATCCATCCGGATTCTCGCAATTCTGGATCACCACTGAGGACCATCTGTACATTCTCGCTAAGTTTGATCGCGAGACTGGGTTCAGTGGTACCTATGAGCCGATTACCACCACGGGTATGCCATTGCCCTTGAAATATTGGTATCGATAATCGTCTAATGCATCTCCAGTTCCCGCTTGGCGCGTGCCCGAAGATCCCTCCAAGATACCCGAATTCAAAACAGTTCATGTTCGCCGGCCGCGCAACATGTTCATTATCTACCGGCAGTGGATGTCCGGTAGGATCCGTGCCGCAAACCCGGGCATGACGGCGGGTAAGATCTGTAAGTCATCCCCAGCGATTTTGTGAAGTATCGCTGACATCAAGCAGCGCGTGTTGTGGCACAGCTGTGGCGGGCTGAGAAGCCCGAGGTCAAGAGCCATTTCAAAGCTTTGGCCAAAACCGAGGAGCGCAACCACAAGTTAATGTACCCAGGCCATGAGCTTGCTGGTGCCCGCAACCCCCGGCGTGCACTTGTGCTGGCGGATCAGCTTGAAGACCCAATGACGATTGCTGAAACTCTCATCGCGGCCGGTCATTGACCTTGTCTATGAGACGCAAAGACTAATAACGATATTTTTTCCATGCGTGGATAGAAGGGAATGGGGTCTGTTGACGTGGAGAACGCGAGACCTTGTTCTGGATCTTCAATCTATGGGGACCAAAACCTCCCTGTTCCTCCCCTTGCTCCTCCTTGTACTCCCCGCCACGGACCAGTCTTTCAACGCAATGTGTCAATTCCATGATCTCCTACAGGTCTCAACCCTATCCAACCCCGCAACTTTAGCTGCCTTAGAGCAAGCCCTCTATAGCTCGATGCGGAAACATGTTAGAACCTTAGGCTGTTTTCTCTCGAGTGGGATCGCTTGAATTTTAGTTGCGGGTTGGGCCTACTATATATGGTTAATGCTATATTGTGTGAAAATGGAACCGATTTATTCTTACCTGTTTAGAAGAAGACCCTGAATCCGATTCCATCGCTCTCGAGATCATCTGCAGGGACACCGAGAAGAGCCGCCATTGCAAGCCTGGGGTCGGTTGCGACAAGGCAACGGAATGCGCCACTAGATGTAGGATCCGTGGTAGCCGGGGTGTCCGCCGACTCAGTAGTATTGATGGAAATGATACCACTGGTGGCGTCACTGAGCTTCTTGATGATCGCACCCAAGTTCGTCTCGGCAACCGGCAAACCCTCGCCCATGCAACGCATCAAGAGGTCGAGGCCGTTCATGGACAGGCCGCCACTCTGGCGCGAGACCAGGGCCCTGGACGAGACCTCTGAATCGCGCTCAAGTGAATGCGTGCCATCGTCGAGGCGGACCAGTTTCCAGCCGAGCTGGCACATGTAGCTGTCGCGAGGAAGGATGTTCAGATGCTTGACAGAAGTCTGAACCCATTCCTCCAGGTAGATGTTATCCTTTGCCAGGTCCTGGCTAATCGCCGAGTAGACTGCGTAGATGAAATCCCACTCCTTGTGATAGGGATCCATCTCCCAAAGCTTCTCCAGTATGACCGACTGCTCCTGGTTGGGGAGATGGCTGAAGAGCGTGGTATAGTACGCTGAGTGACGTTAGTGACTATTGATGAATATAACCTCTAGATGGTAGATATTTACCGCTGAATCCCTTGAAGCCGGTCATTCGGTTCTGGGATGGCTGTTGCTGTCCTTGGATCGCTAGCTCTATGGTGGCCGGCGCTTAGGAAGTTTTTTTGTTGTTTGGGTATTGGTTTGCCAATGGCCTTTGAAAATCTTGACTAATTTATGGAGGGAGTGTTCTGTGTGGGAAAGGGAAATGTGAGAAAGTGGAACGATAATTTGATTTTCTCAGGTGAAAGGGCTAGGGCAAGGGAGTGGTTTCATAGTTGCTTGGTAGATTCACGAGGAAGGCACCCCGGCGAGCAATTTCAGAAGAGAATCTTTTTAGAAACTCGGAGTATGAATGTTGTGGATATAATAATCATGCTGCAGGTCGAGTTGTTCTTTACAAGATACCCACCCTATAGGGATTTATCAGCAGCACAATCGTCGCAAACAGGCTGATCAGTGTTCTTGAATGCAGAGATGCTTAATCTTCCAATGTTGAAGCTTTAAATCTACTATTACTTCGCCTTCATACTACTTATCAGACCTTCTATATACAAGTGATAAAGAGGGCTCAAAAATGAATCGAAATAGGTACATCAACATTTACTAGTACAAGAATCTGGTTTCTGAAGTTCCATTCGGGGGTAGTATCAGCATGGAAGATGAGTATAGTCCAACACAGTGCTGAGACAACCGTTCGGGGTTTTCCAGATTATGAGAGCAGAGTTCTAGAATTTGGTTCTATAAACGAATAGCTGGCTCCAAGTTAGCCTCCCCGCCTGCCTTCCCGCACATGCTCGTAGCTCGTTGAGCTGAAAACTCTATTGTGACTTGTTCCGAATAAACAAAGAAGTTTCCTGGACCTATCTGCCCCGCTTTCCCTCTTTCTCTCCCCTTCCAGCTCCTCGTTATAATTTTCCCCCACAAATTCTCTCCCAATTCCTCCCTTTCCACATTCCTCCACACTCTCGGGACTCGATACTTCCTCTTTCTGTCAATCATTCCCAGCCCCCTCCACCTCGTTTCCAAAGTCTCACTTCGGGAATTGCGAGTCATCCCACTCCCTTTTCTTTGCATTTCCTGTGCCAACTCCTTTACTTTACCCCGTCACACTTCAAGAATTCAGCCTGAGCTAAAGAATCATCGACAATTGAGAAGATGGCGGTTCAGCAGTATGATGATTCAGCTATTGCCAAGTATCTCGGCAGCAAGTACTGGAATCATTTCGCGATCCAGCTTGGCCATTGGAATTCTATGAAGGTCATCATCATGAGCGGCCAAATGTTCAAGCGGATCCCTGATCCTGCCAAGGCAGAACTTGCCACGGAGATGGCGTAAGTATTACCTTGATTTGGTTTCTTCTCCTCAATCCAATGTTGCTCACCATCCACAACGACAATTAGCAAGTATCTGGGTGAAGAGGTCATGTACGCTCGTGACGCCGACAACGAAGAGGTCTGGATTCTCGGTCCGATGAACGTCATGAAGCGCGACATCACCATGGTCAAGGGCATTCCCATTTGGGACCCCAAGAAGAAACATGTGACCACGGTGTTCAGACTCCGCCGTCCTCCTAACGCCTACATCCTTTATCGCAAGGACAAGCATGGTGAGGTCAAGGCGGAGAATCCCGGCCTCGACAACAATGAGATTTGTATGTCCAATTTTCCAATCAATCGCTTGGAGCTATTCCTAAAAGCTAATGTACCAATTGCAGCCGTCATCATTGGCGCGATGTGGAAAGCAGAATCTTCCGAGGTTCGAGCTGAGTACCATGAGAAAGCACAGGAAGTCAAGCGCAACCTGATGATCGCCTATCCGGACTACCGTTACATCCCTCGTAAGTCGCATGAAATTCGCCGCCGTGCGCGCCGTGCCCCGCGCCTTCAGCTTCAGGCTCCTCAGGACATTGCACTCCTTAACAGAGCACATGCTCCAGCCTCTTTCCTATGGCAGCAACCCATGCAGCAAGCAATCCAGCAGGTTACCGGTGAAGAAAACAGCCCCAATAGCGAGATCACTCGTCACATCCCTCAATCTCAACGTTTTCTGCCTCCTATTGAGCGGGATTGGGCTCCTCCGAACATGGAAAGACTCGCTATTGAAGATGCCCCTGCCATTGACGACAATGACAACATGGACCAAGGCTGGAACTTTGACGACCAGCTGGAGGCCCTCTTGCGTGATATCTAAGCGCTCAAACGGCGTGACCATTGGTAGCCCAGACCATTGATTGCGTAAGTGAACACTAGTACCAAGCGATACCGGTTTCTACCATGAAGGCGTACGGCGCCAGAGGGCGGACATGAATAGACAGGTCAGTGAGCACATTCCTCCCTCCTTCGATTTGCGAAATCTGGAGAATGCAATCGACTGATATTGACAACCAGTTCAGACGCAGGTAACGACGACAGCATGAATTTCTGATGGCATTCGGCCGTCAGACTCATTCCATGCGCTACCTCATGATTTCAGTACCAGCTTGCTTTTGACACGATGATTTTCCGACATTCCGCCTTTTTACATTCTGCCACACCCGATTCTTTTTTGTGCTCGCAGAGCGCTGGCATTGACGACCCTCTGCGTTATCCTTAGGACTTGGTTCTCTTAAGTGAACGCTTGGCACTCGATGATGGACACTCACTGCAGGTTTTGTTCTTGGGAATGCACTCTGGGGTCAAATACTTGGCGTGGAGGAACTCTCGAGTTGGAGTATCTGGTGGTCGGTTGGCTCATTCAAGTAACCCGGACATCTCGATGGCTCCTCTGCTTTGGGAAATCATGCTACGGCGCACATTGGCGGCGCACATTGGGTGGCAGAAATCGAGCGGATATTGGACCTGCACAGGCATGGGTCAACACTCCCCAAGGACACTTCACACTACTCCCCATGGACACTTCACACTAGATAGTTAGATTTCTCGACACCTGTCACTTCGCGAATAGAAAACTGGGCACACTCTGGGTTCTCTCTTCTGCCTGAGTGATTCGTGATGGTAGCCAACGGCAAGCCAATTTGCAAGCGATCTTGAATTCCGGCTGTCTCTCCGGCTCATATGATGTCCTGGTTTCTAAGCAACTCGCAACGCCTTCAAGCGGAGTTGGCGAGCTGCAGAGAATGAGACTAGAATCCGGGATCTTGAAACGACAAGACTGGAGCGACGGCAAGCATTTCCAAAACGCAAAGGCACACTGACACAGGTAGCGGCAGGCATCTTACGTGCATTAGCATAGCGATGGCGAGAGATCCATCTCGAAGGAGCGAGAAGACTAAGACGGCAACACCTGCAAGCCACAACTGTCAGCAATTGGATGATACTCAGTATCGCGAAGCGACTCGAGCGAGCCAGACAAGCAAAGACACCATGTGCGGCGAAATCCGAGTTTCCGGGAACACAATGAACTGAGCATTTCAACAAGTTTGGTACGTCTTCGTGGACGTCACATGGCTTCAATATTGCTAAGCTAATCATGCCGGCGACAGAACCGATCGCCGAAGGCTTTTCTTCTTCAGGAACCCACCTGCCCCTCCCGGGCGACTCGAGGAAAGAATACAAATGCGGCAACGGTGTCCGTTCGAGAAGCAATGGGAGGCGAGGCTGGCAAACCATCCCGTCCCGAGTGACATCACTGGCGTCCGTTCCAGTCGCTGCTCCAGATAAAGGTACGGCAACGGAAGGCCGTGCCCACCTCTTTGTCGCCCGAGGGACCCAATGGACGGGCGCACATGAAGAAGGACCTGCCTGAAGAGATGGAGTAAGCTGGGGTGTACAAATGATAGCAGGATCGAAGGGTGCTGGAAGCTTTACAGGTGGAATGCTCCGCTGAAGAGGAGGGTATACAAGTTTGAACAAGGAAGCAGGGCCCAGCCTTCTGGCCCAAAGGCGGGTTTGGAACAGAAGAGGCAAGGAAATGAATACGTACCGCAATTGATGCCGGCCTTTTTGGTGACCAGGATCTGGCAGTCCTCACCGTGCTCGCACTTGGGAACGGTCCGCTTCCCAAGCAGCTTCGACCAAGACTGCTTTGCCTGAATAGGGTCAAAGACTTTCTCGGTGGAGGAGGAGCCGACGGGTTCTGAAGATCCCTCGAGTTTGTCCACGCTCTCATTCTCCGCATCGAACTCGTTCTTGGTCCTGCCGGTCTGCGGGACTCCCTTGATGCCCGACTCTGCAGACTGCTTGGTGTCAGGCTTCGAAGCGGAGCTGGGATCACTGCCATCTTCTGCAACATTGGGTAGATCGACGCCTAGGGTGGCCGCCTTAGGCTTGAAGAAGCCCTTCAGATTGCTTTGCGAGAGACCTGGCCCTGATTTCACGGAGTTTTCCCTGCCTAGAGCCAATTTGCCCTTCTTCTGTGGCCGTCCCGGTGATGTGGACGACTCTGCCACTCGTTTGGAGGGAGCGGGCTTTTGTGGAGATGCTGATGTGTTGGCGGATACTGCAGTCTGGTCCGCTGGCGTTGACACCGGAGCTGAGCTTTCGCTCGGGAGGCTCTCGTGGCTCACGTCATCGGCTGCAGGATTCGCAGGTTTGAGAATCTCTTGGCTGCTGGACTGTGAGGTCGCAGGGCTTGCCTTTGCCGATGGCGCAGCCTTCTTGAAGAACATATCCCGAATGCTTTGTCTGCGGTTAAACTCGGGGATGAGCTTTGCCGACGTGGGCAAAAGATCCTTGGATGTCCATTCTCGCTGTCGCTTGCCACTTTTGAACATGCCTGGCGGGTTCATGACATCTTCTACGTGGAGTTTGGAGCCGTCCAAGTCGACCATGTCACCCATCGTCGCATAGACAGGGCAGTGATCGGATCCTAGGAGACCCTCCTGAATATTGGCGTCGATAAACCAGTCCTTAATTCCAGAGCTGCATAGCACGTAGTCTATCCGACTCCCAAAGTTGCCTGGCCGTGCATTCTTCTTAGTTTCCCAGCAGGTGTACATGCCTGCGCGGGACGGATGGAACTCTCTGCAGAGATCCCAGAGCACAGGCTCCTCTCGGCCTTTGTCCCTCTCTCCAACAACACGGCCTCCAAATACCAGCTGGTTGAGAAAGCGCCGTGATGGGGTAGACAAGAAGTCGTCTATTGTCATGCCTTCCTTCCGTAGCCTCTCGGCTAGTCCCGCTGTGTCCAGCTCCGAGCAGATGATGTTGAGGTCACCGCAGAGAAAGACCTGCTTCCCCATGGCGACCAGGTTACGGACTCTGGTGTCAATGGCATCGATGTAGGCTTGACGAAACTCGTCCCTGGTTTCGTCTCGGTTGGCAGGGCTGTAAACTCCGATGAGAACGAAGGCTGGGAACTCGAGGATTACGCAGCGTCCTTCGGAATCAAGAGTCGCTTCGTCGACGGAGTCGGAGAGCTGGCCGGGCTTCGGGTAGCCGCCAATTTGCTGATCTAGAGGCAGATCTCGGAATTTGATGGAGGAGTTTGGAGGACTGAGAACCCCGGTGATGCCTTCCTCTGCTCGGATGGGACAGCATTTGGAGGAACGCGTGTAGATAGCCACGCCCGAGTATCCTGCGGTACTTGTCAGACTGGAGAAGAGCAACAATGGAAACGAGCCTAGCGAACCTTTCTTATACTTCGGTAAACTGAAGTAGACGTCCCACCCAGACACCAGAACCATGTCGTCCCTAAGGTCCTTTCGTTGGATCTTGGTCTCCTGCATGACGACGATATCGGCCTCTAACGTGTCAAACATGGCCTGAAAGTCTATTAGCTGGACTGGAATAGCAGGAGGATGGATGCGCCGGGAATGTCCCACCTGAAAGCTTCGGTTTTCTCTCCATGGCTGGTATCCAAATGGATTCCTAGGGGGGAGTAAGACAACAAAGCTCTGCAATGGACCGCTGAGTGGACCGCTAACCTTATGCCATTGACTGTGAACGCATTAGCAGCGTGGAGTGGCGCGACACAGGGTCCAGCGGCGGATGATATGCTTACCGTTCCAGGTGGTGATCCGGAGCGGCATCTTGTGCAGCACCTGACGAACCTCACAGATGTGTCTTGCCGTGACTTTCAAGCTCAAGACTCAAGTTGGAGAGGGAGAAAGAGGCACGGCAAAGCTTTTGAGCACGAGAGATCGCGCCTTGATATCACGATGGGATGGATTTGGCGACCCATTCGCCGAAGCGATCACTGATACAGCTCCTTAAGGTGTCAAGACGGATCACAGATTTGGCAGGCAAAGCAGGAAGTCAAGTCCAAGTTAATCCATAATCCACAGCCTCGATCTCTTGCTCAGTACGAGAGGCAGGGACGGCGGCGATTCAGTTGCTGTCCAAATCTCCAAGTTTCCCTTCGCACATGTCCGATGGAACCATGGAAAGCGTCACGCGCGATGCTGGGCCTCGCGCGATCACATGACTTAATTGGTGTACCTTGTGCCTTCCAGAATCCATATTGACGAGCAGTTGGCCTGTGCTCTCACCTAACCCGAGGTCTAGCCGAGAATGAGCCGATCGAGCTCTGACCTCACACCACCAACACCGACACTCAACCCTGGAATGGAGGTTAGCGTCCAAAAGCGGATCCAGTGCTTGCCTCATCTTTGCTTGCTGTTGGACAGCTCTCTCCGCTCCGTCATTGAGACACACCGCACCCTCCGAAACGAATCGTTTCCCGAGTATACCTACCACGATGCTCGCACAGCGCCAGATCGCTCGCGCTGCGCAGCGCTATACAGCGCAATTCCGTGCCCAAGCTCAGCGTCGTTTCGCCAGCACCCAAGAGAACGAGTTCATCCGCGAGCGCCGCCACGTCAAGGAGCACGCTGGCGCCACCACTGGTAAGGAAATCTTGAAGCCAGCTTCTGCTTGTTCCTTCTCAATCAATTGGTTACTTGAAGGCTGACCAGGCAACAGAGCTGTGGCGCAAGATCTCCCTTTAGTAAGCCGTCCGCCCTCCTACCCTTTGCCGACTGCGTGGTTTTTGTGATGCCGCCGGATGCAATTGTCCGACACCAACCAGCTATCCCCATCCCACGGCGACAGACATGGCAGTATAGTCAAACGGCAGGGTGAAAGCCAATGTCAGAACCGAGAACGAGGGACGGCAACAATGCAGAAAGCTCTAAGAACCAAAGAGAGGCTCCAATGCATGCTAACAATATCCCCCTTTCTCCTCAGCGCCGTTCCCCCCGCCCTACTCCTCGCTGGCCTCAACGCCTACAATCTCTGGAACGAGCATTGGGAGCACTGGTCTCACATGCCTCCTCTCGAGGAGCGCGTCGAGTACCCCTACCAGAACATTCGCACCCGGAACTTCCCCTGGGGTGACGGTGACAAGGCATGTTCAAGAGTCCCCATCCGCCTCTTTGGAAAACGAGAACTCCTTTCCTCCATCGTTTCATTGCGATAGTGCTAACACATTTTTCCAACAGACCCTTTTGTACGTTCTGACCCCGCCAAACCATTTCCCTATGCAGGGCAACGATGATATGAATTATGCACACAACCTCCCCCCTCATGAGGTGGCTCGGTGGACTAACCCTTTTGTGACAAACCAGCTGGAACGACAACGTCAACTACCACAACAAGGACAAGAGCACGTAAATGGGCTGATCCATCTGTCCGTCGGATGGGGGGTTGGGGTTGTCCCATGTATACAGGGAGCGAGTAGACGATTGAGAACGGACAGGCATTCTGTACATGTTTCCTAGAGTTAAAGAATTGTGGCCCAAGTGTTCTGCAAGTTTTGCTCTGCTGTTTGCATATGGCGAGCTGTGTTGTGAATGCCGGAGCTCAAGCTCACACGAGCACAAATTGGACGGTAGAGTGACTCAAGATGGACGTGGCGGGCAGCTTCAGGGATACCATGGTAAGGACCGGGGGATTTACCTGATATTCTCTCCTCACCACAGCCCATTCCTCCCAGGGACGCCTACTCGGGCTTTTCCATTTGACGGCACTCCCAAAGCTAGAAGCCCAGACACCGCTTGTCCTAATGCACTCCGGCTTTGCCTGATCTATCTAACCAAACAGTCCGTCCCTCAAACCAAGCGCCGACACCAAACTCGACACTGGAACTTACAACACCCGCCCTTCCTGCCGCATGGCCAGGTACTTATCCGCACACTCCTCCGCGCGCAGATGATCCCCCTGGGCCTTGTACAGGGTAGCCTTCTTCGCCATGACCTCGCAGCGCTTCTCAATGTCCTCGGCGGCTGAGAAGCACCCGAGGGCTGCGTCCAACGCCTCTTGCGCCCGTGCCAACAATCCGTCCCGGTCATCATCACCAGCCAAAGTCTTCCCGCCCCGGTGATGTGATGACGCCAATCCTTTCCTCGCCTTTGTCTCGCCCGCCAAACCCACCCAGGCGTCCGCAAGAAGGGCGTACAGCGTGCCCGCGGCAAAGGCGACGTCAGCCTCAAGACAGCGGGGGAGGACGGCAAGTAGGAGGTCGGCGGCGGCGGCGAACTCGCCTAGCGCGCTGATGAGGATGTGTGCGAGGGCGCCCACGGCCTGCCAGAGCAAGGGAAGGAGCCGGGCGCGCCAGGCAATGCTCGCCGCGCGCACGGCAATGCTGAAGCCCTTTTCCGGTCTGCCGACGCGGTCAAACAGGTGCGCCTTTGCGAGCAGCAGCCGCACGCGCAGGGCAATGTCCCGCCTGTCCTCGCGCAGCTCGGCTATGAGCCGCTCGATTTTGGCGAAAGCGGCGTCAAATTCCTGCCGCCGTGTCAGGGCCTCGATGTGCAGTGTGTCGATGATCACGAGCAGGTCAGGGTCGACGTCCTCGGGCCCGGACTGCAGGAGCTGAAAGAGCAGAGATTCGGCGGCGTCGAGGTTGTTGTAGTAGAGGCTGCGGCGCAAGGTGATGAGCTCGCGGTATATGTGCCAGTATTGCTTCGACTTTGCCGAGCGGAGCGAGTTGCTGTCTATGCTGTCTAGTTTCTCAAAGGCTTCCTTGTATTTGCCCTTACCGGCAAGCAAGCCCGCGAGACGACAAATGACCTGTAGTTCATCGCTAAAGACCGAGTCGGGCTGATAACACCGGAGAAACACCTCACAGGTCATGGCCGACATGGCTGCCAGGCCCAGCCTGTCCCACAATGTTATTGCCAGCGAGAGCTGCGCCCCCATCATGGATCTGATATTCCGCCCCACAAGAATCTGTGAGCTCCGCACCATGTGTTCCAGAGCAGTCGAGACACTCTCACCATCTGACAATCCGAGCTTGGCCTCGGCGAGTAGCGAGGAACTCCATAGTTGCCCCATCCCTGTCTCCTTTGCTTTGGCTCGGAGGAAGGACAGTGACTCTTTGCCGCTTCCAAGCATGCTGTTGTCCTCGAGCTCTCGGACAAGGTCCGGATGGGCTTTGCTGAAGTGAAAGAACCAGTTAAGCGCAAAGTTCAGACAAGAGGTGTCCCTATTCTCTCTGGCAGTTGAAACGGCCTCGAGCATGGTCGCCAGGGCCTCTTTGTGGCAGCCAAAATCCGACTGCACGATCGCTAGGTTCATCAGGGCGTATTGGTAGAACAGCCTATCCCGGTTCTGCATGGTGTAGTCAAAGTATCGGTGGAGGTAGTCAAACGATGCTGGCAAGTCGCCTGACCGCCATGACTCGGAGAAGCTGGCGATGTTAGCTCCATGATATCAGCAGTATAACATAATACACTGCGCTTACTGCAAATAGTGTGACAAACTCGGGACGATTCGACTGCTCTTTAACAGGCTCTGGAACCGGTCCCTAATATCCGGTGGCACTCTGTTTCCATATTCTGCGTCGGTTAGCCGGACCGGGCTGTCTGCCTCAGCGAGAGAACCACTCACTCTGCACCAAGGTTATCTGAAACTCTAAAAGGCGCTCAATATCGTCGGTGCTCACAGGCGGGGACGTGTCCTGGTCCTCTAAAAGAAGCGTATTCCCATAAGCTGCCACAGCAAGCTCGTCGGTCTGAGGCCCCCATTCGTGCTCGCCAGCGAGGAGTACCGAATCAAAACTGAGCCGGTTGAAGTGAGGATTCCGCCGCCGCCAGTAGGCGGCTGTAGGCTGCCGGTACTTGACAAACGTGACCCACAGCTCCGACGCGTGGTCGAACTGCAGAATTGAGAACTCATGGTCCAATCTCCTGATAAAAGCTCCAAGCGGAGAATTGCGCGAGAGAAGCACGCCAGACGGAGGTTCCTCTCCGCGCTCCGCCATCTCGCGCAGCTCAGCCTTGGTCCTCATCAGGAGGTTCGGCAAGCGGCGAAAGAATTCATGGAGGGCGTGCAGCGAGTCAATTCCCCAGAGTTTCTCCAAGAACCTGTCCCACAAACGACGGCCGGGAAGGCGGTCGGCGGCGGCAAATGGACTCAGCACTTGCTCAAAGTGGTGGATGGATAGGGTCAGCTTGATAATGTCGTCGGCCTTCTTCCATCGAGCGGCGGTACTCGCCGATGGGCCGGTCAAGTCATGGTCCAGAATGTTGGACGTGAGGAAGTTGATGACTGGAATGAGGGCGTCATTGGGCACTGCTCCTTGCACGTAGAGCTCAATGAGCGCCAACAAGCCGACTTTGGCAGGGGCCAGGTACCGGGACATGGCTTCGAGTCATTTACGAGAAGATTGAAGCCTGGCCGTGCTTGCAACCGGTGAGAATTCAGAAGTTGGAGAAGTTCGATGGCGCCAGTGGCAGCTTAGCAACGGAAAGTAGCAGTCGCTTGATAGGAGACTCCGGCAACATCACACTTTCCATCTAGACATATCTGGCAAATGTTGCATATTTCAGGTGATCATGAGCCCAAATATCGCAACGGGCATGTAAAATACCAGGTAGACGTCGACTTACTGGCGACCTGTCACAGGAATAAGGTTAAAACAGTTGTGGAGCGCGCTACGGTAATCTGTTGCAGCAAAGGTGTCACTGTAAACTGAAGCAGTGCCACGGCTATGTAAGTGAGCCACAGGCCACATTTTAGACACCATTCCACCGTAGTATGTTGCCCCATCCTTTTGAATTTATTGGACAATTGTGGCTGAACTCGGCATTCCGCTCACGGACCCTCAAAGTAACCACCAGTCCCATCTAGGGTGCGGAAATGAAATTTCAAATTGCTGAAATTTCAAGATTTTATGAGCAATTCGCAATTCACCCCAGGCCCTGAATTTCAATCATTTCAGACAGAGGGGTTGTTACATAAGACAGGGCGCTCTCAGGCACTGAACAAGCCTAGGGTAGGGCCAGACCTAGGCCTGGCTGGGTGGTGGAAGGGAGGGTTCTGTGTTAATAACCCTAACCCGGGGCTAACCGCCTGCCCGGTCTGGTTAGCGTTATTTTCATGAAAGTTCCATTGCGAATTCATGGCTGACTGTGAAATGAAATTCGATGGAGCCCCTTGAAATTCCGCACCCTAGTCCCATCAACCTCATCAAACTAATCGACCGTGTAGCAATTATGGATCATCATTCCGTCGCTAAGGGTGCCATTATGCGTAGGGTAATGAACCAGCGTCAGTATTGAACCAGCCCCACAGGCAATCGTAGACGGGCCAATCAAATCTGTTGCCAAGGGTTGGCTGCAGGCTCTGTGTGGCTATCCTGTGGCGCTGGTTCATTACTGACGGTGGTTCATTACCCTACGCATAATGGTATACGTTGAGATACTTTGTATTTACAGCTACTCTATGCACAAACAGATTAAATCAACAGCCGTTCGGGTCAACATAAACAACAGCCTGCCAATGCCATTAACTATTTCTCATGAGACGTCAGGGCTGTGTTGGCTTGCCAAATGCCTGGCCGGGGCCAGCCACATGCACAATTGCACATGACATCCGCTTCGAGAGACACCACTTCCCCCCTCCAATCTTCCATCCCCCTGCTACACCGCTCCGCCCTTTCGACATCGTTCCAGCCTTCCAGCTGCCCCAACTCCACAAGCACACAAGTCCATCATGAGTCCAACCACCCAAGCCCTCGAATACTCAGTTGACCAAGAGATAGCCGACTTCTTCACCAAGACAACAGCGACCCGCTCAGCATGCGATGCCCGCGCAAAGGAGCTCGCCGGGGGCAACGTTACCCCGGTAGCCGTGCAGGGCGTATGCAGCTACTCGGTGTACGCCGGGCCAGGGGATGAGTTTGTCGTTCAGTTCCGGCTTAAATCCCTCCAGCTGAGACCAGACATTGCACAGCTCGCGCGGGAGATCTACGGTCCTTGGCGCCGGAGGTCTCATTCCATGGCCAGCTTGGTGATGAGAATGAGGATGTCGATAGTGGAAAGGAGCCGCTCTTGGTCTATGTCATGAGCCGAGTGCGCGGTGTTAGTCACCTGGACTTTGTTTTGGCGCATGGCTTGCCCCCTAACGCGCCAGAGAACTTCACATGGAGGAGGAATCTCATTGAGGATGTTGCGAGGTATATCCAGATCTAGCTGCTTCAAAGTTACGTCGACTGCTTATTACATTGTACAGGTTCTTTGCCCTGGCATGGAAGGCGCCGCAGCATATTACCCCCTCTGAACGCGACATCCTTCGCTATACATATGAAACGGAACTGCGGCTCTTGCTCACCTCTCTACCAGCCCGTTTCCACCCGGTGATCCAAGATTCACTCGATATACGCTGCCAGCTGTCTTCTCTCTGCCCATGGTACTCCTCCACAAGGATTTTGGTGCCTGCAACATCATGGTAGATAGCGTGTCATTCCATCTGGTTGGAGTGATCGACTGGGCTGAAGCTGAAGTTGGGCCCTTTGGACTAAACCTGCACTCTATACAGTTCCTGATGGGCCATTTCCATCTTAAACATGGCTGCATCAGATATGACGATTACGACGTTTTAGAGCAGGCCTTCTGGCATACGTTCCGCGAGGAAGTAGGGGGCTTAGGGTAAGAGGAAATCCAAACGATCAAGTCTGCTAGAGTCGTCGGGCTGTTGCTGTCATTGGGCTTTACCAGCCGTCTGGCCAATATGCCAAAGCCAGAGCCGATTCGAGACGACGAAAGCGGTGCCTACAACATGCGTCACTTGGACGGCCTGCTCATCAATCCAGCCACAAGGTTCACGTAAAGATTAGTACCGGACTGAGAGTTCAGGGGTCTTTATAGGTGTGATGAGAGATAGCTAGTTCCGCCGCCAGTGACTCTGCTAGCATACACTCTCCGGACCCTGATCACGAACTGTCCTGTGGCGTTATTGCGTTAACATATGCTATAGTGTCAATAGGGTGGTGGAACCCTTTTCCCAGCTCTTCCCAACCGCCAAGCCTGGTGGTAGCTAGCCACGAGAGAAACCAACACGTGTAGTAAAGATAGGGAAAGAGGTATCACAATGCGTTTAAGAAGAGAGTGTCAGCAAAAAGCCATCCATCCCATGGGGGTCCAACAGTATACTCCAACCCAGTGTCCCTAGCCATGTCCGAAGCGCCGATACTCCCCTCTGAAATGCAAAAACGCGCAAAATCAAAACGCCCCTAACTAATGAACGCATAAGAATCAGCGGCTGCGATCCTCTTCTGAACCCTGTCGCCTCGTCGAAAAGGACGTGCTGCCCCCGAAACGGCTGGCCAGCGCGCTGAACCAGACGTCGCGGTTAGCCTGCCATTCCTGTCTTGATCCTTGAGACCAGGAAGTGCCCCTTTCGAGATCATCGAGCCGGTTCGGGGAAGGAAGCCTGTTCTGGAAAGATTCAGAAGTGTCGCTGCTGTCATATGAATCATCGCGGAATGGCTCGTATTGAGGGCCCGATCCAGAGCCCCGAGCAAGTGATCTGACAACATCGCCTTTGCAAATGGGACACGTCCGTCGTCGCGTGGTAAGCCACGGGGTTCTATCCTCAGGTCAGTACCGCACAATGCTGATGAAAGCTGGGAGTATAATCCTTACATGCACTCGGGATGAAATTCATGTCCGCAGGGGAGACTCATAACCCTGCTGACACCGTCGACGTATTCCTCCAGGCAGACGACACACTCAACTTGCCTGCCCATGTACTTCTTCCATTCGCTAGAACGGCGCTGTTTCTTCTCTCGGGAAGGGGACGCCGGGGCCTGCAATGCATCGTCGGTCCTTAACAAGTCTCCAGATTCCGGGACACCGGTAGTAGTGCGGGACCGGGGCCGCGACCGGCCTTGAAGTAGGGGCGTTGTGGGTGAAGAGCTGGTGGGAGACGGTGTGGTTGGGGACTGGCTTGGTGAAGCGCCGACTGTGTGATAGGTCCGCACCGGGAGTCGATCGACCACCGACTTTGGGGCTCTCCACCTCCGCATGCGGATCTTTACTCGTAATATGAGCAGGGCATACACGACCGTCAGTGTTATCAATGGGCTGATGACGAGAACTAAAAGAGTGTCAAAGAAAGGGCTGGCGCTTCCCGTGGGCGTGATGGTGATCCAGAGGCCTTCGTGATCGTTTATGCCGTCATTGCCGCCTGACGCTGGGAGAGTTGGTGCTGATATTCCAGTTGTGGAACGTACGAGATCAGGCGACGTGGCGTCTGCGCCGCGGTCCTCTCCGTCTTCATCACCGAAAAGCTTAGAAAGAAGTCCGCTACGCACGCCGGGAGACGAATCAGCTTTCCCCAGCCCGGGCTTCTTGGCGTCTTCCACCGTCCCTGGAACATATTCGCCGCTTCCTGGCGTAATACTCCCACCCTTTGGCCCGCTGGTATCTGTAGATGACCCGCCAGCCCCCTCAGTCTGCCTTACAGAAGCCACAGAATTGCTTGACTGGGCCTCAGAGTGCCTTGAATCATGGGATGAAGCGCTGTTGGTTTCTGCAGAAGATCCAACAAGGTCGGGATCCCGCCAATCTTGGACTCCAATCTGAAAACCGTCGCCGGAAGGTTTACCAGAGTCCGAGGGGGAATTGCTCGTGTCACCGTCTTTTGGTGCTTTATCAAGGCCATTTTTGGCAAGTTTGCCATTACCAGCGCTCCGATCGTCGACCCATTCCAGTCGGCCACTGCTCGGAGGCCGGTTACGGTCAGAGGGAGCACTATAGCTGGCTCCCCAGCGGAACAGCCAAGAGAGCCACCTCCTGTGCGGAGCACGTGGCTGTTTGTCCTCGCGTACTGAGCGCTTCCCAGTGTATTTCATCGCCGGCGGCATTCTCGAAGCGGCTTGCGGGGTTGACCTTTTTCGTCTCCCGGCTTTGGCAGACTGCTGCACCTTCAAGATCGGGTTGCCGTTCTCGTCCAGGATGTCCTCGATGAAACTCCCAGGCTGCATCAGAGATGATAGGAGGTGGGCGGTCGTTCGAGAAGTAAAAACGGAGGGTATTGTAACATTGTCGACATTGCCACGCGCAAACATCTGGATCAAAGGGCCCCCCTTTTGGTTGTCCCCCACAATCAGGGCAATAGCGCCACGACGTTGTGCCCACTTAACCTTTTCGAGAAAGCCGCAGCCACCTCTACTCAGAAGAGCGATCTTGCCTGTAATTTCCGCTGTCTCTTGGATCGATTGAATATCGGCGTGGCTCGATTCCGAGGTTGCCGGCCCATCAGTAGATGATGACCTCGAGTGCTGGAGGCCTTGATGGAGATAGTCGTCCGTTCCGTCGTTTACGGGCTTCGTCTGGCTCTGGCTTTGGGTCCTCTTTCTCTCTGTGCCATCCCGATCGTCCATGGGCCCCTTGCCCGTGTCGCCTCTTTTTGTATGCTTAGCATCGATGGGAACGGTGGCAGCCTTGGCTGGGGACAGCCCCTGATCTGCGGCCTTGATGGCTGTTTTAAGCCTCCCGTCCTCCCAGCCTGGGATGTCGCTGCAGCCCAGCTCGCCTTCCCCCTCGCCTTCCTGCAGCGTTTCGTCGGAGAAACCACTCCCAATCCATAGCTGCCCGCTCAGTCCTTTTGCAGGCAGCGGCGGACCAAATGCGGCTGGCCTTGCCGGGAAGAAAGTGCTGTTATCATCGGTAAGGCTGATGGCAGCGCTCGGTGGGAAGAGAGAGAAGGGCCCGGTGAAGGAGAACAAGCTTCGAAAGGCTGATTTCTGAGCTGCGGATGATGTTGCAGACGGGCCAGGACGTCGGATCGAACTGAGAGATCGGCAAACGAGGAATAGGGATGCGGAGAAGAAGAGGACGAGGATGGCCACCCGAGGAGGCCGCATTGTGTGGGACCGCTATCACGCGAAGCAAGAGTGGGCTCGGTGGGGTGACTTGGTAGCCCGGCTCAAGCGGGCGAATGTCTTTTGGAAAACAGATTTGGTGCTAGTCGTTGGGCTGATCGAGGGTGCCAGACAGTACTGCGCCTGGTCATTCGTGGGAAACGCCTAGAGACGTTGTTGTGGTTTGGGATATGGTAGGGAAGGAAAACAGTTGGGACGAGACGAGGAGATGAGGCGGGAATGATGACGAGAAGACGGCCCAGGCGCGATCGATTGCCAAGTGTGGGGATCCGATTTGCCGCAAACAGACCAGGAAACCACCTGCCCGGGTCACGCACCGCTTGCTTGAATGACGAGACCAAGTGGCTTCTGATGCGATACCTAAACCTTCGCCGAGGCTAACTGATACTATAGAAAGAAGACTGGCTCTAGCGAAGCTGTCTTATCTCTGGGCATCGAGCTTTTGCCAGGTATCTGCGATATGTACGGAGGGTACTCCGTACTGCGTGGCGGCCTTCCTTCCTTGTGAGAGTTGAGCGAAGCCGATGGGACCCGAAGAATGAGCTTAACGTTAAAGCTAACCTACTGTTACAGGGCTAGCTAGCTGGTGGTGGGTTCTCCGCTAACATTTAGTGTAAGTTACAGGCATTCCCTGCATTACACTACCATCTTGCCTGTGGGTATCAAATGCCTCTCTGATTCCAGGTTATGCTGAATTATCTGGCAAACCTCATCTTGTTGAATCTATATGAAATCAAGGATCTCTTGGGATGCCTCTCTATAGAAGACAATGGGGGTGAGTGCCTTCCCGAGTGGTGATACGGAGTAAAGCCTGCGAAGTACTCGGTACCTTTCATCTTTTAACTTTGAAATGCGATGGGTCGTTCGACGAATGGGGCTGTTCTATTCCTTCTCATCGCTTAGATGATTCATAGGCGGCCGGACTCACAAGATGGTGAATCTGACACTAGACTACCAAACCCCAGATAGTCATTACCTTAGGCGGTACGGAGTATCCGTACCTGAAAAGAAACTGCCCGGGTGACACATCGCGGCGGTTTATACCGGTTTACAAACGTACGATACCTGTAGACTTAGGCTTTACAGCTGTTCCGGGCACTGAACTCAACGAATTGATGACTCTTTACCTAGAACTTGTGGCGAAAACGTCTTGTAAAGCTGCCAGGTATGCTTCGTTAGCTTCATGAAGTGTTGAATGGAGGAGTGGTCGCGCGTCTGCATTGCCTCTGCCCTGTACGAAGGTACTGAATTGTACTGTAGTTGTCCGTAACTTACAGGGTTACGTAACAGGGATAAACGTGTAGGTACTCCGTAGCCAGGGTTAGGTGCTGCGGGCTGCGGCCGCATTAGATGTGGGGCTCAGAATTAGCCAACCAACTTCCATTGACTCATGCATCGACCCCTCCTTGCCCGGCAGAAAATTGTTGCACGCCCAAAGGCCCCTCTGGAAGAGTCACCTCCTTGCCCCTCCCTGACCATTGACCCCTCTATAAGTTCTGGATGCTGATTTCGTCGAGGCGACTGGTCAGCCTGAGACGGGTATCTCTGCTCAAGCTTCCATCGGCATACATACTGCCGTCGCCTCGATTCTATTCTCTCCAACGACCAGCAAACATGGCACCCGACGCGGCTGCTGCCGCTGCAGCGGATGCGCAAGCTCCAAAGAAAAATGGTAAGCATTTAAAAACATCTTGAGGAGCTTTTATGCAAGCAGACACTGATCCTCCGGGAATTCACAGAGCAGAAGGAAAAAGCCAAGGCCGATAAAGCAGCCAAATTCGCCGCGAAGCAAGCCAAGCTGAAGGAGCAGCAGCAGCAGCAACCCGCTCCTAAAGCCGCTGCCCAGCCAGCTCCCAAGGCCCAGGCCCCCTCCCTTCCTCAGTATGAGGACCAAACTCCCGCCGGCGAGAAGAAGGTTATCCAATCTTTCGATCACCCGCATTTCCAAGCCTACAATCCCAAAGCCGTCGAGTCTGCGTGGTACGCATGGTGGGAAAAGAGCGGCTTCTTCCAGCCGCAGCCACCTCGGTCCGAGAACGCTGGGCGGTTCGTTATCCCTCTGCCGCCGCCGAATGTCACAGGCGCACTCCACTGTGGTCATGCCTTGGCCAACTCTCTCCAGGACACCTTGATCAGATGGTACCGCATGAAGGGCTATTCTGCTCTGTGGGTGCCGGGTTGTGACCATGCCGGCATCTCAACCCAGTCTGTGGTCGAGAAGATGCTGTGGAAGAAGGAGAAGAAAACCCGCCTCGAGCTTGGCCGTGAGGCTTTCACGAATCTCGTTTGGGAGTGGAAGGGTGAATATCATCAGAGGATTAATAATGCCCAGAGGCTGATGGGAGGGTCGATGGACTGGAGCCGCGAGGCCTTCACAATGGACGAGAATCTCACCGCCGCGACCATGGAGACCTTCTGTCGCCTTCACGACGAAGGCTACATCTACAGATCCAGCCGCTTGGTTAACTGGTGCACTCACTTGAGAACCGCGCTCAGCTCGCTTGAGGTGGAGAATAAGGAGATCACAGGCCGCACCATGCTCGATGTGCCGGGCTATGACCGAAAGGTCGAGTTCGGTGTCCTTACCTACTTCAAGTACCCCATCGACGGCACCGACCTGACGATTGAGGTCGCGACGACCCGTCCTGAGACCATGCTGGGCGACAGTGGTATTGCCGTCAGCCCCGGAGACCCACGTTACGCACATCTCGTTGGCAAATTTGCGCGCCATCCCTTCACAGACCGGTCAGTGGAAGTCTGAGCAAACTAAACTTCGTCATACTGACATGATACAGCCTTATGCCTATCGTCGAAGATAGCTACGTCGATCCGGAATTCGGTACCGGAGCCGTCAAGCTGACGCCCGCACATGACTTTAACGACTACAAGCTCGGTGAACGGCACAATCTCGAGTTCATCAACATCCTGAATGAGGATGGAACGCTCAACGAGAATGCCGGCCCCATGTTTCAAGGGCAGAAAAGATTCCACGCCCGGTATACTGTCGTCGAGGAGTTGACAAAGCGCGGCCTCTTTGTCAAGAAGGAGCCGAACGCAATGACTATTCCCTTGTGCGAGAAGTCAAAGGATGTCATTGAGCCGTATATGACGCCGCAGTGGTGGGTTCGCATGGATGAGATGGCCGACGCAGCCCTGAAGGTCGTCGAGGAGGGCCAAATCAAGATTTCGCCCGAAAGTGCACGGAGATCCTATGTCAGATGGTTATCCAATGTTAACGACTGGTGTATCTCTCGACAGCTATGGTGAGTATCGCGCCGTTTTTCATGTATGTCCGTATTCTCCCCGCTAATTGTGTCTTCCAGGTGGGGCCACCGTATTCCGGCCTATCGTGTCATTTTTGAGGGCGAAGATGATCGCGAGACCGATAAGTCTGTCTGGGTTGTTGGAAGGACTCAGGAAGAGGCGCTCTCCAAGGCGGAGGCGAAGTATTCGCCCAAGAAGTTCCGCCTAGAGCAGGATCCTGACTGTCTCGACACCTGGTTCAGCTCGGGACTGTGGCCCATGTCTATCCTTGGCTGGCCCAATACCGAGAGCAGCGACTTTAAGAACTTCTTCCCGACGAGCATGTTGGAGACTGGATGGGATATTCTCTTCTTTTGGGTCAGCCGGATGATCATGCTTAGTCTCAAGCTAACCGGCAAGGTCCCTTTCACGGAGGTCTATTGTCACAGTCTTATCCGAGACTCTGAGGGCAGAAAGATGAGCAAATCGCTCGGTAACGTCATTGATCCCCTCGACATTATCAATGGAATCGAGCTCGAGGCACTCCACGCCAAGCTTCTCACTGGCAACCTGAAGGAAGATGAGGTTGAGCGCGCTACCAAGTACCAGAAGACGGCATTCCCCGGCGGTATTCCTGAGTGCGGAGCAGACGCCCTCCGGTTCACCCTGTTGTCCTACACCACGGGAGGTGGCGACATCAACTTTGACATCAAGGTGATGCACGCTTACCGGCGGTTCTGCAACAAGGTGTGGCAAGCGAGCAAGTATGTCTTGGGTAAACTGCCTCGGGATTTCGTCCCGAATCCCAAGCTCAACACATCGGCTCTCTCCTTGCCGGAGCGGTGGATCCTGCATCGTATGAACGCTGCGGTCAAGGGCATCAACGAAGCACTTGAAGCCCGCCAGTTCTCCACCAGTACCAAGCTTGCGTATCAATTCTTCTACGACGAACTCTGTGACGTCTTCATCGAGAACAGCAAGGGCATCCTGAGCGATGGTTCTCCTGAGGAACAGCAGAGCGTTCAGCAGACCCTATACCGGACACTCGATGTCGCATTGCGTCTCATGCACCCCTTCATGCCCTTCATCACGGAGGAGCTCTGGCAGCGGCTGCCACGCACCGCGGAGGCCGTGGCACCATCCATCATGCTTGCGCCGTACCCCGAGCCAGACAGCACTCTTGACTTCCCCTCGGACGCCGAGGACTACGAAGTTGGACTCCGGTGTGCAGGCGGTATTCGTTCTCTCTCTGCCGACTACAACATTCGCTCAGATGGACGCGCATTCATCAAGGCGTCTTCAGCTGCTAGCCTGGAGAAGGTCAGCTCACAGCTCCAATCTATCAAGACACTGTCTGGGAAGAGCATCGCAGAGGTTAGTATCCTCGGCCCAGACGCCGACGATGCTGCAATTCCCAAGGGCTGTGCTGTTTATGTCGTCTCTGCCGACGTGGCTGTCTTGCTGCAAGTCAGTGAGCAGATCAAGGATCTCGACGCCGAGATCAAGAAGATCACGACGAAGCTGCAGAAGACGAGCGTTGCGATCACAAAGCAGCAGGAGCTGATGGGACGCGAGGGCTTTGAGAAGGTGAGCGATGTGGTTCTGACGGCGGAGAAGAAGAAGCTGGCCGATGCCCAGGCAGCCAAGGAGAATTACGAGAGAACTTTGCAGGAGTTTAGCAAGCTGAAGCTCGCGAATAGCGCATAGCTTGATGCTGGATTGGGCGTTTGAGGGAAAGGGACACTGGCTCTGGACGTTAGATTCGTCGATACTCCCTTGTGTCATTATAGATCGGAAGCGTTTTTCTATTTCTCCCTTTCCCTATTCGTGCTGTATGCTTGTAGGCTTGCACGTAGGTGGACTTGCTCCATACGCCCAGAATCGACGGAATGGTCATTGATCGCGCCTTCACAAGTCGAGCAAGATCCCGCTTCTACTGTGTAGTCGTTGTGGGGCATCGCCAAGAAAGGTGGAGTCGGATTCTTCAGCCACAGCACAGATTTAGCCACATATGGCTGGAGCATTCAACAGCCCTAACGACGGAAAACGCTTGGCCACACATTCCCAAAATTTCGCGACCGCAGACCTGTGAGAACCTGCACCTCATCACCACGCTCCCTGTCGACGACGAAGCAGGTAAGTTCTATCCACCGCCATACATTCTACAGCTAGGTACAATTCTAACATAGTTTGCTTTGTGATGTAGAGCATCCGCCAAAATGAGTACGTTGGACCCTCTTCCATTGCGATTGTCCGTTATCTTGGTCGCCCGATATCCCGATGCCATTCACTGCCCCGATACCGAGCACCTGATTCCTCGTTTCCGACGCGCCGTGTGGCTGTTGGATTGAAAATGCATCTTGTTCTCGTTCCTCGCTACTTTGCCCGGCGCTTTTCGACGAACATTTGGATTGCATGAGCGGGAAGTTGTGCTGACACTCCACGACAGCTAAGGGTACCTCCAGCTTCGGCAAGCGGTATGTTGAATGCTTCAAAACGGGGAATAAACCTCCAAATGATCGCTAACCGCCATCTCAGCCACAACAAGACCCACGGTCTCTGCAGACGCTGCGGGTAAGTCGATCCGAACCTCGATTCGACCGACGATACGATAGCTATCGATGCGAGCGTATTACGGAGAGCATGACTCCGTGTTGCGAGACAGGAACTGACAACGTATTGTTTCCACCAGCCGCCGGTCCCTCCACAACCAGAAGAAGGTTTGCGCTTCGTGCGGCTACCCGGCCGCGAAGACACGCAAGTGTACGTCTCCAACATGCGCAAATATTCCACTTCATACGCAACAGATTGGGGGAAGCCGATCGCTGACATAAGGGGCGCGACAGACAACTGGTCCGAGAAGGCGAAGCGCAGAAAGACCACCGGCACCGGCCGGATGCGGTACCTCAGCACAGTCTCCAGGCGGTTCAGGAACGGCTTCCGGACTGGCGTACCCAAGGACGCCCACGGACCTAAGGTTTCTTCTTCATAAAGGGTTGTCTTGGCAGACGGGGGCGTGGACGATGGGACGGGTCGTTTTCGGCGAGCGGTGTAATAGGGGCTGGACACTTTTCGGACGGACCTTCTCGCTTTTTGCTGCTACATCACAAATGGGATGATTTCACGCGGGACTAGGTTCAACGGTCTAAGCATGCAGCAACGGTCATGAAAAACGGCGTAACGTTTGCGAACCAGGCACATTTCTCGCTTCATGCTGCGGAGTCTGTATGAGGGGCCGAGGCGGAAGTCTTCTTCGACATGCGTCGAAGACTTTAGATCAGCCGGTCAAAAGGCCCAAGCTCCAGCGTGACGCGGAGCCCAAGAATGTGACTTGGAATTACTGGGGTATCAATCGTCTATTACTGGCCTCGTTCGAATACTCGAACACCACCGTCGCCCGCGACATGGTACAGATACTCGTGGTCTTTTGTGTCGAGATTCCCTCCTCCATGCGTGATTCTGATGACGCCGCTTACATCCTTTGCGGTGCCGGTGTCCAGTAACCTCAGGCTAAGCACTGTATCCGCCTCATGTGCTAAGCTCAGTGCCAGCCAGGCATGATTCTTTTCGAGAGTGGTCTGTTGCTCCTTGATAAGGGGGTCGTCAGCAGCCAATGTGACGACGGCAGCGTCCGTTTGCTGCATTGTAGGCATCACCTGCTGTCAGCGCCTGTTTCCCGTGTGATTCGATTCCGCCATAGCACGGGAGTCAAGACATACCTCTCTCAAATCCATCAACGCATCCCTCACCACAACAGCGGGGGGTGAGTCGCTCTGAGAGTCTGAGCCTGCAGGCGCAGCAACAGCCAGCAAGAAGTCCAGACCATCAATGACGAGAACCACTTTCTTCTCCTTCCCCTCCCCGTTCCCATCCACACCAGAACCTGAGGAAGACGCCCCCTTTCTAAGCAACTCCAACACTTCCCCCACCACCCTGCTCAGATCCTGCATAACCGTGACGGCAGACCCAATCCCAATCTCATTTCCATGACTAGTAATAGAAGAAGCCGTCAAAGTCCGCATCCACCCCTTTCCTCCTGCTCCTCCTGCTCCCCCGGGTCTCGCTGCAAGTGGCGCATTCCGTCCTCCTCCCGTACTCAGCTGCTGCTGCCCCTGTCCTGACCCAACACCCAGCGACGCCCCCAGCCCGTCAACATACCCGAACCGGCCCCTGCGCGCCGCGCCCTCCAGGTCCACCCCCAGCCGGGCGAGGCTGTCGCGCCAGAAGGCATAGTCACGCAGGAAGCTCACCAGCACAACGGCTGCTGCTGCTGCTGCTGCTGGTGTCGAACCATTTTCGGCGGAAGATTCTGTGGTTGTAGCCGCCGATGAGGATGATGATGATGGTGGTGGGGCCGGCTTGAGCAGCGAGTGCAGCTGGCGCAGGACGAGCCAGTTGGTTGAGGCGCCGATGACGCCCGTTACCAGCACCAGGGCTGCTGTGGGTGCGTCGTTGTCGTTGGCATTGTCGTTGTGCGGGCCGAGGAGGTACGGCTCGAGGAGGGGAGGGGTTGTGCGGGAGGTCATGCTTGGTTCTTTCTGAAGGCAATGGCGAGGGAGAGCTTTGTTAGTGGGGTAGCTCACTGATAGGGAGCCGAGGGATCTTCTGGTGGTGGGATGGAACGATAAGATAAGCGAGACAGTGGGGTAGTTCGAGGACCACTCTCCCAGTCTCCCTCATCAACACCTACCCGACATCACGGCATTGATCAGCGGATGAGAGACGGGGATAGAGATACTGCTGTTGTTACTCTTCTGAACTGTTCCAACATTGATCATGACTGAGGTGTATATCTCTACCATACCATGCATTATACCAAGTGTATCCCGTTACCACGCCACCAGCACCAAACACCATCAATAATCGTGAGGTATCCAAGACCTCTGATATGCACCGTTCCGTATGCGAGGACACGCTATGCAACGAGCGAATGCCAAAAAGGAAGATTCAAACATGCCAAACCCCATCATCATAAAAACCACATGCCGTCGTGTTCGCCTAGAACCTCTCCATAAAGTTCTTCCGCACCGTCCACATACGCGCCCGCTTCCCGAAGATGTACATGGGGATAGAGAAAAGCAGCAGGATCAGCTGAATAATGCCGATCCACATGAACACAGTCTTCGGACCGTCATCCTTGAGCCACCCCGTGACGAACAAGCTAAAAACAAGCCCGTGCAGGACGTTCTTGCTAAAGTTGAGCGTCACGAGGGCTTCGCCAGCGTATTGCCTGTAGCTGTCAACACAAAAAGTGATGCTCGTCGTAGACCCCAAACAGCAGCCGAACGAGATGATACCAAAGAACGCCGTCGGGACCATCCAGTGGTCGTTGACCTGCGCCGACCAGCCAAAGCCCATGAGCCCCAGCACTGTGGTGATGGCAATGGGGATGGCCATGACCAAGCGGAACTCGGGCTCGTACAAACCCCCGTTGCGCCGCGCCATGGCCTTGACAATGACGTCTGACACCCGCCCGGCCACGGCCGAACCCAGGATGCCGCCCACAAAGGGGCTGATGTACACGAGCCCCGTCTGCAGCGCGTTGAAATGGTAGCCGCCCTCGCGGTAGATGACGGCCACCGACTCGGAGATGACGATCAGCCAGCCGACTGAGCACGAGTAGACCACCGACGACCAGAGGACGGCGGGATAGGAGAAGAGAATCAGCGGCCGGATGGCAACTTTGTGCCACTTGTCCTTGTTCAGCCGCCCGTTGAAGGGCTTCAGCTGCTGCACGAAGGAGAGCCGCGGCTGGTCGCGCAGGGCAGCGGTGTAAGCTGGGGGGCCCATTGTCCGGATGGATTGCGACTCGCTGTCCGTGTCGTGGAACCGCTCCTTGCGGGCGTGGCCCATGTCTGAGTGAGGACTCTCGGGCGGCGCTAGCTTGGCTTGAGCAGGGTGCTGCGGTTCGGTCGTCGGAGGAACCTGGAGACACTCTGTCGTGGGATATGGGTCGGTGACAGTTCTTTTCACGTCGGCATTGTGCTTCTCAGGAGACTGGCTATCAGCCGTCTCGCCAGATGCGTTGTGCCCTGCGTCTGCCTCTTTAACGCCATCTACGACTCCATCTTCGATGAACCCGACACGGAGTGTCCTCGGCGTGGGGAGTGCTGGTGATGGGATGCCTTGAGCCGCCATATCAGCCGATGGGCTGGCGGCTGAAGGCTTCGTTACTTGGGGAACGTTCTGCTTGGTTGACAACCGGCGAAGGAACCCTGGCCTCGCCTTTCGCGATCGCGGGACAGGCGCCCGATCCCAGAAAGTCTCGGGCACGAAGAAGAACACAAGGATGCCACAGAATGTCACAATGATAGCCACAATCCTGCATGACATCGTCAGTGATGGTTGAACAGTGCGCTAGGGGGCAAGTCACGCATACCAGAAAACCCAGCGCCACCCCATATTCTGGATGACGGCGGCGCTCGCGAGAGGAACCAGGTTCTTGCCTCCGAGCAGTAACAGGGTGTAAATGCCAATCCGGAAAGCGCGCTCATGCAAGAAGAAGATCTCTGCAATGGTGGCCGACGGCAGACATTCCACCGGGCTGACCGCGACGCCCTGAAGGATTCTCGCCAGGATAAGCGACGTGAAGCTGGGCGAGGCGGCGCACCAGATGGATGTCGCCATGAACAGAACCGCGCCAAAGAGATAAACCGGCCGCTTTCCGAACAGGATGGCGGTGGGCGAGAATATGACGGATCCAAGACCCATGCCCATCATGTACAGGCCCGTCGTCAGCGAGACGCTGTGGACATCAACGCCATAATCGTGGGCGACGTCTGTGAAGCCCGCGGCGAGGAGGGGCGTTGTGCCTCCGCCGACCATGCAAATGAGACCGAGGGACAGCAGTGCTAAATCTCTCCGCCATGCGGGCCAATTCAGCGGGTCGTTGACGGAATCGTCAGGCTGAGGATCCAAGATGATCTTGCCGTCCTTGGTCGTCTTTTTCTGGGGCTCTGTAGGCGGCTCAATCTGCCGCGGTATGCCAGCGGGGATGGCCGAGTGGGAGGTCCTGGCCGGCGCGTTCCGTAGCCCCAGGGGTTCATTATGGTCTGCGGCCAACAGCAGCACCGAACCTGTCCTTAAAGTCAGACACTCAAAGTGTTTACTTCGCGTAATCGTCGAGACATACCTGGGACTTCAATGGTCTCCTTGTCTTCGAGGATGCCCATGGTCCATCTTGAAGGCCCGGGCTTGTCAAGGCCGCCTTGGTCCTCAGATGACCTTTTTGCAAAGAGTGACCGCCATGACCGACCTTGCGGCCGGTTGCCCGTGCCTAAGACCATTGCCGTCCAAGAAGCGGCCCGCTCTTCGGACGAATCCAAAAGCGCGCAAATGAAACGAAAATGGTATCCAAATAAATAGCTTAAGAAGGATATATAGAGAGCACCTGCCCGAGGCACTATTCGGTCCTGAACTGTCAGGCTAACGCCGGCGGCGATGCGGACTGTCTGCACGATCTGACGTCGAGGGTTACCGATGTCTCAAACAGGCAGGCGATGTGTCGCCTTGTGCTACTCCAACTCGCAGTTGATTGAGCCTATCTCAAAAGCTTCCCAAGACTCGTCCCGCCGTAGGCACTATCGCCTACACCCTGCGGAGAGTTGGCTTCTGATAAGGACAGGCGAGACTACAGAGACACGGAGGTAAAAGGGACGAGGCCGGAATCCGAGATAACATACGTCTATGTACTCCGTAGACCGCAGGGTCTCTTTGACGCCGCACGTGGGTCAATACCGGTCAATGGGACCCCAACCATCCATCCTCGAGAAATCCCATGCCAAGAGGGAGCCAAGAAGCAAACCCAGGTAAAGAAGGCGGACAATCTGTCATAAAAAATGGTGATGCCTGTCAGCTGCTATTTCTGGGCCAAACGCAGCACCCGAGATGGGTGACTTTTCGAGGCGACAGTGCCCCGCAATCAAGCTGCAGCAAACCACAGCAGATCCTCCGTAACACGTTAACCTTGTGTCTTGGAGGGAGAGGTAAGCAAGGAAATTTGCCTCCAAAAGAATCAGATGGCAACATTTGCGGTTGGCCAGTGTTTCAGATGAGCAGTTGCAATTGGCAGGATCTTCGAAACAGATAAGCGTGGGTTTACCTATGATCCGTCGAGACAGTTAAACGGGGATAAACCCGATCTTCAGAAGGAAACCGACCGAAAACCCTCCGGCCCCCCACCTAACGCGCCCCCGCGTTGGACCCTGAATGGTTGGTCCGATTACTGAGGGGCTGCCGTGGTGATGCGCTAAACTCCATTGCGGTGAGGAAAGACTTGACGTTTCCTTCGTACCTACACGTGTATTGTATGAGGTCTACGATAGTGAGCGCAACTGACATCGATCATCAGTTGAAAATGAGGGAGGAACGAGAGTCCTCTGAGCGGTTGGTCAAACTCGCCCGCCTCACATGAGGATCACTGTGACACCCATCGAGGCGGATTGGTGACATTGGTCCCTCCAGCGCCTCCAACAGTTTGGACTACGCCCCGCATGCACAATGACGCAACAAGGGCACATGAGATGCGGGAGCGGTGAGGTTGGTACATACTTCGTACATTACACTGAACGTTGCTTAGGGTGATTCCGAGAGTCAACGTACGTACAAGAACACCTACAATGTTGGTAGCTTGAATTCTCCTTGTCAAGATACATAACGTCAACTACGGCTATTTGCTCCCTTTGCCAAACGTATAGCACAATGTACCTTAGAGTAGTGTGCTTGTTCAAGGTGTCATAAGCAGGCAGACGCTTGGGCCAATCCCATGCTTGTGCCAATCTTGCTGCAGCCATGAGCTCATCTCAGAACTTTCGAGGTCAAGCTCGACTGCTCGATCAATCATTCACGCTTCTGCATCAACTACATCTTCATTCTAGTTCGTTCGATAATCACATGTTGCACGTACCTTCAATCTGATCCTGTATCATGCATCTGTCCTCCATTCGTCCGATTCTTGCCAAGCGGCCTCTCACATGCCCAAAACCCGGGTTATGCTTGAGATTCTCAACATCACGTCGCTTGGCGGGCCGGAATCAAGTCTACGCTGCGTGAGTCTCATCACTTACATGTCACAGGCTCAAGCCATCCCAACTCCAATGGACAACCAGCTGCACGGTAACTGAAACTGACACACGTACGCGGTAGAGTCCGCAACCTTGATCAATTCCACACCTACCAACTCCTCTCCTCCTCCGCACGAACACCACTCCTGACTCTATGGACAACATCCTGGTGCTCAACATGCCGCGTCGTGGCGCCCCTGGTGCAGGAGCTGGTCGAGTCCGGGGTTGGCGAGGCCGAGGGCGGCGTGGCGTATTGCGCCGTTGAGTACGACTCGCCCGACGTCATGTCGGCCGGCCTCGGGCTCACCTACATGATCAACTCGGTCCCGACGCTGCTCAGCTTCGATGCCGGCGAGGCCCAGGTCCAGACCAAGGTCACCGACGGCAGGCGGCTGGCTGATCCCAAGTTCCTTGAGGAGTGGATCAGGACCGAGGCCCGCCGGCATGGGAACCGCGGCGGCGGGGGTGGGGGGCCCGGGCCGAATCTTCTTGGAGCCATCTTCGGCAGGTCGAGATGATTATTATTCTCCCTGTAGCCCGATGGTCTAGCTGGTTGCATCGTAAGAACGCCGTTCCGATAGAGGATTTGCTTTATGGCCAATCTGACGAAGTCCCGAAAGACCCCTGCGACAGAAATGCTAGTATTCCCGGCTTGACCTCCACGAGAGTTGCCATGTCGTTGGATGAAGTTTTGATGCGGCGGTATCGATGGCAGCAAAGGGGATCAAAGCCCAATGGCTTGGGGTCATGGCTCGAGCAACACTCGAAACCGAGCGCAATCATCGAGTCGCGGGATATCGTCAGGCGAGATGGTAGCATAGGTTCCCGGCCTTGAATCTGTCATAATATTGAAGACAAGCCGGTGAAGGTGCAACCTCTGGTCGGCCCGGTCAGTGGTAGTGGTCAGCTGCCGCGTACCTGCCTCCGCAAACACGCGCCGCGGCTTTATATGGCACGAATTTATTACCCCTACTACCAACCCTAGAACCGAGCTTGTTACCTATTGGTATTGACTGCTGGTCATTCACCAGAGGTTGTGGGTTCAACTCTCGCACGTTGTGCCACCTGGTCTTTTACAAGACTGGGCTGGAAGGCTTGTTCATGGTACCCTGCTGGCATTGGCTTGTGGGTACAACGTCTTAGTGGTAGACAGTACTTGCTGAATTTGTGTCGAACTCTGTGAAAAGCCTTGAGGGTTTCTGGGGGATTGAGGGCTCTGGGGGATCTAACAGCTCTGTTCACCTTTTTTTTCCCCCTTCTACTTTCTTGCTGTGTCCGTCCTTCCCTTGTATTGCCATAGAACCAGGTCAGTCAGTACAACAACGGTATGGCTTTAGAAGGAGAATCCATGAGGTTTCAGACTCTGTCCTGTAATTGCAGGATTTATCTGTGTGCTCTGAGCTTAATTGTCTGTCGTGCCTAAGGTCCAGCTCTCATGCGTCGTAGGGTTGGTCGTATCACTAGACGCTACGCTTCAGGCCGGCCTCACACCCGAGCACTGAAGTGATCTCCCACTGATTTCGAGCCATGGACACAGAGCTACAGAGAATGACTCCGGAACTAACCCTCAACAGCATCACAGAGCTCATGCACCTATGTACTGTAACTCGAGGCGATGCCGATGTGAATGCTAGTAACCAACCCACTGCGACTCCCAAACGCCAAATCAAACCTAACCTGCGCCGACCGGTCCAACCCAACCTATTCCCTCTGCGCGATCCTTTTCCCAGACCCGTTGTCCATAACCCTGTTACCCTTTAGTTACCACCCTCAAAAACGCCATCAGAGAAAGAATCCCAACCATCACACCTCCCACTCGCAGCATTACCTTACATCCTCCAGATCAAGCACCCTTCTCAACACCAGTTCCGAAGCTCTATACCACCTACCCCTAGCCTCCAACTCATCCTCCACCCCTCCCTGCGCATTCTCCCTCCTCCGCTTAGCCTCCCTCGCCGCAGCCGCACTATGCACCTTTTTATTCTCCAACGCTGCCACCTCCGCACGCAAACGTTCCGCCTCCTTCCTCTTCCTCGGCGCCAGCGACGCCAGCTGTTCCAACTGCCTATCGAGGCCCGCCAGGTCGGCCCGTTTCCGCTCCACCACCTCGCGCGTCTTGCCCAGGGGCATATCCATCCCCTGTCCCGATTCCGGTCCTGCCGCGCGGCGGAGCTCAGCGACGCTCTTCTCAAGCCCCTCAATACGGCCCGGCAGTTCAGCCAGGCGGGCCTTGTCGGCGCGCACCCGCTCGTACATCGCGGCGAGGGCCCTCCCGCGGGCCTCGAGTTGTGCGACGGTGCTAGCAACTTCGGTTTTGAGAGCCTTGAGCGCGGCTTTGGCTTCGAGGTTGCCCGCTTCCAAGTCGGCGTTTTCTTGCGGGGTGACGATAAGGGGTGGGTCGCCGACAATGGCGCGGATGAATTTTTCTTTGGTGACTTGCTCCACGTACGAGAAGCGCAGTTTGGCGAAGAGCTCCTTGTAGTGCTCCAGGTCGGCTTCGAGAGAGGAGGGTGTGGGCGCGTCGAGCGAGGCGGTGGAGACATCTGATGTGCGGGCGGTGATCGCGGGGTTTGTTGCGGTGCTGCTGTTGCCGGCGTGTGAGACTGCTGACGAAATGGGCTCGCTGATCTTGATCATGGTGAGCTGCTCCTCCCCCGAGGCAGACTCCAGCTCGTCGAGAGCCCGGAGAACCGAGGCGGCGCGCTGCCCGTCGGGTTGGGGTTTGGCGGGCGAGGTTCTGCGAGTCATTGCAACTTGCGTCTGGGTATTGCTCCGGTAGTGTCTTGGATTGTAGGCACAATACCTGCGAATGGCTTCAGTGAGGTCTTGAAAGAAGATGGTTGTCGCTAATACGCCAGCTGTTTGTTGACGTTCTTTCCAGATTGGGCTGAAGTGGGGTCTACTTGATAAGACGGATAACTACCCTAACCCTTGACCGTTAACTGACCCTCCACATCGTTTCTTGTGCCACACCCTCCTTTGGCCGTCTCACTCTCTCCTACCCGATCGATTCCCATCATCACACAAACAGCGCCATGGCAGCGGGATACAACCACCAGCACGTGGGACGGGATCGCGGTCGTAATGCTGTGTGACATGACCTGTCACCTAGAGCGCTTAGTGGTCAGCATTGATGCGGGATTTAACATCAAAAATCTTTATCCAAAGCCTGTTTTCGATCAATGAATGAAAACTGAAACTAATAAAGACGAAGCTCTCCAGCTTCTCATGCAGTGTATTATCAGTTCCTTCTCTGTCACCCAGGTCGAGTTTCGGGGCCGCCCTCAACTGTGAGCTTAGGCTCACTCCCCATCCACACTGTCGCTCCACGTTTGCTCATCGCCGTCAGAGCCTGTCTCGTCCTCATCCTCCAGTTCTCCGTTCCAGTCCGGCGCCGGCTCGATCTTGTCAGTCTGCGGCGTATGTACCTCGGCTCCGATCTGCTGCCTAGCAGGAAATGGATGAGGTGAAACCAGCAGGAACTCGAATGTCGTTGAACTCGCTCGCGTCCTGATGGCAGGTGGAGGAGGCAACGCAGCTGCTTGTCCAGGCTGCGGGCCGGAGGGGAACGAACCCTGATGATTCTGTAACGGGCGTGGGATTACCACGTGTGCTGCCTTGAACTCGCCCGTCGTGCCCAGGACGTCGCCGATCGGCACTGGCCGGTAGACGGCCACCGGAGCTTCCGTGCCTTGCTCGGAACCCGTTGCCCCGACGCTCGACAGGATGTATGCCGTGCTCGTGCGGCTTATGGGCAGTCCCGCGGGGTATTTGCTCCATTCCACCCTGATGATGGGCTGCTCCGCGGCTTTTATCGAGACCTGGGGCAGGCTGCGCTCCGTCTGGTCCCGAAGGACGCAGCATTTGGCGTGCGCCTGCGCGCTAATCGGACCTGTACCTGTCGCTTCTCGGCATGCGCTGCTGTCACCCGTAGCGTGCTCGGCGAGAAAGCGTCGCGCCGGCCACGTCTCGCCGCACCCCTCGCAGCAGCCCGAGTACTGCTGGAGCTCGTTGGCCGTGAGCTGTCCCGCGTGTATCATCACGCTCGTCCACGGCCGGATCAGGCGCAAGTGCTCCATGGCATATTCCTCCACCGCTGCCGCGTCCGCGGGTGGGAGGACCTTTCCGCATCCATTTATCTGGCATGTCGTCCTGTTCCTGGCTCCTATGGCGGCGGGTGCCGCATGTTGGGCTCTGCCAGGTGGCCGGGAAATACGGGCAAAAGGTGGTTGCTGCGCTCTCCGGCCGTACCAGAGCCACGAGCTTGGGTAGTTCAACATGGCCATGGGTAGCTGCAGTAAACGTCAGCGGAAGCCGGCTTGCTTGACCAGGACTGGTGATTTGTACGGAATAGCGGCGGAGTTCTCGTCTGTGTTGGCTGCTGGATGTATCAGCTGCCTGCACTGCCACTGGGCCTTCTGGCCTACTCGCTGCTCGCGGCGCCATTTCGGTTCCTTTTACCCAAGGGCTGGTGCTTCCAAAATTGCAACGAAGCTGCTCAGGCGGAGATGGATCTGGTTACGAGATCCCATCTAAGTGAAGATGAGGGCGGTCACTGGAGAGTGAGCAAAGCAGAGGTTCGATCCCTCCTAGGGTGGCATCGTCGCATCAGGGCAGGTTCGACATCTGTCGATCTCGGACAGTGTTGACCTGACACATGACATTGCACACTAGCAGAGAAAGCTAGACATGCAGAAGGGACAGGCTCAGGCTCGAAGTTGAGCGCACCGGCAAGGGGTGCAACTACAGTGCGCCTCCAACCCGACAGCTCTTCTTTACTCGGGCCGGCAGCTTAGACGACGGCAATGAGTGCCGGTACTACCGTTAGCTGGGAATCGGGCAGCGATCCGCAGCCGTTCGTCTGCACCGTCTTATACCCAACTCGGCCTTCCCTTTTCTACGCTACCGCGGCCGCCATGTAGGAACGCGATGGATCACTAGAGACCATGCGACCATACGGAGATCAGAAGAACCTTGTACATACATAGCATAGCAGACTGATTCGTCCGCCTCCCCGCCGGAAGAGGGCTTTTGCCAGACTGCAACGCTGACTGGACAGGTTGTTGAAATATGCAGAATCGCAGTGTCTCACCCCGGGGAAGGGCCCAGCTCATACATAACAGTACCCCACTGCATGCATGCATCATTGCCTATTTCCAGAACAGCCGAGGACGCCGCGCAGCATATGTTGCAAGCCACAGAAGAAGGTTAGCAGGACAGGCGAGCGGATAAGGCTTTCTACTCCGAATACCTACATTCGTGCGAATGCAAGATGATGCAGCTACCGCCGCCTGGCCTCACTTGAATAGCAATGGATGGAGGCGTTGGAGGCTGGGGAAAACAAACAAGTCACACTTCCCCAAATGCACCCCGGAGCTTTTGTCGCTATCCGCATCGCATCAAAAAGGAAACCCGAATCGGGCAACCCCGCCGTTCAAGCACTTTCCAACTGGAAGAAAGCAGTTCGCCGTTCGTCAACAACACTGCATACCTTTCCTGAGAAGAGGAGCTGCCTGCAGAAGGTTACTGAAAAGATAGATGCCGGGGCAGACCACGTCTGAGAATCCAATCGCGGCTAACACACCTTCCACTCCGATAATTCCCTCCGCAACCATGCCACAAACACAGTGGGCTATGACTTCAAGTGACTGTAATACTCCTGCAAATGTAGGTAGGGAAGGAAAGGTAGCTCCCCTTCCCCGACAGATTTCGGCCCTCAGAGACAGTACTAGTATACACCCTTCTGTCTGGTTAGACGCCCTATGCCACTCATCTTCAACTCAGAAACGAATAGCCTAGGTAAGGTGATCTTGTAAACCAAGTCGGCAGACGCAATGTATATGCATGTAGGGTACTTACTAGTCTTGTGCTCCGTTCACGGTTTTTGATACATCATATATCAACCTCTTTGCGTCAACTCTTCTGCCCAGTCCTCATGTCTCAAGTCAAGCCTAGTTACACTATGTCCAGACATGACAAAGGTGTTAGACCCGTTCTAAGAATCTCGACTTCCAATGAGGGATCGCCCTGTTGACACTCGCTGTCCTCATAGACTCAGCACAGTCAAAGAGACAGGGCGAAGACAATCCAAAACTGGACTGGAAAGGTTAAAAACCGACAACCATTATCCCGCTGTATCTTCAACGAAACCCTAGACACTACCTAGTACTACTAAAACTACTTAGCAATCAGCCACACAGCTCTGGCGGCTGTCTGAAAAAGTTAACAGTTACTGTACATGGTGAAACCCTGGAATGCTAGGTAAGCCAGGTTGGTAAATATCTAAGCCGGCTGGCCCTCGGTTTTCTGTTCTCGGATGGACTGGTCCGCTCCGAGAGGCGATGGAGCCGCCCTGCTGCAGACAGAGCCGAAACGGGCCGCGGCTGCCCAAGCTCACCAGTGCACCACGTCTCTTCCCTTGCCTTCCCTTCCCTGCCTGACCTCCCTCCTCCTCCCTTTTCACCCTGTCTTGCAACAAAAAAAAAGAAGAACTAGATAAACAATACCATCCATCCCATACATAAGACAACCGGCAATAGAAGCCACCAGCATTCCTCCACTTCAAGGAATAAGTAACTTAAAAACCTCGGTCAAATACCAGATACCATCCCATACCCATAGCATACCACCCCATCCTTATACTCAATACTCACCGCAACCCCTCAACAAGGTCATAAGGCAGCTCCTTGGAAAACCCCCGTCCATACTTCGCCGTAATCTCCTCCCCGTCCCCAATATTCCTCGCGGCAACAAGCATCAGCCTCCACCGGCCGGAAATCTTCATGACCCGAAACACGGCCGAAGGATTCGTACTGGCATGGCAGACTTTTCGGACCCAATTGCCCATGCGGCGCGGGTAAATGGCGGCGACGGGCTCGTCGTCGAGGTCCGGCCTGCAAAAGTCCATGGTCCAGTCACCCGGGAAAGCGCCCAGGGGCACCAGCTCCCCGACCAGCTCGCCGAGTATGTCGTTGGCCCTGTGGGACCCGACGGCGCGGATCCCGGGGCCCTTGGACCTGTCGTCTGAGATGCGCGGGATGCGGGGCACCTTGGTGTCGATGCAGCGGCAGGTTTTGGTGTTGCTCTTGAGAGTGCAGAGGTCGCAGGGTTGATCTCCCGGCATGACAGACGTCGGGTCCATGGGCCAGCTCCAGTGCCAGCGGGCGGGTTTCGGCCAGTAGTAGCATCTGTAGTCAAAATAGTTTGACTTGAGAAGACGGAACGGCGCCAGGAGCGGCAGGATCTGGTCCGCGGAAAGGTACGTGGTGGTGGCCGACTCCCAGACGAACTCGGGCAGTTCCAGATAGTCCCACATTGACTTTTGCAAGGTGCTGCCCGCGGCGCACATCTTGCGTACAAACTCTGTGTCGAGACCCTTATGGAAACGCGCGAGTTGGTCCTTAAACAACGCCAGATCCAGGCAGTCGTCGTTTTCCGTGGGCATGAGAGAGAGGAGGCCGTCGTGCTTGTCGCAGATCGTCTTCCAGCATTTGCCTTCACGCAGGTAATCGTGCAGCTTGTGCCGTTTTGCGTCGTCCCACTTCAGCATCCGCAGCATACCGTCCATTAGGCCTTGCGCTGAGAGCTGCCGCCCAGCTCCGGCCATGGCTTTTTCGAAGCATTCTGACAATTTCAACTTGAACAGTCGCAAGAGAAACACGCGAAGTTCTGGGTACCCCTGCATCGACTCGTCGACTGACTTTCCCAGGTTCATGCCGCCCAGCATTATAGGTGTGGACTTGGAGTACCGTCTCCATTCGCGAACCAGGTGTGCGAGGCGCTCAAATGCCGACTTGCCGCAAAGCGCCTCGACGAACTGGCTCTCGACGCTGGTGCTCTCTCGATGCCGGAGGAGCGTGGCGAGATGCTCAAAAGCAGCGATGGGTGGAGGATCCTGAGGAGTAGGGGCCTCCTCAACCCGTTGCCTCTTTGACTTCGTCGGCGTCGGCGTCTCTGTTCGTCTTTTGGGATTGATCATCCTTGCTGTTTTCCTTATCGGCGGCAATTCCTCCCAGTTTGGTTTTGAGCAGCAGAGTTCGCCCTGCGGCCTGCTGAGCAGAGGGGGCTGCAGAACTGTCTGTGAAGAGTGGACTTGGGCTTCCGAAGAGGGGTTCTGGGTTCGCGGGGGAGCTAGCAGAGGGGGCTGCAGAACTGTTTGCGGAGAATGGACTTGGCTTTCTGGTGACAAGTTCTGAGTTCGCGAAGGAGCGCGCAGAATTGTCTCTGGAGAATGGGCTTGGCCTTCTGGAGACAAGTTCTGAGCTCGCGAAGGAGCGCAGGGGTTCTCAACCTGAGGGCTGGAAGTCGGCGGGGACCAGTCTGGCAAGTACGGCGGCGCAAGGGGCCCAGCCCCGATTTGGCTCAGCTGCGGATCAATCGGCACAAATCGGGCTTCTGTTTCTGTGCGATGGGCGGTTGTGTCGGGCTGCGGAGCAGATTCAGGCTTGGATGGTGTCTTCCGTTCAGATTGAGGTATAGGGGGGCTCATAGGAAGAGAACCATTTGGTGGGGGCGGGTTGACCTTGTCCTCCTGCGGAGGCAGAGGCAGCCTTGCTAGATTCTTAACGGCCTGTGTGGGGGGGTGGGAATGCTGTTCATGTTTCTCAGGGGGCGGTGTTGCTGATTGCGTAGGAGGCTGGGACACCGTCGCTCCGGGCGGCATCAAGGCGGTGCCTTCTGGAGCCGAAACCGGAGCCGGCCTCTCTTGTGAGCCTGACGACTCAGGAGTGCGCGGTAGCTCTGCCTCCGCAGGAGGTTCTGGCTTGTCATAAATCCGGAAGTCGTCAGCGGAGATGGCGAACTTGTCAGGGCAGAGTCTGTCACAGAATCGATAATCGAGAGGCATGTCTGGTGACGAGCTGTATTCCAGATTAATGGCGACAGCGTAATTCGGCCCAAGGTTCAGGACTTGGTGATATGTCCCTGGCTCTGTCACGACGGCCTGTCCAGGTACGCAGTAGTCCAGAGTGTACTCGATTCCCCAGTCATCCAACCGGGCCGGAGGAATGCTGCGGCTAAGGTGTCTGACGGCCTGCGAACAGCGGCGCATCTCTGGATACTCGATTGCCATCCGCTCTTCTAACTTCCTGGAGAAGGCGGGCTTAATGAAGCACCAGAATTTGTGCTGGCCAGAGCGGAGGAGGTTCTCGGATCGCACATGGGCATCCTCCCTGTGCATTGTCGTGATGGTTTTGCCGGTCAAGTTGAAGTATACATATTGAGTATTGATGCCCTCAAGGAGCGTCCGACCTCTGCGCCGCAGCTTCTCCCCCGGAGAAAGCTCGACGTCGTCGAATAGTGGGTTACCAATAACGTAGGGGCGTGTCCCTTTTGGCGGGTCTGCAGCGGAGGTGTTCCATAGATCGCGCTGCTCGTCAAGTGACCAGTCCATCTTGGTGCTCAGCGGCAGTGGGAGATGGGGTGAGTCAAACTTGAGTCGCTTGCCCGTGTCGACCTTGACGAGGCCGAGCCGGTCGGCCTTGTAGCAGAATGAGGTGGCATGGTCCTTGCTCGGGCGAGCTACTTTCTGCACGGCAACGGGGGGCAGGTCCCGGACTTGGAGCTTGAAATAACCTCGTTCCTTCACAATGGGATGGCTCGAGTACAGCTCAAAGAGTTCCTCATTGAGGACGCGGATATCTTGGTAAGTACAATCGAAGAGGGGAGCGGCGTGCTCGGAGAGCAGTGGGCTGGAGTAGACAGATCCATCCTTCAGTCTGATCTCAGGACCGGCCTGACTTGGGGGGCTGTGGTGCTGGACAGGAGGACTAGGGGATTGAGCGCTTGAAGGATTGGTGGTCATGAGATTAGGCGTAGCTGTATGAGGATGAGCGTCGGACTTTGGTTGAACGACAACAGGCGGGACCTCTTCCTTTGGAGCATCTGGAATCCCAACCGGGGGTGCTAGAATCTGCTGCTGGGGTGGTGGGACGGGGGAGTCATGATGAGATGCTTGAGGTGTTGTTGCAGCAGGCAGTGGGACCGGTGATGGTGATGGTGGTGGTGGGAGGAGTCTCTGGTGGACATCGACCAGGCTCGAGACATGATCGAGGCGGCCCAGTAGTTGTTGCAGCAGATCTCGTCCTGCCTTCGTCCGCGGCGGCTGCACCTTGCGATTGGCGGCGATACCGTGCTCGAGATAACCCCTGAGGGCATCGCTAATCTGGCCCAACTCGTCCTTGAGCTGCAGCGCATCCATCTTGGCTTCCTCGAGATGTGCTGAGTCTCAGACTCTCAGTCGTCGCATTGATTGAGGTCCGATGTGTGCAGCCCGCGGGCACATTGGTCCGTGCTGTCTGGACCAACCTGGAAGGGTTGCTTGAAGAGAGCTTGTCTTGCAGCTCTTGCTGGACAGAGCAGGTGTGCCGTGTGCGTGGGGTGGCTGGGGAGGGAGGGGCGCTCCGACGAGGCAAAAGACGTGAATTGCCCTGGCCTGTGGGACCGTGCCCGTCCAAGCTAGCGGGGCACCTGAGCTGCAGTGCTGCGATGCAGCTTATCTGCTATCGTACACAGTACTGTGATTCAGGTAAGGTAATCTCAATTCAATGCTCACCTTTCAGAACCCATAAATCAAACATTCACTTCTGATCAATTCTTGAAAGAACTGCAAATGCACGGCAGTATACAGTAGTTGTCCTAGATTTACCAAATAGACTACTGCTGGATAGCTGCTCCAAACTGCGCCCAGGTCGTTACCTAATTGAGCAGGGCAGTGAGTCTGGATCTAGGGCTGCAGAACGGTTTGTGGGGCTGATCTAGGGACCCTGGCCGCTGATTTTCCCGCCTGTAAACCAACCGATAAGGGAATCAGCGGGGCCAACTTCAACGCCGACGGCTCCTCACAGGATGGGGTCTACAATTTGCTTTCCTTGCCTTCTCCCTTCTCTTCCGACGTGAATTATTTTGCATATCTCTTCTTCTCCTTCGAAAGATATGGACAGAAATCGCGCCCAGTATGAGATTCTCACTGACGATGCTGTGGCCGAGATTCTAGCGAAAGAGGCGAGCCAGGCGTCAGCCAAGTATTCATCAATGGGGCTCGAGGCCTTCAGATCTGCCAAGTTGGTACCTCCAGTCGGCGCAGTCCAGAGCATATACAGACAGCTAACTCATTTCGGATAGACCTTCAAATAAAGCAAAGCCGAACACCCGCTTCTTGGGACGCATCATCAAGGAGACCACAAGCCACAATGCCGCCCTCCTGGCGAAGGAAACCGCCGAAGCCCAGGCGCGCCTCGACGACCTGACCGGATCGGAGGAGAAAAAGAGGCGCAAGCTTAACCCCAGCGCTTCGGACATCAGACGTCGGCAGTTGGGCGACATATCCTCCATCCTCCAGGGTCGCAGGCGGAGTAGCGGGGCAGAGGGACACAGTGGTTCTAGGGTGAAAAAGGATAGCCGAAGGGACGCGGAGGAGCTCCAAAAACAAGACCACCGGCGGAAGGGCGGAGAAGATACAGACGACGAGGGACATCGGTCGCACCGAAAGAAGAGGGGGGACGGAACCAAAGACGAGCCTGGCCGCCGCCGGCCGAGGTCACACTCCCCACCACGACGAGATCGGAGATACCGTGATAGGTCTCCGCTTAACAGCACCGACGAGGACGAGCAATTGCATCGCTCCTCCAAGTCGCGGCGCAAGAAGTCAGACAGGAGTAATAACGACCTGATCGGCGCCGAATCCTCCAGGCGAAGTCGGTACGGCCGACTAACCGCGGACGAAGCGGAAATGGGTTCCCACACTCAACCGCGTCGTGGCGATATTTCTAAAGACCCATCCGCAAGCCGTCCATCACGTCATGATAGATCCGCACGGATCGAGGAAGACGACTCCAGCTCTGACTCAGACCCGCTAGAAGACTTGATCGGCCCTTTACCCCCGTCCTCCTCCTCCTCCTCATCCAGATTACCACCACCCGTCCGGACCCGCGGGAGGGGTGCTATCAAGTCTGGTGCTACGGCGTTGGACAGCCGGTTCGCGGCTGACTACGATCCAGCATCAGAGCTGTTGGAGCCTGAGGACAACAACAACAACAACACCGACGATTGGGACGAAGCAGTCGAGGCGTACCGCGACCGCCAGAAATGGAAGCAGCAGGGCGCGGACCGGCTGCGGGCGGCCGGGTTCACGGAGGAGCAGATTAGGAAGTGGGAGAAGAGTGGCAGCGGCGGGGAGAAGGATATTGAGGATGTCCGGTGGAGTAAGGCTGGGGAGAAGCGGGAATGGTATGTACAATGCCATCCAATCGATTGTGCTGCTTGTTTTACGATTGGAGCAGAGGATAAGACTGACTTGTTACTTCCAGGGATCGGGGCAAGGATGGTGTCAGTACCTGATTATCTATCTCGGCCGGCACTGTATTGAGTTGTGGGCATAGCATTCTTTGGCGTTAGGGCTTTACTGCATCGGCGCTGGAAGGGATAGAGCTTGGGGGTTTGTTGGCTTAGCGTGGGAATGAACAAATGTGATAGTTGAGAGGTTTCGGCCTCTTCCAATCTGATGAAGTTGCTTGTATTCGTACAGGATAGATCATCAATATGTACAAGATTCAGGTGTGTTGGTGTATTTGATAATCCCAACTCGCCAGCAGCGCTGAGGCCTCTAGCAGCCTGCGTCTTTTCCAGATCACCAGTACCCCCTCGGCCATATATTTTAAGGTATGAAATTGCGGCCTCTTCATGTAAATAAGCTGCTTTGAACAGCATGACGGACAGCACTCGCCTCCTCTCCTTTTTATTGATTTCTCCACGCGATTTTTTGCCCTTGCTTAGTCTTGAGCTCCCCCTCTCTCGAGCTTAACAACGACACGGCATCGTCCGCGTCCGCCGCCTCGCTATCATCATTGGTAGCCCATATCCTCTCGATGCACAGCTCAAACGGGCCCGGTATCCTGTCGGTCAGCCCGACCCCGACGGAGCGAATCTTTTGGCGCATGATCTCGGTCTGGGGCTCGACGACGAAGCCGTGGTTGGTGCGCACAAAGTCGTTCCACTTGATCAGCACCGTCTCCCACTCCCCCGGTTTCTTGACAAACAGCCGGTGCTGGTGCAGGTCTGTGGGTACGACAGACTCGGTCTGCACGTTGACGAAGTAGCTCCGCCCGTCCGACTTGACGCGCAGCGCCAGGTACACGTACGGATCCATGTTCCATAGGCTACGCCCGAAGATGGTCGGCGGCCGGTCGCGTGTTCGAAATGCGGCGTACCCCGTTCGCTTGATGTCCGGTCGGTCTTTGGGGAGTTGGGTCGAGATGGTCCCGTGGAACCGGGCGTAGCCGGGGGAGTTGGGGGAGGGAGGAGGGGTGCCGGATGACGACGGCACCCAGTCGAGATTGGATGTCGAGACGCCGCCTATTTCAACGTCGGACATGGTCTTGCAGTCTTGGATGGATGTTGGGTCGCGGAAGCTGTGGAGTTCGTAGGGCCCCTGCGCGCCTTTGATGCCCTCGAGGTTGATGACTGCGGAACATTTGCAATTCTCTGAGTCAGCGCAGCGTTCTACGGCCAGGGAGGTCCAATCGTTGTCAGTAAATACCAATGTTGGAGAGCCTCTTGAACTCGTCGAGGCTGCGGCCGAAGAAGCCCTTGTACATCAGGGTCCTCGTGGCCTGCATGGTGGGCGAGGTCGCTGCTGCCGGACCGAACTGTTGGCCAACTTTCCTGCAGCAATTATATGGATTTTGATATTGGTAGAGGGCCGATGGCCTATGTTTCCGTGGACATTATTGTTGGTCCTTGCCGCAGGCTACTTTTGAGGGAACAGGTGATCGCGCGCTCGACCTGGGAGGAACACTCAAAGATTGGCCCCTCAACTCGCCAGTCCAATGAGATGGATTTTGCTGGACGTCATCGAATCCACTGAATGCACGCCAGGGGTGTGGTCCCACACCAACAGCCTTACATACATGCTCAGCCTCAACCACGTGCAAGTTGCCTTTGACTTCACAAGTTGTCACTTTGCTGGCAGCATCACGGTCTACCTTGGGTTTACTTTTGAGATTTGAAACGGGTTTTGCATGAACTCGGCAGTGTCGTCACAACAATTGATGTTGGAGATGGTTAGAAATCCAGAGCAAAGTTTCCCCGGTACATTTGAAGTGCAGAGAATGATAGCATTTGTCACTGAAGACACCAGCATGTATCCGTAAGCGCTCGAGCAGTCAACTTCTCTCAAGTTTGCATCTGTGGGAGCACTTGCAAAGGGCAATTCTGGGGAGCCTCAGCAATTTGAACTTCAAGTTGGTCTTGGCATTCAGAAATTACTGTGTAGTTCCACTCTGTGCACGGTTGTTGGAAGAACCTCAGTTGGGCACCGTATACGCGTACGCTAAAGTGGTGATGGAATTCGTGGTGGTTGTCAATTGGTAGGTAGGTGGATAGAAAAGTGGAAAATCTCTGTAGGAGGATGGAACCCCTGACTGGGGCTAGTAAACCCGGCTAAGCTTATAGGGGGGTATTTCTGCTCGATTCTTCGACTTCTTGGGGTGGGCTTTTTCAACCCGGCCCGACATAGGGCGCGACGGTAAGGTACAAGCATCTTTCTCGGACTACTACATCGCTGTTAGAGCTACCTATACTATAAAGACGCATGACACTTACCGTACTACAAGGCGGTTTGCGGGCGCTAGCAGCCGCGCAAGGGCGGGAGCATCGCAAACCTATAGTACACAACGGAAACAACGAGCACAATTAGGAGAATAAGTGGCGAAGAAGCGAAAAAAGCGTACAATCCTATAGCAATTGGTTAGTAGGATTTTAGCATTAAATAGAGAGGTTGTGACGAATCTCGGTCCCCTAACTACTGAAAGGGACTTCTCAGACTGAAGGTTCTCAACAACGGGGCGAGGTTCGGTAGAGCCAAAGGGTCTACAACAATTGACACAAGCAAGTGTTCACATAGTAGTAAAGACAACTGCTTGCATTGCTTACTGGGAAACCTCCTGGAGGTCCCCCCCTGAGGGAGTGACTAGCTAGCTAATATACTGAAGAGTTTCCTTTTGTCCTAAGCTTGCCCTTTGTGGAGCGCTGGGAGCGCATCACGCTCCCATCGCTCTTCGGAGCGTCCTTTTGTCCCGTCGCTCCTCGGGAGCAATGCCAAGACCGCACGCTCCCCTTGTGATTGGCATCTGTCTTGTTCTTGAATGGTTGGCTGGGGCACGCCCCATACCCCATGCGGCTGCAGCCTCCCAGGCCGCCCATGTGGTTATTCGTAACAGAGGTGTATAAGTGTGACGAATCTCGGTCCCCTACCACTGAAAGGGACTTCTCAGACTGAAGGTTCTCAACAACGGGGTGAGGTTCGGTAGAGCCAGAGGGTCTACAACAATTGACACAAGCAAGTGTTCACACAGTAGTATAGACAACTGCTTGCATTGCTTACTGGAGAACCTCCTGAAGGTCCTCCAACGAGTGACTATCTAGCTAGTATATATAATACTTTGTTTCACCACGTCCTGTCGACTATCACGAGTGACTGTCCTGTCTTCACCATCGACAATTCATTGTCGCTGGTGACTCCCTATTGTCACTGTCGACAATCCGGCCTTGGCAGTGATAAGCTCCTGATTGGCTTATTAAGCGATTGGCTGCCAGTTCACCCTGCAGGTTCGCTGCAGCCTCCCTGAGTGACCAACAATGGTTATTTCGTGACAACTAGCCTTAGAGGAGTGTTTCTATAGTTAGGAGAGCATTACTAACCTTATAGACTATTACTTAGAAGAAAGTTACTCCTATAAAAGTATAGTTCTAAGGTCTAGAGAGCGTTACTAACCCTAGGGAAATACTCTAGAGCTAAAAGAGTACTACTAACTATAATAGATATTACTCCTAGGAGAATCGTTAACCTTAGAGTCTAATAGTATGTTATGAATTAACCAACAGCAGGCCGCATAGCAGAAGACTACATGCGGGGCGCAGGGAGCCCCGAGCCAATCATTTAGGAACATCAGGCAGACCAATCAAGGCAAGGCTGAAGTGCTATGCCGCCAAGACAGGCGAGCGCCTCGCAGCATGCAAAATGCTTGAGGTGATCGAAGATATAGCACGACGAGCAGGTAAGTGCTCGAGGGTGCTCGGGACACGAGCACAGGTGATCAACAGACCGTACATAGTATATAGTCATTCTTTAGGGAGGACCTTCAGAAGGTTCTCCAGTAAGCAATGCAAGCAGTTGTCTATACTACTGTGTGAACACTTGCTTGTGTCAACTGTTGTAGACCCTTTGGCTCTACCGAACCTCACCCCGTTGTTACGAACCTTCAGTCTGAGGAGTCCCTTTCAGTGGTTAGGGGACCGAGATT